AGTCTAGATAATAGGAGTTCTATCCTATAATACTAGAGTAAACTAGGGTAGTTAAACACTATACTAATAGCTAAACTAATTCTAAGAAACAAGATTAACTCCTAAATTAGGTACAAATAAAACTTTATTAAGTAAGATTTTCTTCCTATTCTAGCCTCCTATAACTGCTTTTCCCTTATATGTAGCTTGTAGCTATCTACCCCTAACCTTAATCTATTTCTTCCTTTAAAGTGGAATTATAGATCTAAAGAGTTATAGTTAGTTAGTTATATAGGATAAGGCATAGGAGTCTAGTAACTATTCTAAGGAGGTTAACTTGCCTTTTGCCTCTAAGGAAGAGTATATAATCTTATTAGTTTCCTCCTTAAATTAGGATAAGGTAGTACTTAATAAGGTTAGGAATAATTCCCTAGATTAGGCTTGTTTAGTAAGGAATGCTTTCTTAGTAGTCTTCCTTATTTTCCTAAATTTAAAAAGCTCTTTTCTAATTATTTCCTCTATTACCTTCTTAAATTCTTTAAGAGAGTCTCTTCTTTTYTTAACCCTCTTTAATAAAGAGGAGGAGTATTTCTTACTAGAGATCTTTCTCTTTTTAGGCTTTAGAGAATCCCTATTTCTAGATAGGAAATTTTCCTAAGGTCTAATTGCTTTCTTTGCCTTTCCTAGCTATAGACAATCTTATATAAAGTGTTGTCTATTATAGAGGAAGCATATTCTTATCCTTCTAAAGGCTACTATTGCAAAGTCCTCCYTATAATAGAGGTCCCTTACTTCCTAAGATTTAAGGATAAGTAGGATCTATTTATAGTTCCTAGCAAGTATTAGCTAGGCTATAATTGYATTCTTAGTTAATTTAAACTTAGGAGGGAGTGCYAAAAGAAGGATCCTAATTTTCCTTTTAGGTTCTTTTATATATAACTCCCTTTTATTAACCTCTGCAATCCTCTTTGCTATTAAACTAATTTATACCTAAGCTAATCTTACTATGTCTTCCTCTCCTATTCTAAAGTTTATAAGTTATTATACTATTAATATAGCATGTGCTATAAGCACCTTGCTATACTTCTTCTAGAGGAAGAGCTACATTTTAGCAGCTATCTTTATATCTATTAATAATTAAATCTTATCTGCTTTATCTAAGCTAACTCTTAATCTTAGCTTATACCTGCACTTAGCATTCTCCTTTTAAAAGTTTAGCTAGCTAGCTATTCTTGCAACCTTAGTATCTAGATTAAGGAGTAATAAATTATCTAGGTTAATTAATCCCTTAATATTGTAGAAGATGCCTTTTCCTTCTAGGTTRTCCCTCTATAGTTTAAACTATCTTTTCTAGTTCTCTCTTATTAGGATTAGAATCCTAATATAGGTCTAACTRTCCTTCTCTTCCTCTATTTTARTATATAAATAGCTTAGTYCTRCTAAGGCTTTAGTAGTAAAGTRAAGGGTRTRTRTRTRTTTTAAGGCTTTAGATTTAGAGTCCTCTACTCCTTATAGCTRTTAGAYAATCYCTTAGTCCTAATAGTTAAATRTTCTAAACCCTTAGGAACTAATCTGTCTTCTATGTTTTCTTCTTRTCTAACCTRCTATTAAAACTCCTAGYAGTRYAAGATAGGGTACTAGAAACTAGTGTCCTTTCTGTATTAGCTTTATAAGGTAGGAGAAACCTTTACTACTTTAAGGTTAAGGTCTTTTTCCTTCGGCAAACCCGGGCTTATAACCTATTAAATATTAGTCGGAGGTTCGCGGAATTTTAGAGGTGGAGTACAAGAGTAACTTAATCTTTAACTAGCTTACTATCTCCGATAGGCAGTACTTAAAAGTAGGAACTAATATGTTAATTAAGTTAATTATCTAGAGATGTGTCTCTATCTCCTAAGAAGAGATTTTACCCTATATAGAGTTATATAACCTTGTAGCTACTTAGCTCTCTGTTATGTCAGATGTACAGCTATTCTATAACTGCACTTTCTAACAGCGATAACGATTATAAACGTAAAGTACTTAAGGAGGTACTAGATAGGGTTATAGATCCGATCTTAGAAAAGGAGGAGGACGGGACTAGCTCTAATAGCGAGGACAACTACTAGTTAGATAAGGAGGAGAATCTATAGTACGTATAATAGCATATAAGCATTCCCTATATTATCCGAGGTTACTATCTTGCTTATATACGCTAGTATAAACGTTCGGAGTCGCCCCTTATACGCTATATTAGTACTAAAGGTATAATCTCTATAGTAACCGTATAATAATCGTACGATCGCACCGTATAATTCGAACCTTTATATACTACCGCGGTATATAAAGCTATAAACGGGACCCTACTATCTCTACCCTCCCTCTATTCTTCGGTCTACGACTCGGCTACTACTACTATTATAGCTCCTATACGATCGCGATACCGTTTACGAACCCCGAAGCGCTTTATACGGAGGAACGATAGGTAATAAGAAGTAATAGAAGAAGCTATAGCCTCGAATATATATAGAGCGTAATAATTTTAATTACGGCGAAACCCTACGTAACGATATTAAGTGCCCTTTCTACGAGCTCTATAATCTAACGCCGCTAGTTATAAGCAGCTCTAAGGGCGTTATATAGCGGGCTACGTAGCTACTAGCACGCTAGCCTCGCCTTAACGGCGCCGGAATCCCTTCTAGAGTTACCCCTATAGAGATTACCTTTAATATAGAAACATCCGACGATAAGCTAGTTAGAACAGGCCAGAACTACGGCGATAATAATTACCTAAACAATACTAGTCTAAACAATAGGCGCTCGATAAATAAGCGCTAGCGGAAGATCGATACCGACTATATACGGAACCTACTAAAGACGGAGTACGACGCCGGTAACCTCCTAATTAGCCTTCGGCCTAAGGAACTAGCGGGAACGGCATCCGGCTCCTTTATATAGGTAAGGATAACTATTACTATTATTATTACTAGGTACACGATATTACCTAAGGACCCCGATAGGATACCGAAGTTTTAAAATAAGAAGAAGGGTATGTATATAGTTAGTTTATTACTAGCGACTTCGTCGTTCTAGATACCGGTGTATAATCGCTAACTTTAATAGGGCAACCTTAAACTATCTTAGTACCTAATTAGAAGTTCGATTATATAGCTGCTATAATGCAACTATTTAAGTATTTACTAGGTATAAAGTTAGAGATCGATTACCCTAATAATACCCTTATATATATAACTAAGTAGTATAATAACCGTAATAGGCCTACTAAACTAGTGTTTAAGGAATACGAAGGCTCGAGGCTCGCTCGTATCTTCCCGTAAGGAACGAAGAAGACGTATAGGGTGTTCTTAGTCTTTAAGCGGCCTAGCTAATACGATRTAGATAATTCCCTATTATATATAGCCGTAGCGGAAGAGAAGCTCGTTAAGGCTRYAGCTAGGCTCTATAAAAAAGCTATYRCTAGTAATAATAAGAAGAAAAAGAAGAAAGCCCGATCGGAGAAGCYRAAGGTAGAGAAACCTATACGTATTACCTATATAATATRYATCTAGTTACTATACTAATTCCTAATAGGCCTCCGACGACAACCTAGATAATATCGATATTACCGTAACTACGGACGATAGCGACGAAAGCGACGCCTATCTTTTAGCGAACGTTATAGTTTATATACCCTTTCCTCCGTATAATAGTATATCTACTAACATACGTATAGGTTAAGCCCGAACTAGTAGTTAAGGAAGAACTAGTAGTTAAGGTAGAACCTACCGACGACCGCTAGAAGAAGGAGTTATTTCTTTAGAGACTAGAGCAATCTCGTATAGAGGTAAGTAGCTATAGTACTACCCTTTCTACCGTATAATAGATAATAATAATATATAGCGTTTCTCGGTTCTAGCTAAGTAGGGCGGAGGTTCTTCGCGGACCCCCCCCCTCCCTAAGGGGTTAGTTATAAGCGTAGCTATTCTTAGATTTCCCTTACTTCCGAGCCTAGTAGTRCGCTACTAGCGGATCGTACGCGTAATCGATTAAAGCGCCGTTAAGAGTAGGGTATACGTTAACTATAGATAGCGTTACTATCTAGAATTATTAGCTAGAGTTTATATAACACTTTTATCCGGTCCTTTAACGGACTTCCCTCTTAGTTAGTATGTAATATAGCTTTCGAATTGTACTAGCGTTTACGATTTACGATATACTTATATCGCACCTTTGCCTTTTATCGTATAGATTAAGCTATAGCTCTTAGAGGAACATACTACTATATAATATATACTAGTTTACGACATCTCTATACCTTAGCTTACGCCTTCTTCTCTCTACGCTTTATATAGGTAAATAGAAAAGAGATAAGTAATAGGTATAAGGCAACGCCTTTAGATAAAATTATAAGAGTGTTAATATACTAACGGTAACTAGAATAAATCTTTACGATACTATTATATAGCCTAGTACTCTTGCTATATCGAAACCTTATATACAATACGATATAATAGCGTAGGAAACGCTGCAATACTCTAACTCCGGCGCCGAGGTAAAGCTAAGAGTAGTAGTGCATTCTGAAAAGCTATCTATGGGTTGTTGCAGGGAAGTCGCTAAAAGACCACCGTAGGCATATTTTGATCCTTCGAAGTTCCGACCTGGTCTCCCTCCTTGGCTCTCGACTTTGCGCTCACGAGACACCCCTTCAACACACAACAGCGCGTTATTCTCGCGTGAAAGCCATGATGCCACGCAGATGACTTCGATGCACCGAAGAAAAAAGGCCCGAAAATGCGCCAGCTCATCGTCTGAGGCCTGAGGTCATCATCTGCCTGCGTTATCCCAACTAGGCAGTGAGCGTCCACAACTCTCTGGATCGTCAAACGTTGTCTCTGCTCAACCGATGCTGGCAGACGATTTGAAGAGACTTTGCATGACAACCCGCTTAGCAGAAGTATCATGGCCTCAGATCTCCACGGTAGCTATTCTTCTCTTTCCTTCACTTGTTCTGCTCTTTCCCTTTGCGCCTCCACGTTTATACAATGTCTGCCTCCGAGCACCCCAGCCGTGGTCGTTCATTTGCCTCTGCGGACGAGAAGGACCTCGAGAAATGCACCACCGGTCGTAATAGCGATTCTTTCGATGATTCAATCGCACGAACCCAGGATGAAACAACGCCAGCTACGGAACAGAGCTTCCAGCAGAAGCCATCAGAGCAGACTGCCGCAATGGAATGGGATGGACCCGACRACCAAGACAATCCTCTAAATTGGACGCGGCGTAAGAAGATCTTTTACACGGCCATTCCTACCGGCATAGCAACGGTCTGCACGATTGCTTCTTCAATATACACACCTGGTGTAGATGGCGTGAGGCGAGACTTTGCCGTTTCTTCTGAAGTTACCATCCTGCCCTTCTCGCTCTATGTCCTGGGCCTTGCTTTCGGACCAATACTAGCCGCACCAACATCCGAGAACTTTGGCAGGAGGATCGTGTACATGGTGGGAATGCCATTGTTCGCACTCTTCACTCTCGGAGCCGGACTTTCAAGTGGCATCGCCTCTCTGACGATATGTCGCTTCTTGGCCGGGCTTTGTGGCAGTCCTGGGCTTTCGATTGGTGCGGCTACGCTGTCAGACATGTGGTCCCCAGCAGAACGATTGATTCCGATGGCATGCTTTGTGACGGCACCGTTTCTTGGACCCGCGATTGGGTGAGAACAGACATGGTCCATATCTCAACAGCCTAGACTGACAAACGCAGACCACTCATAGGGGGTTATGTAGTCATTGGAGAGAACTGGAGATGGACTCAATGGACAATCCTCTTCTTTACGGTGGCCTGCATCACGCCGCTGATCTTCATGTAGGTTTCCGAGACAAATGTCGCCTACCCAGAGCTGTCGATATGAGGATCATACATCGGGACAAGACATCCTCAGTCATCCCCACAATGTCTCAAGGTCGCGCTCTCTGCAGGCTCGAGGATTCTTAGCCTATTAGAGTACTTGCTACTAGCAGAGTGGCTTATCAATCAATTAAGAGAGCAGACCAGGGCGTTGCTCTTGTCGTGGATTTCTCATATCGACAGCTCTGCACTTATCCTCCCTTGCTGACTTTTCTCAGGAAGGAGACCTACAAGGCAGTCATCCTCAGGCGCAGAGCCAAAGCTCGCGGTATCGCGGTTCAGACTGGAACCCAGCCCTCGCGCTTGCAGGTCTTGAAAGGATACGTCACCACTCAACTTACACGGCCTGCGCACATGGCTTGCGTGGAGCCTGTCGTCGGTCTCTTTGCAATATATCAAGGCCTCAACTTCGGTACGATGGAATTGGGAGCGCAATGAAACTTCAATGATCTGACTTCTTGTCTAGGCATGCTTTACTCATTCTTCGCCGCCTTTCCATATGTCTTTTCCGAAACCTATGGCTTTGGCATCGGTCAGACAGGTAAAGGACAGCCCGCAAATGGCCCTCAATCCAACCAATACTGATACCTGCAGGCCTCAYATTCCTCGGTTTAGGAGTCGGATGCTTATGTGGACTGGCCTTTATGTGCATCATGGCAAAGACTGTGTTCCGCAGAATCATTGCACGCTCACATGAAGCTGATGAAGGGGGAAAGTTCCCACCTGAAAAGCGCCTCTACTTCGCCATGGTAGGATCACCTTGTCTTCCCATCTCCCTCTTCTGGTTTGGCTGGTCGGCCGACACAGGTGCACACTGGATTAGCCCAGTCATAGCGGAGGCATTCTTCGGCTTCGGAAATCTGATGCTGTTTATGAGTGCTACGCTGTACATCATGGACTTTTACGGACCCCGGTATGGAGCTTCGGCGATGGGAGCAAACAACGTGACAAGATATGTGATCGGAGCGGTATTTCCATTGTTTATCACGCAGATGTATAAGAAGTTGGGGATTGGATGGGCGAGTTCCTTGCTGGGATTCATCAGCTTGGCCTTGGTTCCTATTCCTTATGTGTTTTACCTTTATGGACCGAGACTACGAAAGAATACGAGACACGCCAAAGCATGATTACGATGATGAATTTATGAAATAGACGCATATACGGATACAAGGCAAACCGGCTAAATATACTCGCTCGCAACATAACCATCTCCGCGAAGTAATCCTGCATGACAGCTCTCGAAGAAGTGTCAAAGCTACTCAAGCTCCGAAGACTATCTTGGAGACTACCACGGTCCGATGGACGATCTTGCCGACTCGGCGTGACAGATCTACGATGATGGATGAATTCATATATAAGCCACTAAACGCACATCCCTCCCGGCTTTCTATCTTCATGGTTGTTGAAATCTAAACAACATGGCTCACATTCACTCCGCAGATAAGTGGGACAGTAAGCACAACAGATCTCTCAGTTCGATCAAGTGAAAACACTAACATCTCTTCCACTAGAGCATTCATCCAAATGGGCATCCTCAGTCCAAAATTTGACACGCAAACCCTGTGAAGCCCTCCTACAACTAGCGACCTCCATTCTTCCCATAAGCTCTTCCTCTCGTATCCTCGACAATGGTGCCGGCAGCGGAATGTTCACCAACATTATCCTCACACAATACCCCTCAGCCACAATCCTCGCCGCCGACCTCTCTCCCGCAATGCTCAACTCTCTCACCCAAAACATCCACGGACCCAATCWCCAAACCGTCGTGGCAGACGCCATGGATCTCCAAGCCGCCGGCCTCGAAGACCAATCTTTCACGCACGCCATGGGAACATTCTTCCTGAATTTCGTCCCAGATCCCATCAAGGCCATTTCCGAAATGCAACGCGTCACGAAATCCGGAGGCATCGTTGCGATTGCGACATGGAGTCGCGTCGACTATGTTCCCATATGGCAGAAAGCAGTGCGAGAAACCGTGGATGAGAAGTGGATTCCTCCTGCGTTTTTCCATCCCCAATCGACGGAATTGGAGGATGTCAAGGGAATTTTCCAGGGACTTGGAATGCGGGATGTTCAGGCCCAGTCATTTGCGTGTCGGCATGCGCAGAAAGAGAGTCCTGAAGCGGCGGTGGATGAGTTTTTGAATTTGGGGAATCCGACCACGATGCTTCTTATGGAGGGGTTTAGTGAGGAGCAGATTCAGATGATACGTCCTGCGTTTGTGAAGGCGTATAGGGAGGAGCATGATGGGGTGGAGAAGGCGCATGAGGATCTTGCTGTGTTTGTTGTGGGAACGGTCGTTTGATCACGGTCATGGTGTTGGCCTCTTTGACTCCCATCTCTTCGCTGGTTAGCAGAGATTCTAAGGTCATTGACCATACCTTAGCCGCTGACATTCTGATCCCGAGGGATGGAGAAATGGGAAACTGCCGGCCCTCCTAGTTGTGCATCGACGACCACGCTCGCTGGCGGGCAGATATGCCTGCCAACATAAGCAGTCTCGTGGAGAGTTCAGAGTTCTACTGAATAACCTCTTTATAGTCGTGTTGCGATTGTTGCAGCAAGTACGACATCTTTGATCGCTACAGACAGGGCGGCACCCTTCAAGTTCACCCATGCCTTATTCCAAGAGGCATTCCATTGCAGACTTCTGGGAGAGATATTTCTGCCATTGCGTTCTCGCCGTTGTCCACGCTACCACTGCCGACGATCATTTCAGAGGGAGTGTTTGAATTGTAGACAGGAGGTCTTTAGCGACTTTGAAGCCGATCCCTGTATCCCCTCCAGTGCTTAGAACGATCCGCTTTTACAAAGCCACCTGCATGACAAGATACAGCCGTGAGATTTTGGAGAGGATTGGAATAGCCGAGTGCTCGAGCATGTCAAACCATGCATCGCATCAGCGTTCGAACAAGCTTTCCCTTCCGATCTCGGACCACGTGGCGGGGTCTTAAGCCCGCTGATAAATGCCTTAACTCCCGAAGAGGGGCAGAGTGAGGTCAGCGAGCAGACTATTTTATAACCATCCTCACCTAGGGCATTCTCTCGGTGGTTCCTTCTATTATATTCCAATCTATTCCATCCCTGATTTCCACCACAATCACACACCTCTCTCCCATCTCTCCTCGTAACTCAACCACAACCATGGCCTCCAACCCACCAGGCAAATGCTGCACTGTCGGCGTCAAGCACGAAGGCACACCCAAGGGCGAGCTCAAAGACATTGGCAACAGTAAGCCCGTCCCATCAAGTCCTGCAAGTCCCATCCTAACAACCGCACCCAGTCAACACCTACTTCTCCTACCCCGAATCCAAGCAGACCGAGACTGCAATCCTCATTCTCCCCGATGTCATTGGCCACAAATTCAACAACGCCCAGCTCATTGCCGACCAGTTCGCCGCAAATGGCTACTTTGTCGTGATGCCGGATCWGTTCGAAGGCGACCCAATACCCCTCAACCGTCCCGAAGGCTTTGATATCATGAAGTGGTTGACCACCTCAGGTCCTAGCAATGGACACACTTTCAAGCAAGTGGATCCCATTGTGGAGGCGGTGATCAAGGAGATGAGGGGTAACCTTGGAGTGAAGAAGATTGGTGCCGTGGGTTACTGTGAGTGTTGAGATTGTGATGGAGCGTGTGAATGAATGAATGCTGATGAAATTTTTGTAGGCTTCGGTGCCAAGTACGTTGCGCGCTTCATGGCCGAGGGCAAGGGTGTTGATGTCGGGTACATGGCTCACCCAAGCTTCGTGGATGCCGATGAGGTCAAGGCCATGAAGGGACCACTCTCCATCGCTGCTGCGGGTATGTTGTGGCCCTTTTGTGGAAGGGTTTGCGAGCGGTCGCTGACATTTGGTGTTTCTAGAAACGGACCAGATCTTCCCAGCCGAGAAAAGACATGAGACGGAGAACATTCTCAAAGAAATGTCCATCCCATACCAGATCTCGCTCTACAGCGATGTCGAGCACGGTTTTGCTGTTCGCGCCGATATGAGCAAGCAATCGGTCAAGTTTGCGAAGGAAGCGGCTTTCCTCCAGGCAGTGACCTGGTTCGACGAGTTCCTCAAGGGCGAGAGATCGTGGGCTGCGTAGGTCCCGGTCGGTCGTGGACGTTGAGGAGGCGGCGCTGTGACTCGGATCTGTCGACAGAAATTGCTGGTGCAAAACCAGACCCGCCAGTGTAATAATCAGCAAGATGTAGACATGATTAATGCCGTATCCTTCAATCGTCCTCTCAATGCTGTCATGGGTATCATTTCCTTGGGCACCATTTCTTGCAAGATGGCTCTCACAAAACAATCATATCAGCTCAACATCTCCTCGGTGTACATTTTCCTTGACCGAACTCCAACGTAGCACCCACACATCTCCCCTCTTCAGTTCCACATCGCCGTCCACAGGCCTTGGTGCGTATCCATCTCGTAGCACCCGACAAAAGACGGCTGTATCCTCATCCGGTCTATCAATCATGCTCACTCCACCACCCGTATCGTCGATATTCTGTAGGGATTTCGGGAAGRGCGATAGAAACGAGGAAGTGTAATGTGATGACAGGAGTGCTTGATGTGTTTCGAGGTATTCCGACTCTATCGCGGAGAGCAACGGTTGTGAAGTGTTATTAGAGGCGGAGAGAGCGCGGTAATGTAGTGGAAACTGGTCGATCTGAAGAACACAAAGATACATGTCAATATCATTTCCTTGCCATTAACAGTGCAATGAACCCTCGATACCTTTGCGATGCGTGCGCGTAGAAAGGATCTAAGGAGGAACTTGACTCGTTCCAGCTCGGTCTGTAAGATGACCAGCGTGAAGTTGGCCGAGGGATCCATGGCACTCGACAAGGACTCGATAGTTCCAATCTGTTTTTGCACGCCCTCGGTGCATCTTTGGATGAGATGGGACGGGTAGGGGAGGAGGTCGGGACAGCTGCGTTCGTTGATCCATGCTCGCGTCAAGGCTTGAAGATCGAGGGCACGTTGGTCGAGGGAAGGGGCGGAGACGGRGGCGAGAATGTCGGAGATGTCCATTGTGGTCTTGTCGGTGAGTGAGGCGGGGAGGACGGGATTCTGGACATTTCCAAGTGTGACGCGTGATCCCTCCCTCCCTCGTTGTTTCTCGCGTTCCATTGGCGATGACGGAGCGGGGTCCGATTCGACGCCCTCTGCCTGATCATCCGTCCTTAGGTTGCTTGTTCTCTTTCTCCTTGGACATGAACACCAACCACCTACGAGGAATTGGTATCAAGCGGGCATCTGACTGCTGCACCATGATGCATCCACACATGGACCCGAGAAGCGCCAACATGATGAAAAAGAACGGGTCGATGCCCAACCACTCGATCATTGGCTTGTGGAGCAGCTCTTTCCATTGGAGCCGAGACAAATATGCGGCACCCACAGGAATCATCTCCCCGGCCGCGATGGAAAAGCAGCGCAGCTATGCAAGCCATCGTCATTTCAACCGAGTTGGAACAGTCGCACACGAATTTTGCCTCTGCTATGATTGATATAAGCAAGAGTTTGGAGACATGGCAGGCACTCGCAGCTTTCAAATCGCATTTCCTACCTTGAGGACTCTCGAAGCGGAACGACTGTTGCCTCCACCTCCATCCGTCGGACTGGTTATCTTCACTGCGAGCTTGGCAGACCTACGGATTCACCGTAGCCGTGCGACAATAGCCACCATTATCCTCTCTTCTGGGCGGCTTCTATCAACCCATCTTCCAAGATGCCTCTCAATCCCACCATTGTTGAGCTCGTCGTAGCAGGTCTCATGGAAGGCCTAGATACTCGTGTAGGGGACAAAGTAGTGCACTTTGCTTCCAATCCAAAAACCTGGTACGGCAGGGCATATCGTCCGGAARGCGTGGACGGTACTGGCAGTCCAGACAGTACTCGCCGACCAAACGAACACGGCTCTCGGAGAGACAGTGTCGAGTCGAGTGAGAAAGGCTCATCAAACGGTCGCTCTCGGTCACAGAAGCAACATCACACCTCTGAAAGTCACAAAGACAAATTACAATTGGATTGGGAGCCGCACTGGCAAAGCAACATACACCAAGGGCAAAGAAACTCTGAGCCTCGAGCCTTATCTAATCAAGCATCCTCTGATGAATGTTCGCGGAAGTCTTGCCGGAGGACCAGACGATATCAGCGGCCATCATCTCCCGTGGGTATTGTTGACGATGAGGTGGAGACGCCAGCCGGGAGGGAGGCTTCGGAAGATATATGGAAGATGGAGCAGAGACGCGAGCAATTTCGCCATGCTAAGAATGCCTATCGACCGCCCATGACGCAGACTGTAGCACAGCTAAAGTGGGATGAAGCCAGACTGTATGATGATGTTGCTCGAGCTGTTCACGACGCGATGCGTCAGTCTGGAGAGCTAGATCGAAAGAGACCTCGCTGAGATTGACTTTCCAAAGAACAACCCTCTCTCTACCTTCCTCTACCCGCCATTCTTTCTCGCTCACGCACTGTCCCGGGCCCGTCGCACCATGTCATTCAACACTTGCGTGACCAGAGTCACCCTCGCCAGGGGCTCTCGATTCCCCCGAACCAGGGGAAACGAGACGCAGACTCGATCCGGACGCCACCGCACTATCTGAGCGTTCAGCAATCGGACGGAATGGAAGCTGGAGGTGGCTTGGTGGTCCACTCTTGCTCATACCTCGCCCATGCTGACGTCCACTCGTGCTGCTCGGCTTGCGACGGGCGGCGGCTTCGTGTTCGATACTTTTGCGTTCGGCTTGTTGCTGTGCTCTTCTACGTTCGGCTTCTTGCTCTACCTCCCGTTCCCACTTTCTGTCAAAATCATCCACTTGTTCGGCCATGTCAAGGACGGCCTGATGAAGAGCTTCCCAGAAGCGACATTCGTCTGCTGGGATCCAGCGTACCTCGCGATCAGACCCCCGGCTGCGAGACCATTCGCCTGCTCCATGCAACTGACCTTGCGCGGACGTCTCGGCATGCTTCTTCCTTGCCTCTGCCWACAATACTTCAGACCAACGGGTGGCTATGTCTCGGGCTAGGCCCTGGTGGGTGGCACAGAGCAGGAGACGAGCAGGCTCATGCATGTGGCGCTGCAGGTCCTGTGGCCATGTCGATAGCCGCGACAGTGCTTCGATCCGAAGTGTTGCGTCTCGAATATTGTCAGCAGTACTATAGTGTCGGCAGTTGCGACTCATCAAGGACGCGTGTGCAGCACAGATGGGGTCATTTTCGAGGTTGGGGATCGCATAGAAATCATCTGCGATCTTGATCCATGAGTCGGCGGAGTCGGTGGGCCGCGCCATCGATGCAAGGCTCAAAATGTGTTGTTTTCTTTATGTGTGTGTGACGGGATATGATTTCGATGATTACTGAAGCTAATAAAGGCGAGCATAGCAGGTGGTGGGAGAATTTCGTGAGTGTTAAGGTATCTGGTAGCTTTTTGGATAACCCGGTAGGTTCAATACTGCCATACAGGAGGGACATCAAAGGCTGCAACCTCTGTCCGAACACTGCCGATTCAGAAAAATCTTCTGCCACTTTCAGGACAAAGTCTCATGGATTCAAGCGTATATTTCCAGTCGCTGCTGATGAGATGCCCGCCGCTCATGGGTCTGCAAGGCAAAGCACGGGACAGCCATTTCCAATCACGCAAGTCCAATCGACTGTAAGAAAATCTACAGCATCCTTCGTGTACGTCTCGATCGATAGCAACCTTTGTGGTTGCCATTCGGTAATCACCCGCTGTCCTTCATCGACCCACGATGCAGACTTTCGAAGAATGGACAGGGGCCGCTGGTTTTTACATCCTGCTGCGGGATACTTGATTGCTCGACAGTAGAATGCGGGGTCTTTTTGCGTGATTGCTTGCGCGATGTTTTCGAGGCCTGTTGGTTGTTGGGGTCTGGCTTCGAATGGGATGTGCGGTGAGTTGGGAATGGGAATTACCTTTTAAGTTGTTGTATGCTGGATTGGGGTTTACGGCGTCGAAATATTGCTTGTCGATTCCTCGGGCTCCTAGGATGAGCATTCTGATGGGGTGCTAACAAGTGTGCTTCTCCTTCAGCTTGCCACTAATGTTACATACCCGGAAGTACACGGAGGTGGAGTTCCCGAATCTGTACAATTGAGCGCATTTTAACGTTCTGCTATCGGCAACGCCAAGGCAGACGTGATGGCTATGGCGAGCGGGAAGAGGGCTTGGCGGAACAGCATGTTGAGGCGGTAGTGGTGCAGATTTTGGAACGATCGAGGTTTGGTTAACTATGAATTGTCATGTGAATTCTGTGCGAGAGGGCCGGCGGAGAGACGTGGCGCTGCAAAATATCAATATCATGGGGCATGCGCCAAGGAAACTTTCAGGGGCATCGCTTGGTTGAAGGTAAGGTACCTGGAACATTCATCAGACCCACACCCAGGGCTTGTCGTCTTTGCTACCACTTGTAATATCTCATTTGCTTCTTCGGCTTTCTACGTCTTGTAAAGAAAATCTGCTTCGCAAAGACAAATATGACAAAGGTCTTTGCACCGTGCAAAGGAAGAGTGCAGACCTGTTGGTGCTGCTTGCTTTAGGATCATTCTCGTGTCTTCTTCCAATGCAAAGCAGAGCAAACATAACCAGCTGTAAAGAAGTATAAGATTCATCCAAAAGACCTTGGTTTGGAGTTCCTCGTCACAGGTCAGACATTCACATCTTGAAAACAACTCACACCAACGGTCTTTCGACACACAATACAATATTGCCTGCACTTTAGGTCTGACTCATCATGTCTAACGATCATGCGAATACCAGTGAGCCTCTTGGGTATTCGCTTCCATAACATGTCTTGTGCACTCGCTCGACACTAACATATGTAGTTATAACGATCCCAGAACCGCMAACATTACGATCCACTTCAACGACGAACGTGATGGCGACGACATCTTCGCTCACAAGGAGATCCTCATTGCAGGCTCAAAGTACTTCCGACGTGTCTTTGAAAAGGTACCTAGATCTTTGCTCCTGCTGTGTTTAGCTACCGACTGACCTTCGTGARGGCTCCCACCTCCAAAGTACTTGATATGAGTAGCGACAGTCAACAAGCAGCACAAAATGTGATTCGCCACCTGTACTATCTCAACCCGGAGCCCATCCGCTACAGAAATGCCTTGCATGACATCGAGATGTGGATCATAGCACACGAGTATGAGGTTGCATCTCTGATCACAACATCCGAGGTCACGATTGCGGATCAGCTCGAATCTTTGACGCCATTGAAAGGTATTTCTCACTTTACCGACGTCTTGCGTGCCATCTACAAGGCGCCCGAACTCGGTGGCGAGCTTCGCAAGATTGCAGTGCAGGCCTGCAAGGACGAGATCGAGCATCTGATATCGCAACACAAGTTCCGGAAGATGCTGATGGAAGTTCCGGAAATGGCTGTGGATCTGTTGAATGAGATGGCGAAGCCTCAACAGGAAAGGGGTAGACTCATGCGTGTCCAGAGATCGATATCTTGAGATCAGGGTGAGGGGCTGGCATTGTACATGCAGATGGTACGAATCTGCACCATCTGATGGCTTGTTAGCTATGGGGAAGTCTCTCCGGGTCCGTCAAATTGAATCACTGCGACAGATTTACAATTACTTCTGAAATCCTTCCGAGACTGTTGCTCTACCTCTTTCTCCGAACCTCGGGCTACTGTTCAATCGCTTCCTTGCGAATTGGCTCGACTTCCTTCCAAGTTGGCTTACCCGAGAGCTCGTATTGGGGTCTAGGTAAATAGGGTAGGTACATATAGGCTAGGTCTTGCTATGTACATACACACGGAAGGAATCACGGTACTTGGAAGGAAAGAAGCGTCTGGGTGAATACAGTCCAGCCCGTCCCACTGCTTCCTCTTCCCGCTCGTCAGTCATCAACACAAGCATACACATCGAATACTTCGGTTTACTTCTTAAGGCGCCGAGCATGGACGAGACCGACCCGTCCGCAGCCATGCTGGCTCGCAAGCAGAAGTGCGTCTCTTCCGCACCCTCGAGCTAGATGCAGCTGACACTTCTAGTTTCTACAACAATCCCACCTTCTCCGATATCAGAATACACCTTGTCACCAACAATGTCGTCGTAGAGGATATTTTCGCACACAAAATAATCCTCAATATCGCCTCGCCTTGGTTCCAAGATGTATGCCTCGTACTCAACAATTTTCCATTACTGTACTAATTCTGCGCAGAAACTCGGCGAAAGTGAAATGGGCTTCATGGCCGTGCGAGGCACGCTTGCCGAGCATAACGCAACGAAACTCATGCTCCGTTACATCTACGGCATTCACGCCTATCCTGCGCCTGATTCGTCGAGCATCTACATGGACATTGAGCTGTTGCTCACTGCAGAGAACTGCCAGGTCTTCACACTGGCCGAACAGGCCAGGAAGAGCATCACGCAACGGCYGAACATCCTGAAGGATGGCGGGGCTTGGGGTCCTGCGACGTGTGCTACGGTTCTCGGTGTTATTTACGCATTGCCAAAGGATGACGGAAGTCTTCGTCGTTTAGCTTGTGAAGCTTGTCAGGGCCAGATGGTGGGTCTCGTGGAGGAACCCAAGTTTCAAAAGGCGCTGCTCGATTATCCAGAGATCGCTGTGGATTTGTTGAAGAGAGCCGTTTCCAGGTTCGAGACGCCGGAGTCGAACAATCAGAGACAGGTCTGACATATTCAGTAACCTTGTGGTGCTAGAAGGTCATCGGAGGGCCACGGCCAGAGTGCTGACTTGGTTCACATCAAGTTCTCGAAGCAAGAGAAGTAAGGTTGCTGAAGAAGAGAACTATCCTCAGAAGGTACCATTTGGGAGAGCGCTTGGTAGCATACCACAAAATTTCAAGTTTAACTTGCGCTGATCATTCGGGATACCACCTGAGCAGTACAATGTCTGGGGTGTGGCGTAGGACTCTGCAGTGTACGACAATTGACAGCAATGCCATATGTCACAATTTAGACTGTTGCATCGTGAAACCCCGAGCGAACTGTTAAGACACTCTTCAGACAATCATCCATGCTGGGCAGAGCTGTCGATATGAGAATTATTCGTCGGGATGAGACACTTCTAGTCGTCTTTATGACTTCTTTAGGCCTTGCTCTCCGCAGAAACAATAACTCTAGAGCTATTAGAACCTTTCTTACTAGCAGAGCGCCCCGTTATTAAACGGAGAGGGCAGTTAAGGGCGCGGCTTTCTTGATCATTCTCTTATCTCGACAGCTCTGATGCTGGGCCATCCTTGTGTGGACAATTGCGCAGAGTTCGAATGTGACAGGTGCGGCTGTTTTCATTCACTTGGACAAGCTAAGGAACTTGACTAGCGCGTTCAAGGATCTGAGTAGGAGATAGTGGATATGTTGAATGTGATCGTGAGCACTGAGGTGAAGGTGAGTGCGACGGTGGCATACGGTGTACCTGCGCATCTTCAAGGTCACTACTACGGCATGCAGTAGTGTGATTGGTGTTGCGATGGCCTGTGTGGGTGGGAGAGKCTGTGAAATACAGGCGACTCGGTAAACCAACGGCAAGATGGTCGTCTTAGTTCAACTAGGAATGTGAGTCTACAGCTGTCAGAAGTCGACGAGTACAGATTCGGCAGGTACATTGCTGTTCATTCAACTCGGGCAGTCAAGATCTGTCAGTCTGCCTGCCAGTTTCAGTTTCCTCCTCTTCCATCAAGCTCTTGCCCCACTTACTTCTAGCATCGACACCTTCACCAGCATCGACACCTTTACCAGGCTCGCCTCATACAGCCGCCCCTCGACATGGCGGATCTCAACGAGGCCGAGGCGCTGGTCCGGCGTCAAGGGTATGATGCATCTCGACATCTCGACCGCATCATCATCTTCTGACCTGCAGACAGGCTATTCAACAGTCCAATCATGTCCGACATTCAAGTTCTCATCGGAGATTACAAGTTCTTCGCTCACAAAGCAATTCTGAGCCTCGCTTCTCAATACTTCGAGCGTCGCCTCCACGAGAATGATAACGAGGTGAGTTCACCCCGGTGGGAGCTCCTCTCGGGCTTTCGCTTACATTTTCAATCAGGAAAATGCGGAGCCAATTCGCCTGACTGAGCCCCATGGAAGAGATGCCGCTCATTTGCTATTGCGCCACGTCTACGGCTTCGAGGTGGAGATTCTCCAAGAGGGATCCACGGGCGACTGGCTGGGGCTGGCCAGGCCCATCTCGCTCCTGGATGTGGCCGGCCGATACCAGGTCTCTTCTCTCCGGAAGCTCACCGAAGACAAATTCACCGCGTTACTCGAATGTATTTCCATCGCTACCCTCGTTACTGGGATGGAGTCCATCTACCTCTACTTCCCGGCGGGTGACCACCGCCGCATCGCTGTCAAAGTGTGCCTCGATCGGTTCGAAAGCTTCATGGGCTACAGGTGGGTCCAGCCTCTCTTTGAAAAGTGCCCAGAACTGGTGACAGACCTCTTGGAGTCGGCCCTGGGTCAAGATCGGGCGATAGATCGCTTGAAGCAGATCTTGGGTAAGCCTGAGCTTGCGGTGGATATCCTGAAGGGGCTGGCCAGGCTAGGAGCAGGCGCTCCAAGGAGGCTTGAGTAGGATACTACGGCGAGTCCTGGGCAGGGTGCTCCGGCGGAGCCTCCCACGAAGAAGAGAAAGACTATACCCGACAAATAAAGATGCAGGCTTTTTCACGCAATGCGCACGGTATGTCGGCATGGACAGTGAGCCTCGAGGGGCTAGATAGCTAGCTTAAATTTCATGGGTGGGTTGAGTCCTGCCGACTAGAATGACAGAGGAAACGTAATATTTGTTTGTCTCTTTAAATTTCTGAATCTCTTTGCCAAATACACACAAGGGAGAATCAAACCTGTACCCTGGTGCTACTTGACGTATCGTACCTCCCCATAAGCCCATTCAATTCCACGATACTCCGGTTATCTCCATGTCCAAATGTCGATCGAGGGTGTCTCACTGCAATGATGAGGTCGTAGATCTCGCCGCGAAATGATCTCCTCGTCAGATGAGACCGAGTACCAACGGAATCGGACGCTGCGGAAGTCTAAGAGCTCTCCACAAGAGTCGGCGATGCTATCAGTCCAGAACGCAACTCGCTGAAACTGAACCAAGCCGCAAGACAGAGAACAAAATCTCAGATATCTTGAGAGGTTGGGTTTTGGAATAACTCGGTCGCGATTCTAGTCTTGCGATTCCTGTAAGAAAGATTCAGAGGTTCACTAAATTCAATTGCACCAGCTCTCGGACCCGATGTCAGGTATCCCGAATTTCATTCACTTCACCACGGCTTTGTCAGCCCACGAACTTCCCCCACTTTCCAAACGCTTCCATTTATCGCTCACCTTCCTTCTCTCCGCAGCATCAACGTCACTTCGACAACATCTCGCTCAGCTCTCCCCCAACATGGAGGAATCCGATCAGGATAACGCGCTGACAAGGCGCCAAGCGTACGCACGACATGACCTCAACATCTCTGATTCAAGCATCTGCTGACCACATAATTATAGCCTCTTCAACAATGCCGCAAGCTCCGACATTCGAGTTGATTGCGGCAATTCCGGCATTTTCAACTGTCACAAAGCAATTCTGAKCCTCAGTTCTGGTTATTTCGCCAGAGAACTCTTGGATGCCCCCTCTTCGGTAGATCCAGCTGCTCCTCGGCCGTATCTTGACTCTCAGCTGACTGGATCGCTCTAGTACATAATCGAGGATAACAAGCTATCTCTGCGGGACGATCGGGGAGGCTGGCTTTCCTATAACATGCTTCAACACATTTACGGCTTGGAAGTTGAGAACAAAGAGATGATCGAAGAGGCCATTAAGTTCGACGATGACCTCGTAACCGTCGCCAAGTATTACGAGGTGATCTCTCTCTACGATCTCGTCAAAACCAGGATGACCGAMCGACTGAGAGCTGCAGTTGGAACAGAGAGCTWCGCCGAACAAATGACAATCATATACGGTGATTGCGACAACGACTTTGGCGTGGTGGCGGCGGAGTCCTGCTTGGAGGATCTCGAGAAACACCTGGCCGACGCGGAGTTCAAGCACTTGCTCCAAGATGTTCCAAGATTGGCGGCCGATTTGGTGCGGATTTCGCTTAAGCAGGAGCCTGAATGAGCAGTGGAGCACCTGGCGAAGCTGATCTACAGGAAGTCTGAGTTGGCAGCGGACATCGTTATCGATTGCACGCGCTCGCTAATCGCTTCCCCGAAGAGGGTGGTGAAGCCTAGAAAGCGGCAGCGGACTTCAAAGGAATGATGGACATGGCAAAGACGGAGATCGACTGGATGGTATACCGAGCCGTGCCTACACCGCACTCCTCATGTCAGTCGAATTCTGATCATCATTTCGTGCACACATGGTCTGGCGCCACAGCTTAGCGTCTCCGCAAGTTTGAAGTCCATATGCCATAGGCTGGTATGAAAATTGCAGAGGAAGTTTGAACCCGTGCCCACATTGTCGGTCATCTTTCCAAGTCTCTCTCGAGTACTCCATCATCTCCACAAGCCCATCCCGCACGAAGACTCAGTCATGGCGGTAGTCGACGATGAGAAAGCGCTGAGTCGGCGCTAGAACAAAATATCTTCGCCATCCCGGGCAGAGCTGTCGATATGAGAGATTATCAACAAGAGCAGCGTCCTGAACTGCTCCCTCGATTGATTGACGGGCTACTCTGCTAGTGGTCAGGATTCTAGCAGGCCTAGATTCGTCGAGCCTGCAGAGAGCGAGCGAGGCCTGAGGACATTGTGGGAATGGATGAGGATGTCTTGTCGCGATGAACAATCCTCATATCGACAGTTCTGGCCATCCGCATATATCCAGCAATACCGCGACTCTGAAGACGACTTCCTTYGCGATGGGGAGGAATGATGCGTTCCGCCAGGAGGTCAAACATCCGCATTTATTGTAATGCAGCAGAGGTACCTGCGAGCGGATCTCTCTCAACGCATCCGAGTCACGGACAGATCTCATCGGCATGCTGCATGATATCCCTAGATGCAATCTCCTTGGCTGCTTCTAAGAAACTCCCACATAGGACATAGAGAACGGGGAGGTGCATAGGGTGGGTCTTGCCTTGTACATGGGCACGGAAGGAATCACGCAATTGCGGAAAGAAAGAACCTAGCGTCTGAGTGGAGGCAGCGGATGAGGCTGAAGGTATGCCTGCCGCCCGCCCGCCCGCCGGCAGGATGCATCAATGTATGAATGAAGTGAACAAGGAGCAGAACAAGAACCAGGTCGAGCAAAGTCGAGCGAAGWTGAGGTTGGAGAGAGGAGGAATACACGAGAGAACCTGTGTCGGCCAAGATACATATGATAGTGGGAATATAGGAGATTGAGCTTGCAGCAGCAGCAGCAAGAAATATCGTTCCATCGACTGAGTCGCCACGTCCATCCCTCTAGCCTTGCCTCCATCAGAAGCACCCCAAAAAATCAAGAAACACCAAAAGAAACGAGCGAGTACGAGAGAGTATGTGAAATGTGGCTATTAGTCATCCTTCAACCCCCCCCCCCCCCCCTACTTCTCCGAGAAATCTTTCCGCCTCGTCATTTTCACGCCGAGCGACTACTTTTAGTACCCCTCCATCCTAAAAAAAAAGATGTGGGGAAGGAGATACTTATTTATGAAAATCACAATTACATAAAAATCACGGACCTCTTCAAAGAGCCCCCCCCCTCCATCTCTCCGAAAATTCTTTCCGCCTCTTCATTTTCGCACCGAGCGACTACTTTTAGTACCCCTCCATCCTAATAAAAAAGATGTGGGGAAGGAGATACTTATTTATGAAAATCACAATTAATAAAAATCACGGACCTCTTCAAAGAGCCCCCCCCCTCCCCCCTCTCCGAAAATTCTTTCCGCCTCTCCATTTTCACGCCGAGCGACTACTTTTGTACCCCTCCTAAGAAAAGATGTGGGGAAGGAAATATACTTAGTTAAGAAAATCACAGTTGAATAAGAATCACAATTGAACAAGAATTACGGACGGACCTCTTAAAAGACCCCCCTCCCCCTGTTTCTCCGAGAATTCTTTCCGCCTCTTCATTTTCACTCCTACTGAACACTTTTGTACCCCCCCCCCTCCTAGTAAATATATCTTCCTAGGAAAAAATAAAACTTGATTAAGATTTTATTTTCCCTAAGTAAAATCAAAATCACGCACCTCGTAAAGGACCTACCCCTCAATCAAACCTCCTGATACTCATGCTCATCTAACGAAAAACAGGCAGTCACTCACTCACAACAATGCAATTCAGTGCAATGCAATACTCATGATACAAACCCGTAGGCAGTAGTTACCAAGTACCCTCATCTCATCTCATCTCAATCCAATCCCCCAAGTTCCCAAAAACAAGCCCGCTCCAATGCATGCATGCAAGACATTCACAATCCACCAATCCACAAAGCGATTGATATCCCTCAACCTCCACTCGATGCCATCAACCAACCATTTCCTCAAAATCCAAAAAATCAATACCTTCCCCTCCCCAACTCCTCATCCTCCCACCTCTCTCTCTCCCTCTCGCGTTCCCTCTCCCTCTCCCTCGCATTCACCGTCACATAACCACTACCACCACCACTCTCCTCCTTCTCCCCCCTCCTACCCACGCCACTAACAAAATCCGCCAAACTTCCACTGCCTGTCATACTAGGAGGAGCCTCCAAAGCCTTGGGAACCTTGGCCTTGAATTCATCCGCACTATCCTCCTCACTATACTCGTCCCTCTCACTCCTGTCAGCCTTTCGGGACCGGCTGGGTTTCCTTGAAGACTTGCGTTCGGATTGGCGCTCGAGTTCGTAGCGTTGATCTAATTGATTGATATAATGTTAGCGGATGTTCTCTCGTCAAAGGGCTGCAAAGAATATAGTGTGAAGAATGTGATCAAGAAAGAAAAGGCTTACAGCGCCCCGCTGTTCCATCCATCCATCCCGTGTCCCTCCCTCCTCAACGGTCGACGGTGGAGGGAGAAGTGCTGATGGTAGTAGCGTGCGCTGCATTGCCCGAGGGCTCGGATGGGGTTGACAGTTCTCCAGAAATCGACTTGCTTTCTTCACGGAAGAATCGAAATCAGCCAAAGCATTCCCTCCACTTCATCAATAACCAACCGCGGGGGTTGGAAAAGAAAAAAAGAAACGAAGACGGGAAAAAAAAGGAAATCACCCACCTCTGATCGCCCGAGTCTTATCCGCCAATTTCTGAATCTCCTCCTTGGTCAAGACTCGCAACACAATCACACAGTCCAGTCTCTCCTCGAATCTCTCCTGTGCAGCCTCCAGTGCTTCAGGGTTGACCAGTCTGCGATCGATCTTGGTCCATCGTGCTCCAGGCGGAATGCCCTTCTTGGTAGCGTCCTTGAGTGGAGCTACTCCCTCGCGAATGTTGTTGGGATCTTCAGGGAATTTGGGTGTGGGTCGCTTGAGGATACTCTTCGGACGGGACCGTTCTTCGTCTGCTTCCGTTGGAGGATCCACAATTCTAACGCGGTTCTCGCGTTTCTCCGACGCGGAGTTGTCGATGATTTGTACGGGGTCGTTCATGGACATGGGTTGGTCGAGGACCGAGGGGCGTCTTCGGAGAGTTTGTTTGGCAGCGTCGGTGATGACGGTGGACGTACCATCATTGCCATCTCTTTCGAAACTTCGGCGAGAGGAATGAAGAGGGAATTCCGAGGAGCTGTTGAGGTCCACAGCACCCCCGACAGCTGCGCCACCGCCGTTGCGGTTCTCTCGCTCACGTTGCCGCTGTTCGCGCTCGCGACGTCGACGAGCGCGATCAGGGTCTGAGTCTGAGCCACGGTCGTCACTGCGGAGCGCATCCCTTTGAACGCCCAWTTCGCGTTGGACTTGCTCCATTCTACGGCGGTAGTCTTCATCGGCATCAATAGCAGGAGTCGGCATCTCCGCCGTCTTTAGCTCACGCTCCGCCTCCCGTTCTTGGGCATACGCGGGCTGTCGTTCAAGAGTGGATTGCCTCTCTGGCGGTCGATCAAATGTAGCCTGTTTCTCAGGTAGTCGGTCTTGCGCAGGAATAGGCTGTCTCTCAGCAATCCGCTCCTGTTGTGGAGCGTCCCTCTTCTCGGAAGCGCGATCATCCTTCATACGATCCGGCTTCCAATCCGAGTTGTTAAGAGGAGGTGCACTCCTGGGTGGTTCAGGCGGCCCCTCGAAAGCGAATCCCAGTCCACGGTCCGGTTCTCTATACCGATCGCGCTCCAGATCCCGTTCACGAGGCTCCTCATCGCTCGCAGCTTTTCCTGGTCGTCGTTCGCGGTGAGGTGAGCGATCTCGGTCGTCTGGCTTGCGGCGGTCATCGTCTTTACGGCGCTCCTCATCTTTACGTCGCTCCTCATCTTTGCGACGCTCCTCATCCTTGCGACGCTCTTCATCATTGCGGCGTTCCTTCCTTTCGCGCTCACGTTCGCGCTCCCGCTCCTGGTCTTTCAACTCCTCCCGATCCTTGTCACGGTTCTTATCCGTGACCTTGCTCAGAAGGCCAGTCAAACCGAAAGCGGCGGCGGCTCCAGCCAATCCACCAGTAGCGGCTTGRGAAAGGCTGGGCTTGGAAATGGTATCACCACTCTGCCGCGGGCTATTCTCCTTGTCTTTCTTGCTGTGATCCCCACCACGATCGGCAGTGTTCCGGCGTGAGTGATGCCGCTCTCTCTCGCGATCACCAGACGGGTCCACTTGACGGGTGCGCTCCGACTCGACGTGCCGTGAACCTTCCCTCTTGCTGCTGCGGTCATAGTCGCGATCATAAGCAGAACGATCCTCCTCCCTCCGCTTCTCACGAGGTTCTACACGAACCTCGCGCTCGCGGTGTCGTTCGCGATCAATCACTACATCACGGTCCTTTTTATCGACCTCGTGCACATATGGCTCCGGAGCGGTGTCTCTCCGATGCAGCTCCCCATACGCCGAGTCCCGATACTTTTGCGCATCAAAGCTCTCATCACTTCCCCTGCCATGGCGGTTTTGGCTGTCCGCTCGGAGAGGAAGATCGGACCTGATCCCGAATCCTCTCCGTTCCACACTCTGATCGGGCCGACCGTCCCTCGTGACGCTAGATTTCCTCCCTCGCTTCGCCTCTCTCGGCTCCTGAACCTCACAGCCATAGTCGTATTGATGCACGGTGGTCCTGCGGTCGGTGGAGTTGGTCCGTGGGGCTACGTAATACGGGTCGCGTGCATCCACATAGCTCACAGGGTCGGCATACGCTCGTCCACGCGTCGGCGATTGCGCAACATGCTGACGACTCGAACTGTCGTCTCTGGCACTTCGGGTGCGGCCAAGATTCTCATTGATCCTATCCCATCCGCGAGTGCTTGGCGGCGGGCCGATTTCCTTGGCCGGCTGCCGTAGACCGAATGTGGGATCCAGAACACTGACAGGTCGTTCACGGCTTGTGGCACCTCCACGGTCCACACTCCCTCGACGAGGACGAACTTCTCTCCACCTGGGCTCTGTGTCGCGGTACATACTCGCAGGGTCGGTGTAGGAGTATGCGTCTTCGTCGTCGATGCTCTTGTCTCGGGGACGGTTGGCGGTGCCGGAGATGTGATATCCTCTCCTGCCACGGTCCCGTTCGCGGTCGATTCCTGATGAGCGATAGTTGCTGCTGCGTTCGACGCTGTCCCTCCGCTTGGAATGTCTCTCCCCGCTGGCGGCGACATTCACATCGGCGACCAATTTCGCGCCGGTATCGTCGACACTGTAGAGTTTCTTGTGCATTCCACGCGGTTCTTGTGATGAAGCGGGGGTGACATAGTAGTCCTTTTCGCGGGGAAGTTTGACGGGACTGACCGGTCGTGCCGCGTCGGATTGAATGATGTTCGGTCGGGAGCGGTTGATGGACTGGGAGGTGGATGGCACCGTCCCTCGTTGGGAATCGACGAGGGACGATCGGCGCGGTCGGCCGGAGTATGAGTCGTATTGCGTGACGGGTCGGGAGGACGTTGGAGGGGGGACGTTGATGAACGTTTGGGTGGAGATGGGGATGACGCCAGCGCTGGCCCGAGGGTTTCCATAGGAATTGGTGGAATGTCGTGAGGCGGAGGGGTAATATTCGGAGAGGCCTTGATCGGACATGCGATTGGAGTTGTGTAGTCGTCGTCCACCGGGGGAGAGGGGTCGATGGTACGACATGTTGGAGGAAGTGGTGTTGATGGGGGTGATGGTGGCCGCGAGGACCTTGGCGGCGGGGACGGAAATGGAGCTTGAGGTGGAGATGTGGTTGGAGATGGAGGCGGTGCGGGGACGAGCCAAGTAGGTGGTCTTGGTCGTCGTCTTGCTCTTGCTCTGTTCCATCATGGCCGTGTTAGCAATGACTGCAGAAATGAATGAATTGATATCGACCAGTCTCCTCGCGTTAGTTGTTCAGGTGGGATTGTTCAGGCCGATGCTCCCCGAGTCTGCCGTGTGACGAGGGCAGCGGCAGGAATGAAAGCACAAGAGCAACGGCTTGGTGGAAGGGAAGCGGTCGGACGGGTCAGAGCAGCAGACAAATGCAGCAGCGCAGAGCAGGACAGGGCAGGGCGGACAGGACAGGACAGAGCAGGGGACTCTTTGCGGTCGAGGACGGCCAGCCAGCCAGCCAGCCCAGCGTCTTCCACTCTTTCTGCGGCGTGCCGTCGGGCGGCATCCGATCAGCGTCTGGAGGTCGGGACGGGAATTCTTGCACGCTAGATGTCGGCGCTGTCTGTCTGTCGGCCGTTCGTGGGTGTGTCTCCCGTCTCTGCTTCTGCGATGTGAAGTGATGCTGCCCCTCGTCTCCTGTGTTCCACTTCATGCACCCACAGCCGCCAACTCTGCAACTTGACATGTCCGACCAGGACAGGCCCTCGTCTCCATCTCTTGTGTTTCCGTTGCTGCCARACACGCCCTATTCCCCCCAACCAGAACAAGTAAGCGGAAATGGTGGGGCTTACCTGGTCTCTTGATGCCTGACGCGCGACTCCCAACCAGGGATGTCCTCGTAATCTCCAAACCGCCAGCTGGTTGAATGAGATGCYGGGGCTTTGGGCGCAAATGCGACGACGGGCGGGCGGACGGGTTATTCGCCGGGGCACTTGGACTGAGAGAGGCGGGAGGAAATGGATAAGATATGCAACAGTTATGGAGGTGTAGAAGTTGGAAGAATGGAATCGGATCGAGTGCAGTGCAGTGCAGTGCTTCCATGCAAGAGCTGCAAGCCAGGAGACTGACGATCATACGCCTCGACTTCTTCCACTTCTACTCTTTCTCGTCAGGTTACATCATTCGCCGACGATCCATCGGCGGGTCTCACTTTGCGCCAGCCATCTTCTTTTCCGCCTAATTGTCCATGAATATATTCATTGCTATCATCATTGAATGTAAAACATACAATCAATACAATCAATGAATAGTATCCCAATGCTCTCCCTCCATCATCATCATCATCAAGCGACCAATGCCCAACTAATGCATCCTGCACTGCAGAGATAAAGTAGTTAGTGTACCTACTGGACGAGAGTTACCTCCCCTCTGGCTCTCCACTCGGCTTTCCCGCGTCGTGGAAGGAGACAAGGCGCGGAATTGACATCACTGGTGGACTCGTGGAAGGATCGACGTGCGCCCGGCAGCCGGGAAGCAAACCTTTTTTGCTGCCCAACCTGCCCGCACTGCAACATCCAGAAGATGCCCGAAGATGTGACTGCCCTGATGATGATGATTGTTACGGAAACCAATGCGACCAACATCCGAAAGATTTCCCCGACATGCACCTTCCTTGCTCCACACCAACAACGCCACCCGCTGTCAAAAGCAGCAAACTTGGGACTCGACTCGACTCGACTCGACATCCAAGTAATCGGAAGATGTATCCAAACATCAAACATGTTTTTTATTGGACATCCCACCTCCCCACGTACTACGAAACAGACCATGTACCGTACAGTACACCTACTCCAAACATTCCCCCACTCCAACACACTCATTTCATCATTTCAATTCAAATCAATTCAAATCAAATCCCCGGCGTTGTTGACAAAACCCAGTTGGCAAATCTGTCATCATGCCCCTTCACACCACCATCACCACCACTACCATCCATCCCGCGTCTTCTGAAGATGTCCTCATCTCCCTCCTCTTCTTCTTCTTCTTCTTCTTCTTCGTCATCAGATCAACCGGTCACCTCACTCCCTGTTCCCCTCCATCGACGTACCCTGTGTAGCATCTGCGCCGGAAGTCCGAGCCCAGCGTCATATATGTCGAGGATAGATTGTACGATGGCGTCAGAAGCTACGATGAATTTCTTCTTCAGATGGCAGCGTATTTCCCTCGTCGATAATACTCCCTGATGTAAGGTAGACCTTCATCGCTTTACTTGGTGCAAAATATCATCTTTGGAAATAAGATGTTCCCGAAATCCATTCGATTCCAGTCGCGAATCCCATGTATGTGCATCAACGACCCCCTCCCAGCTCCGAGCTCTTTAGAAATCCAAAGTACGAATTGCGTGCCGGTCTTTTGAGGAAGTCGCAGGAAAGTTTTCCTCTACGCTGGTGGGTAATTCGAGGAACCGTGAGGTTTGTATTTTCCAATAAGGTCTCTGAAGGCTAGAGGTTCGCTCCAAACATCGAACGTACTCTTTCAAGTCGATTTCAACTGGGTACACCTTTGGATCGGTTTAGTAAGAGAGGAGGGCAGTGGAAGATCAAATGAATGGAATGGCTCTGTATGCTCTCTTCCATCGCCTTGTCGACAATCCCCACCGCCATCTCGGAATCTTGCATCAACACTCATATGAACAAGATCCCCAAAATGCCATTGATTCAAACACTCGGCAGGACGAGAGTATCAGGCCGAACTTTTCCTGCTACTACTGCTACTATAGCGATAAGAGAGACTTGCGAAAAGTGCTGCTGCACACCACCGCCCTCGATTCCATGTTCTCTGGACACTTTTTCTACGGAAATGCCTAATAACCCATAGCCGTCCGTCCCTCCATCTAGATACCTAGCCTGAGAAAACCCTGCGGATGAAACTTCTTACACAACGTCCGAAGACCTGCCACTTTCCTCTTTTTCCAAAAAGCATCATCGTCATCATTGCTCCCTCCCCACGTCTCCCGATCCCGGATGTTCCTCTTCCTCAATTCCCGTATCATACATGCATGAGACAGACCATCGCCACTCCCGCCTCATAGATCCATCTCCTGTTGCGGAAGAGAGAAGGAAGAAAGATCCTACTGGCCCAGGGAATTCAGAGGAAGAAGCACTTCATTTTCGTTCTTCTTCTCAAGCGAAATGCTCAAGTTTGGTGCACAGGCCGCTCCTGTCTTTTGAGTCCACCATGCAACAATATCTGTTGTTGACATAGGTAGGTACCTATGTTCTGGCAGGAACGCATTCACTATACTTCTACCTACCTGACCAATTATATGACATACTCACCACTCAAGCCGACTTATAATACCAGCCACAAGAGCTGACAACAACCTTCTGATTCTTACCCACCTCTCGAGAACGAACATGAGCAACATTCACGCACAAATGAGATGAGAGAGATGAACGTGATTATAAGATCATTCACATACATAACATATACTATCGACATCTACTATTCCAATCTACATCCAACCATCCATCGTTGAGCATGCCATGGCTCCAACACTTGTCCTCCTCCTCAAGCAAGCCGGTCTCGAACGCCAGTCAGGTATTAACAACCCTCCCAACATGATCCCAACGACTCAATCAAAGAAGTCTCGAAGTGTCAGTCAGTCCATGTCATGTCTTCATGTACGTGACACATCATACTAAACTGCAACACAAGTCAGCGCCATTCTTCCTCCGCAACGACAACACCATGAAGACAACATACCTTTTCACTACAACACTCTACAACCTGCTGCCATGGACAACCTTGTAATCCACAGCAAGCTCGCGACCCTCATCACTAATGACAAGAACCCTCACGCTTCCCCGTCCATTGTTGAAAGAGTCCGTCAAGCGGTTCAACAAGCTGCTCTGGTCAAGCACGGGAAGGCCCTGCTTGACGTCACCAGTCTCGGTCATGGCGACAACACGGCCATCCTCACGAATGTCCAAGACACGGTACTGCTTGAAGACAGGTCCGATCATGTTCTGGACAACAACCGATGGGCTGGGGTTGCTGACAAAGGATGACTCCTCATGGAGCTGCTTGGAGAAGAGGTCGACTCCGAGGTAACGGTGCTGACCAGTCTGGGCCGAGGTGGTGATGCGGATGACCTGGCAAGGACGGCCCTGTAGGATCAAAAGGTCGCCGATGCGGATGTGGTGGCAGGGGATGGTGATGGTGTTGGGAGCACCGACCGGTCGGCCGGTGCTGTAGGTGGAGCGTTCACGTGGGGCAGACATGGTGACTTCGCGGTCACGGACAACGACGTCTTCTTCGCGGGACTCGTGGTGGGATTCGTGTTCGTGGTGGTGGTGACGTCCGCCTTCGAATGGGTGGAGCACGCGATCGGCGGCCTTGTGGAGACCGTGACGGAAGGAGTGGTAGTGGCCGTCTTCGTCGTAGTATCCCATGTCCTTTTTGGATGGGCCGTCGACGGTTCTACGTTCTACCTGAACGCGTTCCTCGAAACGAACGGGCTTACGTTCGTCGAAGCGGTCGGCTGGGTAGTCGCGAGGGTAGGTGGACTTGTCTTGCCAATCACGCGAAGAGCGGTACTCTTCGACGAAGGGAGTGGTGCGGTCACGAAAGTCTCGCTCGGCAATGTCGATGCGAGAGTCGAGGTCGATGTGAGTGGCAGGAGAGTGACGAGTGGGATACTCGCGGTCGTAGTCACGGTCCTGAACGTCGATCTGAGCCTCGGTGTACCGTTGGTATGGCTCGCGGTATCTGAGGGGAGGAGGAGATGTGTCAGTGAGGTGTCACCAGAAGAGGAAGATCGTTGTTGATGATGAGACGAGTCGGTCAGAGTGCAAGTGGAGGATGAGGCGTCTTGTTGCTGGGGAGATGGCACTAGCTACGCGCGGAGCTGCGGGTTTGTGGATAGCGCCAAAGCGTGTTGGAGCTTACACCCCTGACGCCTCGCTTGGCAAACATGGCCCGAGCTGTTGCGGTGTGCAGTGGCCCGTGGGGAATCGAGTGCGAGTGCGAGCGCGAGCCAGTTGCGGATCGCGGTTTGCAAGGGCTGTAAACAGAGCCATGCTGCGTGGTGTGATGTTTTGCTGATGTTTGGCTGATGTGTTTGGGGTGGTGTTTTCCGGCGGCATCTCCTATCCAATGTTGTACTCACCTCTGGCGCTCAATGTCAACCTCTACGCGCTCGTTGCGGTATGTAGGTCTCTTCTCGCGGCCTTGAATGTGGACGTCGACCTCCTCACGGTAGCGGTCGTCTCGACGGGAAGTCTGAGAGGTTCGCTGTGGATGATCTTCTTCCCGTCCAGCGCCCTCGACGGTGACCTTGGTGTCCTTGGTGACTTCGGTGTCGGTGGTCTTCTCGTTCCGGTRGGATGACGGAAAGACGCTGAACGAGACCCTGTTGTGATGTTAGTGTCGCGTCTTCGCATCCTCTCCTCGTATCGAGGATGGGAGAGTGCTCACGGAAGTGTGGCGTTATAATCCAGTTTGGCGAGCTGGGCTCGAGACCTTTGCAGAAAGGCCGCCGAGCAGAGCTTGGGGGTGCAAGATGGACACTATGTGAATAATGCCAGCTTGCTGCGGTCTCGGGTCTTGGTGGAGACGGGAGACAGCTGATGATGATGCTGATGAATGGAGGGGTGGAAGAGAGGTGTCGAGGGTAAAGATTGGAACGATGATGTGGAAGAGGGCAATGTCGCGGCTTATGCACAGATCCATGGCCAAAACAGCCACTAGACTCCATAGCAACCCAGACGAGTGCACCAACCACCACTCACATCACGATGCTGCCTCGGTGTGGAGAAACGAACGACTGTTGACATGTTCATCCCAACAACGCATGCTTTTCGCTTTCTCTCATCATCAGCCTTTTGAGGCAGAATGGCTACATTGATCACGCATGTTGACGCCCAAAGTGATGTTTTTCCACCTTTGCCCCGTCTCCACACCACCCCTGGCCTCGTTGGGCGGTAATCCAGTGCAACTCCCCGTCATCTTGGACGACAACGCCTTCAAGTTGCAAGATCCACCCTGCTGTCGTGGACTTTGCCCATTGGGTCGTAAATAAGACGTCCAATGCACTCAAAACAATCCATCACATCAGCCCATGTCGATCTGTTTATCCATCTCCATGCAGCTTTCAAGGAGCTGCGCGAATTTGACGCGCTACGAGAGCTTAAAATCTGGAGCTGGCTGTCGAGGACACGCAATCGGAGCCAGGCGGCTTTCACATGTCAGTGAAATCGAATGGCTACGGACGTACCTTACGGAGTACCTCGTAAGGTAGGTACCTCTCGCTACCCTGTTGTCATCATTGGCACCGTGTTTGGCCACAGAACGGCCTCACCCAATCGCATCAGAAAAGCAATACAACCTTCAGGAGAGCGTCGGGCGACGTGGACATTGGCTACGTGGAACTCGCTGCGGCCATATCCCTCGTTTATTTCAGCCTGTAAAGCACGTCATCCCTATCCAACAACATCCTCACGCAGCTCCAGCATTATTCATCCCATACGCGACATCCTTGGCCTTCCCATCATACCTTTCCCGATGCTCCACATGCTCATCGACATCCTTCCCAACAACATCATCTCTCTCATCACCATCATCATCGCCATGTCCGTTCTGCAACAGCCTCGCCCGCGAATACTTGGGGATCGTATCCCTGATCGCTCCCTTGATAATGCTTCCCTCAAACAAGACGTGAATGCTCTCCAGCGGGACACCCTTTGTCTCAGGCACAMAAAATACAGTATACACCACCATCATCAAGCAACAAGCTCCGAAAAGCAGAAATGTTCCATATGTGATATCCGCGAGCATGATCGGCGTGAGCTTCGCAATGACAAAGTTGAAAAGCCATTGTGTCATGAGAGCTGCGGCCATGATGAGGGAGCGGACGTGATTTGGCTGTTCATTCAGTTCCATTAGCTCAACCCCAAATGTCAACATGTGAGGGAGATTACTTACAGCACACTCGGCAGAGAGCACAAATGGAATCGGACCCCAGCCAAAAGAGTAAAAGACCACGAAGAGGTAGACGCAGATGATCGCGAAGATGGAGTTGCCGTTCAAGGAGGATCCAGGAGCCACGGGGTTCACAGCTTGATTGACTCCAATGTAAAACATGGCAAACGCCTGGCCGATGCCTCCTATGATAAGGGACCATTTCCGGCCGAGCTGTTCCGTGGCGAACATGAGGCCAAGGGCAGTGATGACTACCTTCACAACCCCATAAATCCCCGTGGCAAAGAGGCCAGCGCTGGTTCCTTCCAGACCTACGGCCTTGAAGATCTGTGGAGAGTACTATATGAAGCATGTCAGTCGCCATGCTTAGGACTTTAAGGACAATACTTACGTAATTGATGGAATTGGTTCCCGTCCACTGCTGCCAGAACATCAACATCACGGCCATGGCAAAGGTATAGAAGGTTTTGCCATTGCTGCAAGTGACCTTGACTTGTGCGATCAGAGGCATCTTTTCATGTCCTAGGAAGTCTTCGACGATTTCTTCGAGTTCGCGGGAGACGTCTTCGTCTGAGGGATCTTTGGCGCGGACGTGAGAGAGAGCCTTGCGAGCTTCCGAAATCTTGTTCTTCTCGACGAGCCTAGATAGAACTGTCAGCTCTGGACGCTATAGTGGGATTTCAATGTTTCATACCATCGTGGACTCTCGTTCTGGAAGACCAAGCCGATCAGCAGAAGCGCTCCGGGCAGCATCTGTAGCGCAAACGGGATCCGCCATTGCTTGCTTGAGGTGTCTGATACGCTCTTGTTCACACCATAGTTCACAAAATACGAAAGCATGATACCGGTCACACTGAGCGATTGGTCAGCCAATGTCTCCTGCCTCTCGAGAAATGGCGGACTCACTTGAACAGCTGCATACATCCGATGCAGCGCCCTCTGATCTCTTTGTTGGCATTCTCTCCAATGTACGTCGGTACCACCTGAAGCGAAACGTAAGCAAGTGTCTTGGATGACGGGAAGCTGCATGGAGGTTTCGAGACGTGCTCTACGCCTTCCATGCTTCAATTCGACTCACAGCAGAGATGAGTCCAACTCCAAATCCACCAATAACCCGACCAACGTACAACTCAGTCAAAGAAGTTGTACCCAATCCAGCACAGGTCTGCACGATACTCCCAATGATGAAGATGATATCCGCGATGATGAGAGCTTTCTTGCGTCCAAAAGTATCCGAGACATAGAAACTCGACCTAGAGGGATATCAGCTAGAAATCCATGTCAAGCTAGTCTCCCCGTTTTCGACTGACATGGCTCCAAAGAAGCATCCTGCTTGCAGAACCGATACAATGTTTCCAGATAGGTTTGCGAATTCATGCGTACTGGCATCTAAACCGAAACTGTCCTGGAAGGACTTCATCGTCAAAACTCCCCCGATGAGACCTGTCATACCAAAATTAATACTCTCCACAGTCTAGAAGGAGAACATGATGTATACCAGTATCCCACCCAAACAACATCCCACCAAAAGACGCCACGGCCGTGAGGATATACGCCCTCCGATACTGGACTATATCCTGCCATATCGTCGGTTTGGCCGCCATATTCGCTTCCCCTGAAGAAAGAGTCTGATACCTAGGTCCAGGTCCTGAATCCCTGCCGAAGAGGTATGAAAAAATGCTTGAAGAAAAGTATGCTTGATCCTGCTGTTGGCGTTGTTTCTGCTTGGCTTTGCGACGGAAATAATGAGAGGGGAGGAACAGAGCCTTCATATGTACGGAATGGGGAAAGTCTCAACACGAGGAGTCTCGAGGTTCCCGACGGCGCACACTCGCCGCCCCAGAAAAGACCCGCTTTGGGATGGAGTTGTGGAGAGGTTGTGGAGTTTGGGTTGGAGAGATCACGGGAGGGAATGTCGGCATTGTTTTGCAAAGGCCGATTTGACGACGTTGGATGTCTTGGAGGTAGCAAAAGCCGAACCGGTCTTGTGAAGACCAACAGGCGAATACATCTCGGTGTCTGCTCCATACATGGGCAGTTTCGAGGCTTTACTCGATTGCACACTTCAAGTTTGGAAAGGCAGAATGCGGAAGACAATGCAGACTCAATTTGCTTTGAAGTCTACCCATGAGGCTTTCGATCTATATCAAAATCTACATCTTCGACGTTGGCTTCTTCTGCTCCGGAACCTGCGTGACAAGTCCTTTGCCTTCCACCGCCGACTTCAAGTTCTCCAAGACCAGCAACTCCATATCCTTCTGCGTTTCCCAAGTCGCAGTTCCAATATGCGGCAGCAACACCACATTCTCATTATCGATCAAACCAGGGTGAATCTTCGGCTCTTCCTCAAACACATCCAAGCCAGCAGAAAACACTTTACCCTCCTTGAGAGCATCCACAAGCGCAGCTTCGTCAATGATGGGCCCTCTAGCGGTGTTGACAATGACCACACCATCCTTCATCATATCARACTGCGGCTTCGAGATGATATGCCGTGTCGATGCATTCAGCGCCAAGYTGAGGGTAAGGACATCCGAAGTCTTCAAGAGTTCTTCAAACGAGACGTATTTCGCTCCCTCTTCTTCACTCTCCGGCAGCCGGTTACGGTTGTGATATTGAATTGACATGCCGAATGCTTTCGCACGATGTGCCACTGCTTTTCCAATGCCTCCCATTCCCAAGACACCGAGGACTTTCTTATTGGGGTCGTGGCCTAGAGCGAAGTTTTTACCTCTCCATTCTTGCTTTCGAACGTTGGTGAATGCCACGGTGATTCTTCGTAGAGCGCCGAGCAAGAGGAATATGGCGACTGACCAAAATGAGCTAAAATGACAAACGATCATGGAAGACAAACTCACCATCTGCCGTCGCTTCATTGACAGCAATCGGCGTACTGCTAACTCCAACACCCTTTTCGGTACATGCAGCAACATCGATATTGTCATATCCAGCTCCGTTGTGTGTGATGTATTTCAAAGACTTGGGCAGGCTCTGTACCAGCTCTTTGTTGAAAGGACCAGTAACGCTCGTAGATTCGTTCGATCGATAAATGGCCACAACATCATCGTACTCGCCGGCCTTGACCTTTGATAGGAAGTCTTCTCTTGAGCCTGATGGGTATTCCTATAAATCGTCAGCCATCTTCCATCAAGTTATGAATTCTGCGTGCACACCTTCAATGTGAGGAAGGAACCCAAAGCTTCCCATTCCTTGCGAGCGTGAGAGATGGTCCCAATGAGCAGAGCCGATCTTGATGCAGCCATAGTTCCGATTATGTATTAGAAGAGTGTATGAATCCACAGACAGCTCAGAGAGAGAAGAACATGCTCGAGCTGGAAGAAAGAAAGTACGGTGTCCCGCTCGGGGTTCGTGAAGCCGTCAGTATCCGCCTCAAGATCATCCCGCCCGTAGTGCACCCCTCCGGCAAATGCAGCTGGGTTCATGACATGTGCCAAATCCAAGACTGCTGACAGGGTCGGCGTTAGAAGATGTGGAGTATTCTACCTTCTGGCTCAAAGTTCTTGCCTTGAATTTCATTACCTATCTACAAGATTACAGAGTCCATGCTCTGAATGCAATGCCGCAATGCTGTGAGCGTGTCATGTCCCGTCACTCTTCCAAACAGTACTCCATACACTCGTCACTCAGTACGGCTTGTCGACAGTCTTGCCGCCGCAGTCTGGAATCTTGACGCCGTCTTTGAAATTTCGGTCCTCGTCGAACAATCCCCAGAAAGGCTCCCATTTGTTGTGCGCGGTGTCAAACTGGTGCTTCCATGGCTCATCAAACGCGGAGAACCAGAAGAATGTGGTTCCGTTATTCAATGCTCCACAGACCCACTCATCGAGGAAGATGTTCAAATTGTCGATGCTGGCCACGGCACCATCAGTGTCGCTTTTACACCCAAAAGCGTCGTCAGTGGCAACACCACAATCGTTGCCACCCTCTGTCGGCCATCCGATCTCGGCAATGATCTGAGTGGGATATGTGACCGATCCGATAGTGTTCGTTTCAGCAGTCTTCAGTGGCACATCTTTGCCTTGCCAGAACGTATACGCCCAGCTTGCGGAGTCTTCTGCGACCGTTCCCGCGAAGAACGGGTGGATATTCGCCATGACAATGTCCGAGGTTGCTGCCAAGGCAGTGTCCCAATTGTCGCCAAGATCTGCCGTGGCCACTGGCAGGTTGATGCCCTTGGCCGTCGCGTTCTTGCGAATCTCTTCTAGCGTATCTCCAAGCTCCGAAGCTGTCATGTACTTGGAGTAGAGGACTTCATTTCCCACAATAAGCCCAGCAAAGCTGTCGTGGGGATAGTTGTCGAGAAGATCCCACATGTGTGCGATCTGGCGGTCGTTTGTAGTTGAGTTTCCATCCAGATACACGCCGATCCAGACCTTCATAGTGTCTTGCATCTCCAGCCGGGAGATGGCCTCCAAGACCAGCTCGGTTTGGTTGCAGTCAGTTCCGTATAACCTCACAGCGGGTGCCAGTTGCGAGAGCAGCGCAATGTCGATGGTCACATTGTTCTGATCGGGACCACCATTCTTGATATCACACGCCGGGTACTGGGCATGGAACGGCGTGTAGTCTACTGCCGGAAAGACTTTGTGAAAGTCCTTGTTGTTCATCAGAGCCTTGATCTCCGCGCTGTTGATGGTGAGATCTCCGCCGGAGCTTGATCCAGGTGCAGAAGGGGAGCTGCCACCACCGCCTCCTCTGTTAGCCAGGATGCCGCCAACGACACCGCCAACAATTCCTCCAACCACCAAGAAGAGGACGAGTGCTCCAATCATCCATCGCAGTCGTTTCTGCCTGGTACTCTGTTTTCTGAGCCACTCGGACTTTTCAGTCTGACCTACAGGATCGTAGTTTCCGCCGCTGGATCCACTTCCCATCGTTCCAAGCATACCCGCGCCTGCGCCAGTAGCTGCCCCGGCTCCTGCTCCCAGAGCACGCCGACCGTTTCTGTTCTGGGGAACATGCTCAAAGTCATCCTCTCCATCATCTGCTATGTTGCTGGGGTCGAAGTCATCGTAGGCGTCGCCATAGTGTGAGCCGCGCGACATGTGTTGTTGATAACCAGCTGCGAGTGCTGTGTTGCTTGCAGCAGGACCGTAGCCAGAGTTTGAGTGAGAAGTATGGCCAGGAGATCGTGGAGGCGTGGAGTATCCGATTGCTTGATGTGCCGTCAATGGAGCCAAAGACGACGATGATGAATATGAATGTTGGTGGACGGGTGGTGCGGGGTTGCTCAGGTGAGGAGGAGGTGGCGGAGGTTCCGGGAGTCGAGAGCCGTAAAGATTATCGATGTCTCGTAAGGCTTGGGCACTTCCTTGTCGATGAACGTCGTGTGATGGCATGCTCATCATGCTGACACMTCCCTCGTCCATTCCATAACCATACTGGCGATCTGGGGAGAGCGGTCTATTGTCGTGATATGGATTGGGAGGTGAGTGTCGTGAGCGCTCCAAATGTGATGATGATGATGATGATAAGTCCGGTTGCATTCCAGCAGAGTGGGCCCCCTCCACATGGCCTGTGGGGATTCCATACTGTCTTCCCGACATGCCTATTGACGGTCTGGTCGCGGCACTGAGCTTTCAGTACACGACGGAGATCCGAGATGCAAGTACAGCGGCAAAGATAGCCACACGCTTCGTGCGACCAGGTGGCACAGCCTTGGGGGAGACGTGTGYGACAGTTGCGGGGCTATGTACGGAGTATGTACTTCTTGGCCCGGTGGCGGGACTTTGGTGTGATTCAAACGGCCGGGCTGGGATCACGGCACCCTCGGGATCACAACAAAAGGTGTTGTGAGAGAAGAGAGCATGAAAGACTCTACTGCGAGCTTTCGGGGCTGGTCGTCGTATTTCTTCGTGAGCTCTGCGCAAAAATCGTAAAGAGGTAAAAGTTACATTCGGGGTGGCTGATGATCTATTTGGAGGACATCTCGTATAAGCTTTCGGAGTCGTCGTCAGGGCGATCCGCCTCCACCCCACCACCGGCACGCTTTTCGCCCTAACAATGGCAAAAAGTCCAGGCGTTGGACTATACAGCCCGAGATGAGTGCAAACGATGTCACATGCGTCGACTCTATAGCCCCTCGAGATGGCAAAAAGACAAGCTTCCCACCCGGGTCGAACGAGTGACTGATTTACCATGTTAGAACTCTACTATCACGATGTGGATTGCGGGTGACCAACCCTTAGGATGATTGCGCGCTGCAATCCCACGCTCTACCACTGAGCTAGAGACTATAATTGCATTAGATGGAGTCCCTGAGGTGTGTCGTTGATCAGAACCTACAGCTCGGAGGTGTTCCATGTTCTTGATCTTGGCCGGCCAAAATTTCAAGTACAATATGGATGCTTTGTGATCTGAACCGACGAGCGGTGAGCTTCTCCACATGGTTCTCGCTTGCTGGAACTTTGAAGACCCGTACTTGACACGGGAAGTGGCATTTCAGTTTTCCATCAGCCCAACAATAGTAGCGTCGTATGCGACATACACGACTGCACAGAGACCAAGACGATTTCTGAAATCGGCAGACCTACGATGGAACTAGGCGTCCGATTCCTACGAAACGACGTCATCAATCATCGCTTCTTTGCCCGAAACCTCGCCATCCTCCGTACAATGAGCCTTGGTCCAATGGTCTCGCATCTGATCATGAGAGATCCATCGTCAATCCGTGCGGCCAACAGAGGAAGTCCCAGCCGACGAACATCATCTCCCGCTCAAGTGCTCGCCTCAAGTTCTCTGAAGACAATACCAACTTCACTCCCTTTGCAATGTAGCCTCATCAACCCTTTTCCGTACAGCCCGGCCAGTATCCGGCGCCCAGGCATCGAGAACATTCAGACTCTGTTGCATGCCAAATGTCTGATTATCGAGATCTTCTTCATCAGGTAATAAGCGGGGTGTATTGCCCTGGAGGGACATGACTCTGTCCGCCCAGCGCATCAGTCTTTTGACCAGATCTGGAAATCCCAGGGCCATCATTCCGCCGCGGAGATCAATCATTCGTCTTTGTGCAGGCCGATGGATTTGGTTCGCTGCGGTACGGTCGCCATACATGAACTCGTGGAGAGCGATGCGCCCGACCGCCAGAATCAGCCCGTCGGAAACACAGCGCTCAGAGTCGGAAAGTGCTTCGTTGATGGCTTTGATCGCATGCAAATGTAGCGAGTACGTGCGCTCGCGCTCAAGGACGCCCAGTCGCACCATGTCTCCAGAAGCAAAGAGCAAGCGTACGTAGAGAAGTGCAGGCTCTCCCATTGCTTTCTGCGTCATGAAATACTCCCAGTCCACGCCCTGTTCGTTCGTTATTGTGAGCGACGGCCAACCGCGTGGCGCAAAAACTTTCATCATATGGTGCAGTAGCCTATCGTACCAGGGTTGCCACGGTACTTGATAGGTCGTAAATGGGTCATTTCGAACAATGGTATGGAGCGTTGGAYGCGGAATTACGTGACGCGACGTGGCTTGCCCCATGTCACGTCGTTGATCGGTCTTCGCGTCGGCGATGCTGGCCTGACTGTCCGTAGAGGCTCCTCCAGTAGATGAAGGAGTTGCTAATCTTCTGCGCTTTCTCGACTCTGACCCAATGCTGTCATCGGAGTGTTCCAATGGCACAGGCGACGTGGGTAGCGACGCGACCTGGTGTTCTTTTGCCTGTAGCGAAGCATCGAGTAATGCATGAGCCTGGGAGCTCCTAATCGCCAGGGGCAGCTTCCTACGGCGATGCTGTTCCCGTGTGATATGGCTGCGGACTTGCTTACGACGCTGGGTACTTTTGACCTCCGATGGATGGGAGATGTTGAAAAAGGTAAAGTTTGATTTGACCTCTTTGGATACTGTGAAATAGCGTTAGACACGGCTAGAGGGTGGGAGTTGACTTGACCATGGCATCGACTGAGCACAAGAAAACGTACTGCGGTGGGGTCGCAACGGCATGGGACCCGCTTGGGACGGCGGGTGCTCATTTCCTGCATTGAAAATGTGCGCCATGTCCACACCCTCTCGCTTGCGAGAAGTCCGACCACAAGGCAGCTTCGACGGTAGGCAGTACAGATTGCATGCCTCTTGAAGTATGGTGTAAGTGCACCATGCCCCAGGTCTGTACTTATTACGCTCAGTGACGACGGGGCGCCGGTGATTTCGGTCAGTTACACAATTCTAGCCTTGTCTGGTAGCTGAGAGGATCGCAATCGGCTCAAGACCAGGGCAAAAAGATTGTGTCTAGATTTTGGGGATGGTTTGCTGGGAGAGATGGACGCATCATTCTGATATTTAACGCAGACAAGCATGCTAGAGACCCGACAGATCGCGGCGGCGATGGATCTGCGGTGCTAGGAGGGATGTGGGGGATCGGGGGGACGGTGACGATTGTCCCCGGTCGCCGTCAATCAGTTTTCACGATCTTGCATCTTCCAATTTGATACTAACACTCCCTGCTCGCTCTCAGCCCCATGTATTGGTCGCATATGCAATCGATGAGGTCATGCCTTACCAATAGCGAGTGCAATCGACTGAGTACCTAAAGGTAGGAGATGGATGGCCCGTACAAATACACTGGTTCTTGCGCCACGCGTTCAACAGACGTCTGGCGGCAGTGCCTGGCTCTGCGTGTGCTGGACTACGAAGGACCCGCCTTGAGATTTCTCTCTGCATCCGCTTATTGCCCCACAAGCGATGTCCTATTTCAGGCCCCCGGCGATGATGATGCTTTGCCCGGTGGCGAATCCAGTACGAGCATAGAAGGAGCATGCATTGGCAACCTCATCCGGCTCACACAATCTGTGTAGAGGTATACTATCGACGAGCCCAGGGAACTGGTCACCAGAAGGCAGAAGGCCGGTATTGCCCACCATTGCCTGAGAGTGTTAGAACCAGTTCGATGGAGCAGATGACTGTTTGGCATCACTCACAGGAGCCACATCGTTGCAGGTAATGTTGTATGGAGCTAATGTGGTGGCAAGGTTCTTCATCATGGCCATCTACTACCTGCATTAGCAATCTTATGCTGCAGTTATTTATCGATCAACATACCATGCCACCCTTCGATGCGGCATAATGACAGCCCTGGGAAGAGTCAGCTTGAGTCTGAGGACAGAGTACGACTGTCACAAACATTCATGCCACCGCCATACGCAGCTATGCTTRAAACGAAGATGACACGACCCCATTTTTGTGCCTTCATGCCATCCACGACGCCTTTGACGAGCAAGAATGGAGCTCGTAGGTTTACGTTCAAGGTGATCTCGAACTCGCTCAAAGGAATCTCAGAAACATCTCGTATCCGTTTTCCATAGCCTGCATTGCTTATGAGAATATCAACAATGCGGTCGTGTTCTTTTTGGACATCTTCGCAGAGCTTGGTCGTCTGTTCTGGAGACGCCAAGTCGGCCWGGTGAATAGAGAATGACTGTTTGCTCTGGGATTGAGCTGCACGGGTCCTGAACTCTTTCACCAGAGCTTCGAGAGAATCTCGATTTGATGAATATGTCAGAGCCAGATCACAGCCAAGGTCGAAGAACTGCTTTGCACAGGCACTACCGATGCCACCAGAAGCTCCTGTAACGGGGTTTAGAAGGCATTGTGATCATGGTGTGCCGTGGAAAGGTCAACTAACCAGTGATTAGTACAAGCCTACCGGCAACATCGTTATCTGGGCTTGACATGATGTCTCGAAAATGCTCGAGATTGCAATGCTGCGCTATCAAACTATCTTATAGGCAAAGTGAACCCCTACGCGCCGTGAGTTGCCGTCCTGCCGACAGCCGATTCTTATGCCCCACTCTCATGATGATGCTCTTCCATCTCAACTGACAGCTTACCCCGACATCGAAGCCCGGTACCTGATTATTCAACATGGAGGGCAGTGAGACCATTACTAAGAGTCTAGCCGATAGAGTCAATCCCGACCCGAAGAAGGAAAAGCGAGTGAGCCGTGCCTGTCTCGCCTGCAGAGCGCGAAAGTCGGCCTGCATATTGCAAGTTGCCCAACCCTCCAACAGCCGATGGCGGACGCTGCAATGTTTCAAAGAAATTCCCGGCGTGTGTGGCTATGAGCCATGGGGCTGCAAGCCGACACGCCTCGCTTTCCGCGCAACAGTGGCCGACACGGATAACGGATCAGATCGGCTTTTGACTGACCCTTCCGTAGGCCAACCGTCGACGGAGTTATATCGACGCCATGCGAAAGATGCAAGGCAACCAATCTCGAGTGTGTGATTGGATCAAGCAATCGTGGCGGGCGCAGAGTGCGCAAACGAACCTTTGATCAGACTGGACTGGAGGACGGAACGCCTTCTTCAGTGAAGAGTTCCAACCCCATTTCTTCCGGAGAGGATGTTCAGAATACCTCCTTCAGTAATTATCGGACAGATGAAACTCCAACCCATTCCGCATGGGCGGCAGAGGAGTACGGTCCCTCCCGCCGTGCACCAGAGAGGACTTCGCCTACTCCGGCCATCATGCTCGACCCAGCTCTTGAAGCTGCGGATACCAACGCAAGGGAATTGCTAGACAGGAATTCTTCCGGCTCGGAGAACATCGCCTTCAATGACCTCCAAAATCCGAGTGACGCGTTGGGCATACTAGCCCAGATTGCGAGCAATGGAGAAAGTGAGTGGGACTTTGCCTGACAGCATGCAAAGTTCAAACTTGTTGACCATACCAGACGCTCCTCCTTTGAATCGCTCGCACAGTCTACCTAGGGCATATGATACATCTCAGCTCGACTATGCGCTTGTCAGAGATGGTCGATTGTCATTCTCGAAGGTCATCACATTGCTACAGAGGTACAAGTATCACTACCATCCATACTTCCCACTCACCCCTGCCGCCACACTAGATGCGGTCAATCTCTCAAAGACAGCATTCGAAGAGCCACATCTTTTGACTGCGATCCTTGTAGTCGCTTCGAGGGACTTGACTGATGAGCCTCATGTGTTCAAAGCTTGCTCGGAGCACATGCGATCGCTGGTCTCAGCACTCGCAGCGGGTGGACCGGGCAATGTTGAGGCAGTTGAGGTATTTTCCTTGGCGGTCCTTTATATCCTGATACTTACGTGTGTTAACTCATGAAACAGGCGCTGCTCGTGCTCGCCGAATGGACACCCTACACGACTCGATCCGATGCTGGTCATGTTGGCCGCGGTGAGGAAGATCGCGAAGCATGGATGCATGTAGGGACTGCTCTACGCATAGGTTACTTCCTGGGCCTCGATAGGTATTCCTTCCACGTCCGAGGAGACGATGCCAAGGATCCTCAATGGCAGCGCAAACGTCTTGTCTGGACTGCTTGCTATATATCGGATCGACAGATCTCCATACGTCTGGGTCGTGCGTTTTGGTCGAGGGGACCTGGTCCATTGACCCATTTGTCCGCTACTGACTTCCCTATGCTCGCTCCCGCCAGTCCAGGTGATGAGAATTTCGCTGAGATTTTCCAGGTACGTTTCATCTCCTCCATGCTGTTTCGATGTCGTTCTGACGAAATACAGGCTACTCTAGAGCTCACACTCCTGTTTTCCAACGTTCATGATGTATTGTACAGCAACCCAGGCAACTCAATGCGCAGTCATCTGGCAGGAGGTTACATCAAATACATTGACGACTTCCGCAGCGCAATCTATGGCTGGAAGAGTGTATGGGGAACTCTCACTTGTTCACCGCAGCTGAAAGCAACGCTTCTGATGTCCTATGACTACCTCCGGCTCTATACCAACGCCTTTGCCTTCCACGCAACAGTAAAGCGTGCCCTGCCACAAATACAGCAAGAGAGCCGAAAGTCAAACAGCACCGCTCCAGGCCGTGTCTTCTACAACAATGTCGGCGCTGTGGGAGATGCCCGTTTCATCTACGAGGGACTGGACGCTGCGAAGAGTTTGCTTAGTATGGTAAACACTTTTGTGGACCCGGAGAAGTCTCTACGATACATGCCACTTCGATTCTACCTCTACTCAATCTACTCTGGGGTATTCCTCTACAGAGCGAGATGTGTGGGCGTCCTTGCTCCTGATGAAGAGCAGTCAGTTCGAAACATGGTCAAAGAGACCGTGAATAGACTGGTCCGTAAACATACCCCTTTTTCCAGAACAAAATCATTAACAGCTTTCATAGGAGCGATCAGGAATTGGCACACAGCATCCCGGCAGTCGATATGCCCAACTTCTCAAGCTACTCTGGGAGAAAGTCGAGCGCAAAGAACGCAAAGGCACAATCTCAACGGCTACCCTCCAAAACCCATATCGACCGGGCAGTATGGGCGGAGGACCAACGCCGGCTTCGAGCTCCTCTGTATTAACACATGACTCTCCCGCCACAACGGAGGTCATGGGTGATTTCTCCTGGACGGATTTGCAGGTTAGTGCATGCATCTTGTCCCATGGGCGGGAAGTAGAGTTGATTTAACTGACGATGGAATCTTTTGCCCACAGGCGATTGGGGACTTTGCAGTCAACGGTAACGGCGGGCTCATCAACGACGCGGAGTGGTGGAGTGGATTCCTCCCGGCCGACAGCAACAATTTTCTATTTGATACGTTGATGGGTGTAGACGATTGGAATCTGGGCCTCTAGTGAAGGGCGCCCAGATAAGTGCATTGAGCCGTGAGATCAACGCCAGTGATTGATTGCGTGCATTTGACATGAACGATGGTCATAGCGTCAAGCGATGAACATGGACCATGCTGTCCCTTTGAGACGCTGTGACGGTGCTTGTGTGAGTGACTACACAGTGAAAATGTTAAGATCGATGGCTTCATGTTCAATGKAATGCATTATGGACATTTACATATGGAGCAGAGTCAGCACGTCGTGCGACTTCAACTCCGGGCATCATATCGCTGCACAGGTCAGCCATGCCAGACCGACTTGCTCGCAGCCCCAGCGCCCTTTGAACTCCCCTCATTAATGGTAAACAACTCAACTCCCATGCTCTTTTGAACGCCAGCAGTATAATCATCCCCTGAGCGATGTCGCAATAACGCTCAACGATGCGTACAGCCATTAATATCACCATCTACGAGCGTCCGACCACTTACATGGACTCGGCTCGCCTTGCACTCTTGTTACGCTCGAGCCACTTTCGCTTGCCTGGGCGTGTCTCGAAGTGGGTCGCGATTGTTGCCGCCTCTTTGCCGTCTGCGATCATGGTGCTTCGTATCTTGTTGCGATATGCATCAAGCGAGCGTTGCAAGAACAATGTTCGCCCTGGTTAAGCGTTAGCTACTGATGGTCTGGAGAGGAACGACATGCTTCGACATACCGTTAAAAGTTCGTGCCTGTCCCCAGCTCATGCGGTAGCCCAGCTCGTTTAAGGCAACTTCTTTGTTCCTCCGCGACTTGGTCATGCGAGGCACAGGCAGTTTGGCCTCGCTACCGTCCATGAGGGAAACAGGCACCAATGTCTTACCAGCCGCACCAACTTCGGGGCCATCGTCTTCATCGTCCCAGTGACCGCGCGCCCGCGGTGAACCAGGTGGCGATCTCATCTGCCGAGCAAAGTAGGAACGAGGGTACACCGCGTTGATCCTGAGGTGGGCGTCTGGCATGTCGTCCATCTTGACTTGGTCCAGCATTACCCGGACCCTTACACGAGTACCTCGTTGGGTGTCGTCGACGAGTATGAACTTGCGACGCTTAGATTCAGGCACGTCGCCAAAGAGTGCACGCTTATGCTCTTCGTCTTCATACTTGACCGAAGCTGTGGCAAGGGTAGAGGCATGACCATGCATGGATTCCATGCCGAGGATCGATGGCATGGACGAGGCCGGATGCGAATGCTGAGGGTAGCTTGGGTAGAAGTTCTGCGCGTATCGGCCCGCTGGAGATGCTGATAGATGATCGTTCTCTCCGTTTGCCCCTTGCTCAGGATGTCCGGCAGCGCTATTGTAATCATTTCCGGCTAAAAGCGAGTCCAATCGTTAGCGCCCGAAAGTAATGATCTGATGCATGGATGTGAATGCGAAGCGAGAAAACCAGCGCAGCAAGTGATGGGCAAGAGCAAAAATGTACAAGAACAAGATACAAGATGCGAATTGCCAATCGCAACCGTCGGCGAAGATAGTAATGCTGTACAGAGTCGTACGGCTAGGATGACGGATATGCTCACGACCTTTCTCTCGGTCCCTCCAACGCCACAAATGCGCATGCAACAATAGTAGTACAAGGCAATCATTCACATCTGGTGGAACATACCGCTGACGTCGTTGCCACCGCCGGATCCGCTGCCGTCGGTGTGATGGTGATGCATGCCACCTGGGCCCATATTCGGCGGGCGTCCTGAGCCTTGGGCCATGCCGTTGGGTGGCAGCCCAGCGCTGCCAGGCCCTTGCGGACCCGGGAATGGTCCACCAGGCGTCGCCTTGGCTTGGTTCCTTGTGTTGATCTTCGCCATGCGTCGCACGCGACGGCTCCGTAATCTCACGTCTTGGTTGCTATTCCTCCAGCTGTCAACGGCACGCTGAATCAAGCCACGTTTTTCGCGCAAGGGAGGGTTCAGTTGTKCCAGTGCCCAGCCAACCGCATTGCATTCGCTCTCATAGTGCAAACGGTTTCCCTTGTATTGGTCTTTGCCGCAGCATGCACGCGGGTAAACGCAATTTGCAGACTTGAACTCTTGGCTCAACTCATCGACATTCACCGACTCGACGTCGCAGCGGATGGTGTATTCCATCTTCACGCGGTCGCGCGAGTACTCAAAAGCAATCCACTGCACGCCGTTGCCATCTTGACGAACGACGAGCGGCGTCGTTKCCGGAATGGGACCTGGAGCTGCACTTGCATTAGGGTCGTCTGTGGAAGATGTCGGTATGCCGTTCATACCTGGACCTGAAGGTGTTTGGGACGTTCCCTGAGGAGGTGCCAGAACCGATGGTGGCCGCGGAATGGACGATTGTGATGGTTTGGCGTCGATTAGACCAGCTTGCGGGTGACCCTGTTGGGATTGTGACGATTGATGCATCTGTTGCTGGGGCTGTTGGTGTGACATCAGCATGCCGGGTGCCGATGTCATTTGTGAATGATGCGATGCGGCAGCAGGATGTTGCCCGTATGGCGACGGCTGCTGCATCTGGTACTGTGGGTAGTACATTTGGGTAGGCATCGAGGATAAGCCGTACATCGGTCGACCATGTGCATCCGTCTGCGGCGAGTGGATGGATGCCGGAGAGTTGGACTGCGGTGTCTGGTAGCTTGAGATTGGCGGATACGACTGGCGGYCGATAGCTGCCTGTGTTGCTGCCATGCTCTCGTTTGGTTCTGCAAAGCTGGTCAGTCCCAGTCCAAAAGTACGAGCCATGGCATCGATACCAGCGCAACGACCAAGTCATTAACGCTCGGGGTATCTTGGTTGTAAATTAATTGGTTTCAACTCACCTGATGATGCGTAGCTCCCCGCAGCGCTATTGTTGCTGTACGGACTGGGATGGGCACCGAAGAACGCGGGCTCACCAGAATGCTGCGATGGGATACCCGGTACAGCAGACGTCCCGATGTACGGAGACTGGTGCTGCTGGTGCTGGGGTGGCAGGCTTTGCGTCGACGAATGTGGCGAAATGTAGGGTCCTTGAGATGATTGTAGATTTTGGGATTGGTGAGGCGAGTTTGGGCGGTGTTGTTGGATTAGACCTGCCGATCGTGGATGCTGCATGTGCTGGTGGGGTGGAGGCAGTCCCTGCTGTCCATTTGACTGATTCTGCAACGTGCAATAAGAGTCAGTATATGGAACGGTGCCTGAATCGAGCGCTGATTATTCATGTTTCATGGTTTCGTAGCCCAACGGGGAATCGGAGACGTGYAGGCCAGCAAAGCCCAGGTTGTAACAGCAGCGACAGGGACAGGGAAGATAGGTGTGGCAGTTGGCGGGAAGCAGGGTCAGCTCAGCGGTGAGGCAGCTGTAACTTTCGCAGCATCCGTCTGAGGGGCACGGGCGGGGAACGGGCTCCACTTGGGAGCGAGTTGCAGGCGTGGATGGGTTTGACTTTTGTCGTGCAGAAGGAAATGTTTGGGGAACAGAGTCGGTCAAATCAAAGGTAAAACAGCGCTGGGTGTGCAGTCGCGAGTCAGGGAGCAGAATGTGAGAATTGAAAAGCCGTACCAGCGGTGGGCGAGGTTCATAGTGATGCTGTTGTTGGGGTTGATGTTGCATAGTCGATGGTCGCGTTGCCGATGACGAGGGCAGGGCGCGCGAGTGCGTGGTAGAGGACATGTGTGGCAGGGATGGGAGGTGCCGTGCTCGCGTGCTGTCGTGTGAAGGTGTTTGGAAAGTGTGCAGAGCGCAGGCCGGGGCGGGTGTGGCGGCCCTTGGGGCAACAGATATGCTGCGGGAGCTGAGCAAGGTTGGGTGGGGGAAGAGTTGTGGACGTGCGTGCAGCAGCAGCAGAGCAGAGCAGCACGGCGGGTGAGGAGTGGTAAAGCGGGCAACGAAGCAGGTCCAAGAGCACACACACGCACAAACACACGGCAGAGCGAGCGAGTAGAAGGTTGTTCAACGTACCATGCCGAGAACGACAAGTCTGAAAGCGGGCTGTCGTGCTGGGATGTGATCGTACGGCAAGTCAGGATTGGGTGCCGGGCGGTGTCGTGGCAGGGCGAGCGCCTGCTGCTGTCTATGCGTCAGACGGCGCGGCGAGCAGAGTTCGGCGTACAACAAGCCAACGGTTTTGCGGGCTGATCGGCTTGATAGACAGGGAGGGGAGCGAAGATCGAAGGTAAAAAGCACGCCGGGGACCTAGCTAGCAGAGGTGCAAGTGCAAGGTTGGTTGGGGTTTAGGGATTGATGCCCTGCTAAGCCAGCAGGGCCTTATAGCGGACGTGCCTGCTTTCGCGTTGCTTGCTCGCTGCTGGGGACTGCGCCGGCCTTGGCGCGCGAGACGACGCTGATTAGCTGCTGCACGGGCGACGGTGAGCTGCGAGGAGGAGCCCTGGCAATGATGCCTGCCTGCCGGCCGCCCACGTCCGGGAAATGGGCCGATGGGTCACGGCGCTTCATTCCTCTGGCAGGGTGTCCGTCCGCAGGCAAGAGGGCGGATGTGTGTGTGCACGCAAAGGTGATGCGCCGGCGTGATCGACGTCCCCTAGAGCGGAGCCTAAGCAGCAGTGGCTGCGCAGGGCGCTCGCTTGCAAACGCTGCTACGAAAACACGAAACGTGCTTGTTCACTAGCGCCGTGCGACGTGCAGAGGAAAAAARCGTATCCACCTTTCCACGCGTTGCAAGCCTCCCGATGGTACCGAAGGGCGGAGTCGCTGTTGCCGCCGCCGTTGGCGAGCACCGCTTCAACCTTCGCTTCACCTCACCTCGTTGACGCTATCAAACTCACTTTGCGACCACATGCAGACCTGCGCGGTGCCAGCACGGCCCTCTGTGGTTGGTGTTGTCGACGCTCACCTCATCGACCGACCATCGCCGTCGCGGGCTGCGGCTGTCCGCACCCGCATAGCTCTCACGTTGCACCACACTCACGCGCATCGGCTCGCTCCGTCCTCGTTTGCCCGAGCTGGACCAGTTAGAGTGCGTGAGGAGTTCATTCATGCCGCCCAAGCTTGGCGCACGCATGCTCTGCTTCTCGCCATCAGCTGCGCTGCAATGCACGCTTGGGTTGCGCAACACGACAGCGGCGTCGCTCGGCCCCAAAGCCCTCACGAATCCTTCGCACGCAATTGCCCTCTTCGCCTTGCTCGTCAAGGCTCGACCCCGCATTAGCTCATAAACGGGTCCTTTAGCTGCCGCGAAGCGCCAGACCGCTGATGGCGTCGATCTCCGCCTCTTCTTCTCCACAGCACCTTGCATCGATGCCTGAAACAATCGCTAGAGCATGAGCCGCATGAACCTTCCTGCACCCGAAAATGCACCGAGAGAGGCTCATGTCCCGAAATCAACACTACCGCCCTTTTGCTCTGGCGCGCRGCGTGGCATGCAGGCTCACAATGCACCCATGAGAATTTGACCATGTTTTGTCCAGCAGGCCTCGACTAGCTCGGCGACCTTCGCAGCGGCACGCGCAAGCGAAGATCTCATCGGCGTTATTGATAGGTGTGCAATGAGAATGGAATGCTCGCACAAGCTTGCGTGAAGCAGCACTAACGGAATCCTACCGAAAAGCCCGGGTCATCCGCACTTCGTTTTTAGACGACGAGGACATAGCGCCGCATGGGTATACTTGGGTTCGACCCAGCCAGCGCTATCCTGCACTACCGAGAGCGACAGGGCGACTTGTGGCACCGCCAACCACAACAACCTCGCTTCAAGCCAGCAGGGCATGGATTGCTTCCTGGCGCTTTCCTTCTTCGAGACCACATGCTCCGATTGCCTAGCGCGCGACCCCGATGACAAAATCTTCCATGGAGCTCGCGATCGGCTGCGCGACAAATTCTCGTTGTAGTTGGCGCGTTGGGCTCGACAGACAGCGAATTCCTTGATTGTGCTGATCTAAAGCCAATCCAGCAATCTGAAACACGACATTCAACGGTAAGACGCACGTGGCTCCCTGGACTCCAAATGAGCTACGATTTTCGTACCAGGCTCAACCGAAAGCATCATCCTAGCTGCCGAGGAGGCCGCTGCTCAGATCACRTGGGCCTTTTTTGGTGCGAAATGCATTCCCGGAATTAACCCTTGTCGTGAGTGATGCGACATGGGTACATGATCATCACGTTGAATGCTTGCAATCTCTTTCACAATAATGCGACGCAGGAAATGATGCACACCAGTGGAGGCACTCGTCAGCTGTGGCTCGGTTACAACACTACAAGTCAAAGTCTACAGTGGCATAATTGGACTGTGTCCCGAAACCTAGCTCAACGGCAATGAGAAGTTTCCGCCAGTCCGAAAGCGCAGTGGAGACTAGTAAAGCACATTGAAGCTTAGCTTCGAGGAGAATTAACCATGTGCAATTGCCGACCATTCGATACTGTAGGTCTCCTCACTGCTTAAGTCACCATACAGCTGACGCTGTTGTCGAATGCCTTGGCTGGGTACCCCGCTCGCGGGACAGCGCGAGCGCGAGCACTCAATCGATCTGGCTCTAGAAAACTAGGACATACTGCGAGCGCGCAGTCAGGCCCACAATGCATTGTACGTGGTTTCACGTGCCTCGCGGCAGTGTCACRCATTATCAAAGATCTGATAGCTACCGTACCCGAACCGGAGGAACTGTCCGCTGCCTGAGGCCCTGCTTCACCCTGGTACTTGCTGGCAATCGATCGGAAAGATTTTTCCCGCATTACGCGAAGCAGTGCATGGTGGAGCAAAAGTGCATTGTTGTTGATGATCAAACCATGACAATGTGGCTACAATTATTGGTCCGATCGTCATGATTCATCCACCCACTCAAGAACTCCCACGATGACGGCTTTTGCAGACTGCTTGCGATCACGAGACCCGAGACCCTTTCCACGTTTCCGCCTTCAACGTCCAGCGCGAGAGTCGCCAGAGAAGGCATAGTTAGTGATTTACTTGAGATTAATCCCAAACCAGAAGACCATTATGATACGAGACGCGAGATGAAACATGCTAGGACAAAGTTTGTTTGTGTTTGGGAGTTGAACTCAAACACCAGACGGTCTGGACTTTCGCTCCTCTTCCGCCGTCTTCCGCGTCGGCACACAATAGACTTCTGGGTTGAAACTCCCGAAGCAAAGCACGAAAAATGCCCGAAACCTGAACATTTCACAGTTGCATTGAAAACACATCGCAGAATGATGACGGGAAAGTCGCGATCGGGGCTGGGACTCAACCATTCGGAGGAATACTCCGCAAATCGCGATGACCTACAAATCAGACGACGCACACCTTTACAGTAGTGGGAAAAGTCACATTTGCCGAAGTGCATGCGAAAGGGTGAGGACATGGAGGTAAGGATGTTATCATCATCACTTTCTTCGAACACCTGTCCGAAACCTTTTCCTGCGACGCCTTGACGCATTGTTATTATTACGATTGAAGGTTGAATTGCAACACCAACAATAACATTTCGATCTATTCCTGGCTTAGATCTTGTCAGATCAAGGCCTCCACAGCCCAGGATGCCAGGTGTTTCTCAAGCAAGGATTCTCCGCTGTTCCGGAGCTCCAGGATAAGCCCTGAAGCTGGCATATGCAGCCATCTCAACACCTTGCAAGCGGCTGTCAGCATGGGAGGGGTATGTCCAAGGGCATGGCCTGGACTCCATGATTGACGCAGGCAACTTGCGGGAGTGAGACATGGGCCGCCGAGACTCGACAATCGAACGACTCCAATTTCGAATCTCGCCGTCGGGCACAAGATATGAGGCGGTCACGACATCGACATCATCATGGCACGGAGAGTAGAGTTCCGTGGGCTCGTGTCAACTATCATTAGATCCAGTGATGACGGAGCTGCTGACAGGAAGGGAAAGTGGTTGCGTGGAAATGTCTTGCCCCGCGATAGAGGTACTGTAGTGCATGTGTGACTGCGTCCCTCTGAACCATTCACCCATTACCCGGAGACGCTGTCCTGTCGGTGACAACCAGCGTTCTCCATGGCAATCTAGATCTCACGACGCTATGAAGGGGTCGTGAACGATTTCTTGGGCCTCGTTCCTTGTGCCTGCTGCTCGACACTGMAAGACGGAGCGCCTAGKCATGGGTCCCAGTACGACGGGGCTGTCAAAAAATGCATGGTGTCGCTTGCTTCTCCCGTACGACGCCTAAATATGACGGCTCTCGCTACCGACTTGACTGCGCGTTTCGATTGATATCAAGGCGACGATCATCAAAATTTGAAAGAGACGCTGCCATATGAAGGACGGTCTCTTGGAGGTTTTCGCTCTGCCTCTACTCCCACAAAGATACCACCCATGACGATGCGCCAGCCGTACGAACCCGACATCTGCGCAGCTACTGCAATGGCCCGCAACGTCTTCACCACGGCATACGGTGGACGTTGAACGACAATCGGAGCTCCTCTTGCATATCCGGAAACCATCTGATTCATGTCAGATCGCAATCGGACTATACTTCGAAGCGTCGCGACAAGTGTGTTGAATGTGGAGTACTGCGACCGTTTCCGCCAACTCCATCCTTCTCTATAAACATTCAAGATTGAGATGTTCTGCAGCACTTGTCAAGACTATCAGGCGTTGACGGAGAGATGAAAATGCTCAACTATATCCGTCGAGACTATCAGGCGTTGGCGAGAAAATGTGTCCGTTGCAGCAGCCACACCGCCATGGAGTAATTTGCATGAGTCGGGGAGCACACCTATACGCGAACATGACAAAGCTCCTGCATGTACGTCTAGATTGAGGCATATCTCTCCACATCTCTAGTAGGTGGAAGTTTGAAGCGAGATAATGAATGAACGTCGACTGCTGTGTACCTCTAGTTACTTCGTTCTGTTGGTGTGGTGCGAGACTGTGTTGTGTGGCTGTCAAAGTTGCAGCCAACCGTGTCGTTCTTATAAGCTTTACTTTTCCATTAAGTGACGGACCTCGATAACTGATGGATGTTGAGTGAAGTAGAGGTTCCAATCGGGATTCTTGTTCGTCCCTATGTTGCGTGGTCGTATCGTTCGCCTTTGGACTGTGGACTTAAGTGTTCCGAGTCGTGCGCTCATCATTCCCACCAGCTAGTTACTGGTGCTGTTCAATAAACTCGACATCAATCGACCTGGCGATGACAGGACATGTCCAAGCAAATACATAGCTATCTATTTATGCACCGCGGGAGCATGGAGGTGAGTTGTCCATGCGCATTAGAAGATTTCAAAGAGACGTTTCCAATGCTGTGGTACTATTCTAACACACGGTCACCCGAAAAGCAGTCAACAACACGGCCTCACTCAAGTCAGACCTCCATAAAAGCGAAAATGGCGGTCGAAACAACCCTCCAAGCGGGTAATAGTATCTACATGCGTCAGAGAGCACAGCAGCACGATAAATCACCGTTTCTACACTACCCCAACCCTAACCCTAGCACAAAACTCGACCGAAGGCTGCGTTCTCGAAGACGACGGCACTCCAGTTTCTTTCAGAGACTTTGTAGRCATTTTACCCAAAAGTCAGGCTTTCATCAACCTCACATCGTCCAGCTGGAGTMCCTAGTTCTCAGAATGAACAAGTTTATGGACTTGGCCGCTCCCTTTCCAGATGGCAGAGCCTCTATGTCGGGGCTTTGTATGCAGTGTTGTGGGCGACGTGGAACATTCTCAGAATGAGTGTCWACTGATACGTGATACTTTCACAGGCCACGAAGGCTCAACCCAATGGATAGGGCCTGTGCTACTCCACGGTTCACGAAACAGAGCCAACTGTCAAGCTCGCAGCTGGATGTGGCTTCCAATATCATATGTCTAGCATGGGTATGGTGACAGAGAAGACTGCGATTGAGCTGGAGTTGCCGAGTACCTAGGAACGATATCTCGAGGTTGTCGATATCATATGGAGGCGTGTAGAGCAGATTGGCGACAACTACAATGAAGTTGAACCGAGAAATATCGATGTGAACTTTCATTTTGTCTGTCGCGGGTTGTGTGCAGTGCAGCGTAGATATTGTCATCATTGAGAGTGGTTGGCGTTGTTCCGACGGTATGTGCAATGTAGAAGTCGACAGAGGATGCAGGCCCTCTTATGCAACGGCTTGACAAGGCTGCTCTCTGTACTGATAAACATATTGTGTCCGCTTCTGATACAGACGTTACAACAAGATAGTCCCATGTACGATAAGGCTGTCATACCGCGACAAAGCATCGCCGAATTAGGGTATATAAGAGAGCGTCCAGAACTGTCTTGCTCACCCCAAACATCACTCAGCCGGTCTCTCCGGTTCCACAAGACTAGTTGCAGAAGAGCACGTTGAACTCCACCATCCCTCTGGTCTATTCCTCACAACCGTCTGATCAGTAGCCGCCGTACTCACAGCCCCCAGGGAAGTTCCAGATAGGACCCGTCGTTGTGCGGTCTCGTCAGTTCCGGGGCTGCTGTGTTGAAGTAAGCTCAGTGTCGCTCTCGCCTCGCTGGACGCCGAAGATGTAGAAGGAGCACGTACAGTTTCGCCGGGCAGAAGGCTAGCCTGAAGGGTCCTGGTCCTACGCGGACTGGCAGAAGAGTGCGCAAAAGCGGATGGTGCGAGCATGAGTCCTTCCCGACTGCTGTTCATTTCATCGTCTTGGTCGCTTTCGTCCATTTGCTCCTCGGCATGAGAGCGACGGAAAGCGTCGGAAATGGGCGTCTCTGGCATTCGGCGAGACTGCTCATCGTCCGAGTATCCGGGAGGCTGTGTACTGTCGAAGATGTTGCGGCTGGGGAGTTCCAGGCCTCCGGTCCAGCCCAGCGCCTCGCGCTTGGTGACGCTGGGAGTAGCGTAGTTGTTCAAAGCTTCGAGGACATGTGGAAAGACGAGGTGCTCAACATCACTGGCCCAGAGGAGATCCAAATGCTCGTACTTTGGTACGCACTTCGCAACGGTATGCCTGGGCAGCTCCTTGAGCATGAGCTTGATATCGACCAAGCTATCGCTCCCGCCGTAGACGAGAACGATGGGAGTCTTGATGTTTCTGGTGGGAAACTTGGCAACCTTGTAATACTTGCTTCCTGTAGTGAAGCTGCCTGGACCAGTGACCTCGTCATCGAACATCTGAAATTTACCATTTCGGATGATCTGAAACCAGTGAACTACACTCTTGGTGCTGGTGAAAGAGTATAAGTGAGGATACGCGGCCAGCTTCTGGTGAGGTGTGATGTTGGCCGTCTTCCAGCCAAAGAGGAAACTCAGCGCCTTGTCGATGACCCAAGTAAAGATGGCTGGGTAGAGTATAGCCTGCCACATTGTCGTACTGCTGAGCATGGCGCGACGGCCGAATGCCAAGTAGAGTACTTCCGGGTTAGATTTGACTAGAGAGCTTACGATGCCAGAGGCAAGACCCGGAGGTGCCATGGCTGGTGCCAACGCCACGAATACATCGACCTTGGAGTTGAGCGTGGGATGAATTGACAAAGTAGCAAACGCTTGTGCAGTTCCTTGACTGAATCCAATATATGACAAGCTCGGCTGCTCCGTTGTGCTGAGGATATAGTTAATCGAATCAGGAATATCATGGAAGGCAAAGTCATCTGCGAGGGCGAGTTAGTGATGTCGATTCGAGTGCATCTCAAGCCAGACGATAACTTACCCATGCTGAAATTCCAAAACGGTAGGTCTATCGGACCGTAATGCAGCGACTTTTTGCTGTACTTGTTTCCTCTGTTATTACCGAGCCAGACATCGTAGCCCTGATCGACCAGCAGAAAGGGCAGACACCGCTCCTGCTCCGTAATGCATACCCAGACCTCGCTGTTCATCATGAGACCGTGGTGCAGGTATATCACCTTCTTCTGTATGCTGCCTGGCCCGCAATTGACACGCTGATCCTCCTCGCCTTTGCGCCAGGCGAGTCGGTGCACGCCCAGAAGGAAGCCATCTTTCGTCTGAACAACATGCTCCTCGGCAGAATAGCCGTAGAGCTCGCAAAGCGCGACGAAATCATCTGCATGCGCTATGGAGTATGAAACACCCTTTTTCTTATTGCGGGCGCGTCGCGAATATGGCGATGAGAGGCTGTTGAAGGCATTGCGACTGATCCGATACCCCAAGTGAATGATAGGCGTGGGGAGTAGCAGGGTTATCGTCCGGATCACGACTTCGAGGAGGAGGAGGACGAAGGAGCCACCGAGGGCGAGGTACTCGTGGATATGCAGCCGCCCGACGAAGGGAACGGGAGGCATTTTGATAGCGGCGGACGGCAGGCGGGCTTAGGTGTCGATTACTGGTATAGGTCGCATGCTATTTGAGATCGCTCGTAAACGGAGGGCATGTCCATGGCCAGCATCAGGAAACGGGCGGCGGTGTGATCAGGTGCATGATGTAGCGAAGGACCTCTTGTCCTCCCTCCCGCCAACTGTTTTGCATGTGATCGACGGGCCGGCGGCAAAAGTGCTGGAGATCTCGGGAAAGGCATCAAGTCATGATGGCCATCGAAATCATCCGCGAGACTTGATCGTCCGCACAACACCATCCTCTCCTTCATTGACTGTTCGGAGGCCGGAAAGACACCTCGCAATGCCGACCTCGTGCACAGATATCCGTATGCACACATCATCATAAATCTCGCTTACCTCCAGCTCACCGTGCTCTAGGCGCCGCGCTGGCAGCATGTCTCGCCAATAGCGACTGTGTCATGGTCCACCGCAACAAGCCAATCGATTGCCTACGGCCACCGCTCGTGGACACGCTTCCGACGCAGTGCCAACAGCTGAAGCACGGCTATGGTCAATGTAAACGTGGACTCGTCGATATGCGGAAACGCTTCCGCGGCAACAAACCCATTGCCACCAGCCAGGAACTGGAAGGCGATGGCCCAACACCCATGCTGTACGCGGGCAAAGGAACCTACGAGGGACTGCAAGCTCAGAAGGAGATGAAGGAGGGAGAGGAATACCAAACCTTCACGAGAAATGACGGTATTGAAGATCTACAAAAGAAGTGAACAGGTCGACCTCGACTCGATTGCCAAATAGAGCATGCTAGGATCCCGACGATGTGTCCAGCCTGCGCCCAGGATGCCTGCCACTTACCCAGCATGCTATTTCAATTCGTTGCGAGTGGCTGCTTCGGACCGTCATCACCAAATCTCACCCCTGCTCCGGAAAATGTCGACCAAGCCACGACCAACTACCAATCTCTACAGTAACAATCAGCGACTGCTCCAGCGACAAGAGGATCGATCGCACTCACCGCCAACTTGACAGCCTCTACCGAGTCCGTCTCCTCCAAATACACAGTCACTGTGGCGTCCCGCAGCGTCCTGGAATGACAATAGTCGAAGTCGGCCCTGCCGGTCTTGCTGGCACGAAACCTACACGTTCAGCATTGTGCGACTTGAGAGAGCAAAATATTTGCACTCGCGCTCACTGCTCAATCATGTTGCATTGCAAAGGACCCTCAAAATGCCAGCAGCTGTCAGAGCTGGTCCTAGGTCAGCACAGTATCGCAGAGCTGCAGCAAAGCAGTGAATTTCTCACCTGATATAACTGTCGTGCCATTTCCTCTCACCATCCCCAGAATCTTCCCTTGTCACCCCGTCAAAGACGTCGCCCATTGTTACTCCACCTTCCCTCACAATCGCAGGGTGTCGACCTCGCTGCCACCTTCGAACCAAGTACAAGCTCTTGCAAGGCGGCTGGGAGAGCAACATCTTCCTCCAGCTAGCTTCTGGTCGCAGAACTGCTGCCGGAACATCAGGAAGACGATCGGCCGGAAACGACATGCATACGTCCCAGCTCCACTCCTCCCGTCGTCCGAGTGATGAAAACGTAGACTGTCCTCCAGCACTGATCCCATCTCGGAGAATCACAAGCGTTATCGTCGGATAACAACCCGGAAAGGCCTTGAGTAGAAGACGATTGTTCTCGGGCTTGCGACCCGGCCTATTGCCAGGTTTATAGGCGTCGAACACCCGGCCCTCGAGATTCCAATCCGGTTCGAGAAAGAGTTTGCGTCGGAGTTTGATGCTGCCTTGGGTGGTGGAATGGAAACTTCGCGCTGTGCGTTGACTTAGGAGCAGGTCCTTAGATTGTAGGTTCAAGAGGATAATCTCGAGCAGTTCGGGGATGTTGAAAACTCGGGAGGCTGCTGAGGTATCCATGATGACACTAGGTAGGATGTTGGTGATGATACCAAATTAGACGTTAGCGAAGTAGTGTTAGGCGTGTGTATAACAAAGGCCTCCTCTTCTTTTTCTTCTTGGATGGATGATGGATACGAGGAGCGTTGGGCGGGTATAGATCTCAATGGAGAAAGCGCATTCCTTCTACAACCTTCTTCGACACGCAATCTCCTAGGCAAGAACAAGAGGTGCCGTTGCTATAAGAGAGCAAGTGGTGAGCAGAGGAAGAATTACTCCTCATCTGCACTGTGCGACTCTTTATCCCTGATAACTTTACTAATAAGATACTTTTGGGTTAACCTAGGCAAAGGCCACGCTCGAGTGCTCGAGTGCACCCGTGGCTTGGACATCCATGTGATTGAGAGTGACGAGACTCGCACCAAGATCTTGGGCTCCGGCGCAGCCGGATGCGGGGTCCAAAAAATAAGGGTCTACCTAGGTAGACATGTGAATAAAGCAAGGTACCTTGCGGCAGAACTGCATAATTTATAAGCGAGACCGTTCACAACCCCGGTAGAACCTCTTGACGAAGCGAGACAGCAAGAGGATGGAGAGAGATGAGGTAATCATGATCATGATCACACAGTCATGACTGGATCAATCGAGTCTCATCATAWGCTATACATCACTCCACTCCCACTCCACTCCTCTCCACTACATCTCACACAACTAATCTCAAACGAGGTCACACCTCTCCCCCCATCGCCCATCGTGCCGTGTAATCCGAAAGCTCTCAGCAATAATCATGCGAGGAGAGGCACCGTGGTATCTCGCGAAGAAAGAAACACAACGACAATATACCGCCAACTTATCCCATTCACATTCCACAAACCATGACAAGTGCATTCGTTGCGCCGTCATTGTCATCACATCTCCTCTCCTACTCTTTCATATTCTCATTCAATAGCAACTCCACCACAATCTGCGTCTTCTCCAACTCCGGATGCTGCATCACCAATTTCAGCGTCCTCGACGCAGTAGGCGTATACACAGGAGGAACACCCGCAGCYCCATTCACCACTGCGGGTGCATTTGCAGTCCAATTCGTCCCGTCGTCCAAACATTTGATTTCTCTCCCCGAGATGATCTGCTTCAGTCGGCCGTTCTGTGCATTTCGAATCTCAACGAAATCATTGTCAAACAATACGAGATATGGTCCGTACAACGCGGCATTCTGTGCATTCCCCACAAACTGCATGATGACTGAACGCGACACATCTCCGTGTTTGTTGACGTAGACGGCGAAGTTGCAGTAGCAGAGGAGAAATTCTTGGTCGGAGAGACGAAGCATACTCAATGCACGTTGGTCTTTGATGTGTTGCGCGATATTCTGCACGTGCTCTGCCTTGAGCTCTGGTACGGTCCAGGGTTGTTTCTTGTCGAGTGTGAGGACCTCAAAGCCCCGTGCCGTGCTGACAGCCAAACTTGAGTGGAAGAGATTCATCCCTGTGCACTCAGTCGGTATGTAAAATTCGTCGTACTCTCGAAAGAATTCGGTGGTCTGATTGTTGTTGTTAGCATGTTGAGTTGACAGACGTTCAAGTACAATGAGAGAGGCGAGATGGAGGACTTTACCTTCTTGAACATGCCGCGTTTCTTTTCGGTAGACTTCTGGTASACGGGCTCCAAGACTTTGAAGACCGAATTGAGATTGTCGCGCTTCTTGTAGAATACCAATGTCCGATCCTTCTGCTTGCCGGTGACGAAGAAGCCCACRTCTTTGCTGCCGGATAATTTTTGGGGCGCCTTTCGGGCGGAGTCGTTTGCTGGAACAGGCCCACTGCGCTCATTGGGACATACCACGTCGAGATGATATGCTATGAGCGATTTGTCTGATATGAGGAGGAAGAGGTTGAACTCCTCGAGCACTGCGACTTGCGTTACACGCAGCATGCCGATAGCCTGGTAAATGGTCAGTATAACCGTCTTCGCATCGTCGTGTATGACTTACCTTGGTCCACCCGCGTGGATTGTCCAGCTCGCTGACATATACCCCGTAATCAGTACCAACAGCAACCATCTGCTTACCCGGATGGGGCGTAGTGAAGCTAGTCGCGCAATTGACTCTCGCTCTGCAAATCGGTCCAGGCCTTCCAGTGTCCTTAAAACGGTGCTCGACTTCTTTGATAGCGCGATCAACAGGCGTACCCTTGATGACAACGCCCTTGCCGCTGCCACCAAAGGCATCGAACACAAAAGCAGAGTCAGCCATGACTCGCAGCCGGAATGGCTCGGCGTTTTGCGCGTGCAGGGCAGCAGCGTGCTTGGTTTTTGCTATCGTGAGTTTGGTGCACCATTCCCGTCTGGCATTTTCAGTCGGTGCGAAGAGGGTGTAGGTTTCTCTGCCGAGATGCTTGACTTTGAATGGGTACATGATACGATCCGAATCCCTGCCTTCACTGAGAGATGTCACAGGCTGCAACGAGTTGGAAGAGGCGCCTGTATTCGCGTGCTGTAAGTTACCAGCCCCGGCTGGCTGATTTGATGCTACCCTGGCCAGGGTTTCTTGACCAGATGGCGTTGATCTGCCAGTGGCTTCTCTCACAGACGTTATGCCTTTGACGTAACTTGACTTCTGCATGGCCGGGTCGTTTGCGCTCTCCAGAATCAGCAGGTCCATTGGTATAGGGAGCCTCGAAACGTCATATCTGTCCAGCTTGCCAGTCTCGCCTATCCGCGTAGCGATCGTCTTGGCAAGTATCAGGTAATGATCGAAGAGCAGGGCGTGGCATTCCAGCCATGTGAACCTGTTACTGCCCATCCGTTGTAGGTCACCGCGGTGTATTAGTTCTCGCCCAAAGTGATCAAGGTTGAGCTCGACCTCGTTCTGCATGCCCGGCCGCAATACCAACTTGCTGCTCAAATCCGCGAGGTCAATCTTCCTTTGCATTTCGGCCACACGAGCGTCACACTCCATGGCCACCGCTTTGACTTCTTCAAGCGCCAGCAACAAGTTTGTCTTCTCTTGGCTTTCGACAGTCATGTTCTTCAAAACCGTACTCAACAGCAGCGTATACCTTTGCAGCCGTGAAATGGGTGCCTTGAGGAAACTGTCAAGAGGAAGCCTGTCAGATCTCTTATCACCCCTGGCCCTGTCGACAAAGTTCCTGAAATCAATGTTCCGATCCATTTCCTGTCGCACCAAGTGGTCGGCTTTGGGGAAGTCGTTGGCGTAGTCAATGTATGCAACCTTGGCTTTGCGTATCCACTGTCGGAAGATATCACTGTACCCCACAACCCACGGACCCTGTTCCTGCTGTCTGTACTTGAGCTGCGGAAGGAGATGCTCCTCGTTGGCCATCTTGACCGTGTCGATGCGACCAAACACGTCTCGAATGAAGCGCTCTCTCCTTTTGGGAGTGATGACGGATGGCTCGACCCGGGCAAGTTGGTCGCGGTAGAGCGTCCGAAGCACATCCAAGTCTGACATGTATCTTTCCTCTGTGGACACAATTTCGTGCAAGACATGTTGCCTCTCCACATCTTTCTTGTCTCGACCTTCCACGTCTTCTTTCTTTACTTTGTAGAACTCCGTCCAGCTCTCGGTGGACCGCGAGGGTTGCGCCTGCAAGTTCACCTTTCTCAGCGTCCTTTGGCAGTGATGGGAATAGCAGCGATAGTTTGGCAGTATGTGGTCGTGTACGGTTGGTGAATAGCAACCAGACTTTGTGAGCTGGAATATGACACCAGATATGGGTCCAGGAACAATCTTGACCCATTCTTCCGTAGTGACCAGAGTCCCGGCAGCAAACATGTCAAGGACGACCCGGTGACTCAAGGCTTCAGCGTCAGCAATGTTCATGGTAGGTACTTTGCTTGTGAATAAGGCAACTAGTGCCTCCTGGATATCTGCTTCCTTGAGCTCAGTATTTTGTTCCGGCACAGTCACTTRGAACAACCATTTCAGCAAGGAGTTCAAGGACCACGGCTCGTCACATTTCTTGAATTCTGGGGCGCCGAGCTTGGATGGGACGAAACGCTTGCCGATAGCAGGCAGATCAAGGACCATGCTTGCAGTTGCAGGTGTTGACTCCAGAGTCGCATATGTCGAACCTCGTCCCATCTGTTGCCGAATTCTCCTTTCTTCAGCGTCTGTTTTGGACCGCAGTGGCTGCGCTACCTGGGGAGTATTACTGTGGCTAACCAGGGAGGTTGATCGAGGAACCCACTGCCCTTGGGCATTGTAGCCTTCGATCGTGCCCGGGTATGGAGGTTGGGCAGGAATAGRCGGCAAAGTCTTGAAATCGGTTGGTATCGCCGGCTGGTCAGTATCAAGATAGGGAACGGCAGGGAGAGGTCGTGATGGATACAGTGCACCCGCTGGCTGGAACATAATGTCCGGAGGCTCGTCCGGAAAGCGGTCGGGCAGCTGGCCCTCCATGAAAGAGTACTCATCGCCTTCATCGTAACTCTGCCGACGACCACCAGGCGCGGGTTCTGCAAGTCCACCAGTGCCTCCGACTTCGACGCGGGCTTCGGGATTGTATGGCTGGTTGTATCTTGAATACTCCGGGTGGTACTCATAGCCCTCGCGACTGGACTGGGACGCGTGAGACCTTCGCATGGAGCTGTTTTGACTTGACACAGCCTGGCTATGTGTGCCGCCGTTMAATTCACACCCAGCAGCAAGCTCGTTCGGGTCACCACCGTATGTCATCTGTACATCGTATCCACCCCCGAACGAGCTCATGTCGACATTTGCATAGTCATCGCTATCACTCCCGTCCGGCAATTGCTGATGGGAGCCTGGTTGGGAGCCAAGGCCACCGAACCTCATTTGGCTTCCGCCTCCACCACTCTGCCTCCTCGCATCGTCCTCCTCTGCCATTCGCATCATCGCCAGACCTTGGGCCGCTTCTACGTCGCTGTCGCTGCTGTAGCTCTCACCGCTGACGTGCTGTGGAACAGGTGATAGATGGCCGTTCATTGTTCCGTTTCGGGTCCCTCGACTGTCACGATGCGAGTTGATCGACGCAGAATGACTGGGAGCTTGAAACGGTGCCTGACTGATCGATATAGACGGACTTCGGGCACCGCTATTGGGACGTCCAGCATTCATTACTGCGCTCTCCACTTGATCAAACAGTTCATCTTGCGTCAAATCCTGTGTATCATCATAGTCATAGCCGGGAGATGGGCGTCCAATCTGACCTCGGAAGTAATCAGCATCGCGATCGGGAAGGGGTTGAATGGGCAATGGTCGATTGTGGGGATGTCTGTTCGTCGTATCAGCCCGCGAAGGTCCATGCGCAGGTGGAGTGGGTCCTGGTGTTGTGCTCAACGGCGAATTGGACGGGTACTGTGGGGATGGCGATTGTTGAGCGTCGTATGTATTGTGGACCGGTGGCGATGGAACCCAACTGGCAGGGAGCAGCCCGGGCATCGCAAGGGGCACATCAGCAGCCGGCCGCTGCCCATGAATGGAACCAGAGTGAGGTCGGTAGCTGCTAGCAGGATAGGGAACATTTACAGGTTGAGCAGCACCAGCTTGTGATTGGTAATCGTATTGTGCGCGCAGCGGTGATTGAGTACTTTGCGTTGTCCCAGAGTAATATTCATGCTGATGAGCAGGTGGTCGAGGACTGTACGGTTGAGCGGTAGTTTGAGGACTATACGGCGGGTGCGGGCTAAACTGCTGCTGCAGCGGTGATTGCCCATAGACAGGCTGCTGTGGCGACTGCCCGTACGATGGCTGCTGGGGTGACTGCCCATATGATGACTGTAACGGAGAGAAGTTGGCGTTGGAGTAACTCGCAGCAGGAGCATACGCATATGGGTCTACAGTCACACCACCATTGCCATTCACTGGCGGGTCGGGGTAAGCGGCAGGATTGTACTGCTGTGGGTACGGGTTCTGAGTATATCCAGCATACGCAGCGGGATTGTAGCCACCTGAATGTTGCTGTGGTGGAGGTGGAGGTGGAGGCTGTGAGTAATTCTGCGGGTTGTATGCCGGTTGTTGAGGCGATCCAGCATATGATCCACCAAACGTCGTGCTGCGCGGCGACTGATATTCATCCTGGTACACGTACCCACTAGGCGGCTGCTGTACAGCACCACCGCCTGCCGCCGGATATTGACTGTTGTATGTCGCCTGACCCGGATAGCCATACTGCTGCTGTTGCTGGTCTCCATTCGGAGCTGACTGGTTGTACGGGTCTTGATACCCGGGTTGCTGTGACGGTGGCGGTTGATACTGGCCGCTCGGATAGTACGACATGCTGGCCGGAGTGGTTCCTGAGCGGAGTGCTATCGCCGCGAGGTGCAAGTGAACGGGCAGTCGGGCTTATGCACTCCTGCAAACCTGCCTGCAGGTGCAATGGTCGCGTCGGCTGCACATGAAGTCGCCAGATATGCGCGACACAGTCTCCTCGCAGGTGGGAGAGCTTTGTTTCCGAGATCGTCGTCGTGGCTCAATGTCGCAGCGCCAACGGGTAGCTCGTCATGGCTCGCTCGTGTGTTTCGCGGTGGAGCTCGATCGTARCAGAGGTGAAGGTCTCGGGTATTATGTATTCCTTTCAACAGAGTCGCGATCCCGCGCTGTTTATCAAACCAAGCAAAATGGCTCCAGATGAGGTCGAGAGTGATCTCTGTGATTGTATCGCGGTCCTCGGCGCATCCTTCGATGTGAGGTTGGCGAGGCTGACTACAATCACGAATCACGCTAGCCCACCTCGTGGCTACCTTACCTACGAACCGAGCTGTGAGAAACAGCCCTGATCTTCTACCTGCCTATCTTTCCAGTACCTACGAAAACCACTTTCCACGACAGCCATGATATTCCGTGGCGGCATACTGAGAATAGTTCACGCTCATGTCGAGCCAGGTCTCCCTCCTACTTACCCGAGAAGGTGGTAGGCGCACAGACGACAAGATACTGGCCTGGACTCTTTTCACATCCCGAAACCGTGCACCTTGCGGAAGCGCAGCCAACATCAGCTGCTCGGATATCGCCACGCTCGAATTGGATCAGCCATGTGCCTTGTCGCGCTGATGATGAGAGGCGTTCTGGAGTAACGCGAGATGATGTGCGCTCGTGTTGTCCGCGAAGCACAGTCAGCTCCAACGGCCGGTGAAATTAACGTCTTTCACCCTGCCTCCTTCGATTGCAGACGTCTTTTTTTTCAGCGACAACGACAACACGACCAGGGAGTCATCATTCGGTGGGAGACTTGGCCCTTCGCAAGGCTGTTTACTTTTGCTAGCATGAGGGCCCTTTCGCGAACGTGGTCATCGATTCACTGCCAAGAGACTTCGCATTTCCCCGTCTTCGCTCGGAGCCGCAAAGGGACGACTCTGCCGCTTCGACAGTGCGACACGACGGCTTCAATGCGGATAGTCTGGGATCTTACGACCTTGCGACATCTGATCCCTTCACTGGAAAGTCAAGTCGAAAGAGCACTGCTCAAACCGAACGATTACTGTAGGCAGACTAGGTATCCGGGCGTCTCTTATCATTGACATRTAGCTTCGGTCTATCGCATTTCTCATAGTAGAATATCTTGTACCTTTACATACTAACTTGAGATATTTCAATCAACCTGCAGTTGTGATAGGGATCAAACACATTTCGAGCTGGCCGCGACAAGAGCGGTGTCAGCACAAACAGTGACCATCTTTATTTTGGATTGACAAATCACCCGGGTTGAAAAAATCCTGATTTGCTTGGATCTCACGGTAGGCACGAGAGGAGCCGTACAGCGAGACAGGAGTGCCATCATCAACAAGCACACCGTTTGCACAGGAAACGGCCATCTAGGACTATGACCGACGGCGGTGAAGTGGGTTGGGACCGGGGGCAGCTTGATCGGAGGTGGCTTGATGGGAAGCGGCTGAGGCTCTTCTTAGAGAGAACAACACCGCCTCCCATACTGCATGACGAACTAGCACCTCTTCGCCAGTGAGGATTCCCAGCGCCATAATTCTAAGGTTTGCCATGATCTTCTGGCCCGACGAGACTCGCCAATCTGAGCAGCCAGCCCACGGCTCTGGCCGACGAAAGGAATGAGGAGATGAATCGCGGTTACCTTGTCGAGCGGCGATGAAAGCAGCAAACTTGGAGTCCATGTGGTCACTGCCGTAAGAAGGTCAATCGCCTTCATTAATAATGATTGGAGAGGGGATTTTGGGCGCACGGAGGTGACTCTCGTCAATGAAGTGCACAATGGCAGGCACGTCGGCGGTCGTAACCACAGACTTGATAGCAGAGAGGAGTTTCTGGTGCTCAAGCTACGAAGCTGTTGAAAGTCCTGGAAGACCTAAAAGTCAACGGAAGTGGCGTGTGGCGGTCGTTTGATGCTATCAGCCAAGCCATCCGAGCGATTGCAAAATCGAGACATGTTGCAATAACATGGTTCTATTCTTGTTTCGATGGTGGAAACTGGCCCCCAGGGATGGTTCCAGGTTGTGTGAGGAGTGGCTCGCATGCGAGCTGGCGTTCATCCTCGCCCAGATCAGCCTTGCTACCTCCGTCAAGAAGGATGTTATCTGGATCGAAGTCGGTGTCCGGCAAGCGCCCGAATGCCTCATGCTCTTCTTCAAGTTCTTGTTCGTCTTCTTTTTCTAGTCGAAGGAAGATTGAGGAGATGGATCGTGGTTGCCCTGCCGGGTTGCAACAAAAAYAGCGAACGTAACCTCCATATCGATTAGTGCCTGCAATATGACGGCCTTTCGCCATGTTTGCGGGTCTGTTCTTGTTGGACAAAGATCCGCATTCGATGTAGTTCTGCGAGGACTTATTTGCTACCAACGCACTAGCGCTAGGATGCTCGAGAGGACTCATAAGGTAACTCATAAGGTAGGTCTGAAATACCTCGCATGGGAAGAAACGGTGTACCAAATTCTCGTTGYCATTCTTTCGCGACGATGCAGCCTCGTGCTGTGTGCTATTTCTATATAAAAGTTGGAACTGATGAGCAATAGATCGAGTGCTCACTGAAGACAAATTATRCAGCATGCACGCCGAGTCATCTCGCTTCAGTACTAGGTAAGATGTCAATGCAATTGCATAATATTGTACCGCCAACGGCAAAACCCCGTACTGTCGATAGCTCGTTGTCAAACTCCAGGTTGTAGGTAGGTCACTTGTCACTTAGTACTAGAGCACGGCTAATCGGCACAGGTACTTGAAGAGTGGGGACCTATAGCTGCCCGAGGGCCGGATGTCATTCTGTCGACAAATACCTGGTAGCCACCGGTTATAACATCACTCATCATAGAGCGCAATTTTGTGTTCTAGTTTGCGATTGCCGACTCTGTAGCCAAAATGGGGATCAAGCACGATGGACCAACCAGCCTGTATGCTGACAACAGCACCGACGACTTTGCTCACAACAATCCCACAGCTGAGCGAGACGGTCTCCTCATTCCAGACCGCGATGAGACTGGCTATCAGATTCGTGAACAGCCCTATGGTACCAAGCGAAAGACCAAGGTGATTTTGATGGGCGCTGGAGCTTCTACGCTCAACTTTCTCAAGGTTGCTGGTGAAAGAATGCAGAACTTGGAGGTCGTGAGTTATGAGAAGAATCGAGATGTTGGAGGAACATGGTGAGTCTTGCGCAATATGCTGGACTTTTGTCTAGATCAATTTCATCTGAGACGGCGCTGACGATTCTTCCTTTTCCCTTTCAGGTTCGAGAACAGATATCGTACGTCGTAGGTATCCTACCGTGTTTGACGACCACGCTAACGAACGTTGTTTTCAGCGGGTTGCGCCTGTGACATTCCTTCTGTAAACTATCAATTCTCGTGGGCCATCAAGTTATGGACTGCCTTTTACTCAAGCTCTCCTGAGATCTGGGAATACATCAATGGTCTCTACGAGAAGTACGATTTGAAGAAGCATGTCAAACTGAGGCACCAAATCAGCCACGCAGAATGGAACGAAACAACTGGACGATGGGCGTTGCAAGTCAAGAATCTTGAGACTGGCGAAGAGTTTACGGACGAGGCAGAGTACTTTATCAATGCTGGAGGCGTTTTGAATAACTTCAAGCTTCCAGATATCGAAGGCCTAGACAAGTACAAAGGAAAGGTCATGCATTCCGCTGCTTATGAAGAAGGATACGATTTGAAGGACAAGAAGGTTGCGGTCGTCGGTTCTGGATCATCAGGCGTGCAAATCGTTGCCAAGATCATAGGGGAAGTGAATCAGCTCTACCACTGGGTGCGCTCACCAATCTGGATCACCGCGGCCTTTGCTCAAACTTGGGCAGGAAAGGATGGTGCCAACTTCAAGTACAGCGAGGAGCAATTGAAGTTTCTTGAGGAAAAYCCCAAAGCATACCTAGAGTACCGAAAGCAAATTGAGGACGAGCTCAACCAGCGCTTCAAATTCATCATCAAAGGATCCAAGGAAGCTGCTGAGGCTCGAAACTTCTCTTACGATCAAATGTCGCGCAAATTGAACGGGGATGAACGTCTTTGTGATAAGATCATCCCCAAGAACTTCAACCCTGGTTGTAGAAGACCTACGCCAGCTCCGGGTTATCTCGAAGCTTTGATAGCACCCAACGCCACCATCTTCACAGAAGCGATTGGAGAATTCACTGAGAGTGGATTCAAAGACCAAGACGGCAAGGACCATGACGTTGATGTTGTGATTTGCGCAACAGGATTCGATACTTCATGGCTTCCACGCTTTCCTATCCGCGCTTTCRGCCAAGACATTCGAGATATCTGGAATGAGAAGGACGGCGTGACGTCCTATCTATCGATTGCTGTGCCAGACATGCCAAACCACTTCACGTTCTGCGGGCCGTACGGCCCCCTGGGACATGGGTCTTTCATGCCGCTTATCGAGAGATGGACTACGTATATCCTCGATGTGATTGACAAAAGCCAAGAGGAGAACATCAAGAGCTTCACGCCAAAGATGGCTCCCAGCAGACAATTCCGACAGCATGCTGACTTATTCCTGCAACGGACGGCGTGGACGAGTCCCTGGTAAGCAAAAGACAGCTCGAACATAATGACGGACTGTAGCTAACCATTCCCAACAGTCGATCATGGTTCAAGCAGGGCAAGAAGGATGGTCAAGCAGCCATATATCCCGGTTCAAGGCTGCACTTCCTGCATTTGATGTCCAAAGTCCGCTACGAAGACTATGACATTGAGTACTTTGATGAGAATAGATTCGCTTTCCTAGGGAACGGTTTCGATACTCGGGAGTTTGACGGAAGAGACATTACCAATTATCTTGGAAGTCTCGATGATAAAGATGTCGAACCACAATACGGTGATGAGCTGTTGAACCGCTTGGCTGGCTGGGCGATAGGGAAGTAGGACAGATAACATCGAATGCGAGCATAGGTAGCGGCGAGAGATCGTATGAGGGACATTTGCCGTCCACCGGCTACACTTGCCCAGGGTAGCACGTGGCTTAGCTGTATTGTATTGTATTGTATTGCATTGGACCCATGCTTCCGCCGGCCGCTCTAGTTAGCAGAAGTGAGCGCCACCAAGCTGGCTGAGCGAGTTCTTCCTAGCACCTCTCTTTCTTGGCTTGCGGACCACATCGCTTTCAGGGTTGGTCAGCCGTAAACTCAACGAGCTTATTCACACCTTACAGGGCAGTGGCTGGTAGATGATGGAAGCGGAAATTCGCGGCCGCAAATCATAGTCGGGATAATCAAGTCCAGTGAAGACCTTCATGCTTTTGTAGTGAAGAGGCCGATGGCAACACATTTGAATGGCCAACGTATTTCTCCGCCTTGCTGGCATTTTCCTCACGCGGCAGTAGTGTTGCCATTACGTGGCGCAAGGCTGTGGACGTTGACACCATCGTTGCCAAGAGGTTGGGGAAGATAACGAGATGCTGGGATGAGGGGTGCGGCTACAGTAGTTCTCATGTAGCGAAGCCTAGCCCGTTGTTCTAGAATGCCACGGACCTTTTGGCGAGCGCAGCTTGCAAGGAACAGACAGGGCAGACGGCAGCCACGAACAGCGGGACAAAGAAAGCATGCATGGCAAGAGAGCTTGGAGATTTCTCCGCCCCTCGCGTCTTTTGCTTCTCGCCCTCACAAGCTTAGGCCGCGAGCATCCTCGTGTAACCTCAGCTGCATCACCTGCATCAAGCGTGCTGAGGCCGTTCTTGAGTATCTCTTGTGCTGCGTGAGGGGCCACAGATTGGACAGATTGGACAGATGGCGTCGGAGCCAAGCGACCAGGGTGCGTAATAGCGTTGCATCCATAGGCTCGCGTTGCATCGGCATCACTCCTCCCACAGAGGTTCCACTGATATCGGTCTTGGTGCTTCTTGGCGGCGCCGCCCTCACTTAAACTGGTTGCGGGCCACCGCTGTCGTGCGCGTGCGAGCTACTCTACTCTACCCTTCCATCTTTCTGGAGTAGTGAGTCCTCTTCAAGGTCACATCCAACACCCGACGGCATGGCGATCTGGAAACGCAACTCGGCGGTCGCTGAGGAGGCCGCCTCTGGGTCCGACACTGAGAGATACAACGAGAAACACGACGAGAAGAGCCAATATGGACATGAATCACCAACGGGTGAGATTGGCGAGCTGTCTGACCCGGCTGCGCCCAGCGAGAGCCTTCACCGTGGTCTTCAAGCTCGCCAAGTCTCCATGATTGCCATTGGAGGAGCTATTGGAACCGGTCTCATCATCGGCACAGGAACCGCGCTGGCCAACACCGGACCGGCATCGATTGTGATTTCCTACTCTCTCGTCGGAATGTTGGTCTACGTGGTGATGGCCAGTCTTGGAGAAATGGCGACTTGGTTACCCGCTGCAGGCGGTTTCGCTGTCTATGCCGACCGTTTCGTTGATCCCGCGCTTGGTTTTGCTACTGGTTACACGTACTGGTTCAAGTACATCATCACAACCCCTAACCAACTTACTGCCGGTGCTCTGGTCATTCAGTACTGGGTGAACAGGGTGAGTGATTCATTGGGCCTTTTCAAGAAACCTAAACTTTACTAACATCCGACAGGAAACAGTCAATCCAGGTGTTTGGATCACCATTTTCCTGATTGCGATCATCATAATCAACGTTGCTGGTAAGAGTCGACCCATTGTGCTCGGGATTGATCAATGTCTCACTAATGTCCCGCAGGAATCAAGTACTTCGGAGAATTCGAATTCTGGCTCTCGTCTATTAAAGTGCTGGTTATCCTCGGAATCATCCTCCTGAGTCTTATCATCGCACTCGGTGGTGCTGACGGAGATCGTCGAGGATTCCGCTACTGGAATAACCCCGGAGCATTCAATGAATACATGGGAACCGGTGCACTGGGACGCTTCACGGCTGTGTGGCAGTCCATGGTCACGGCTGTGTTTGCATACCTTGGAACCGAGCTGGTTGGTGTGACAGTCGGCGAGGCCCAGAACCCCCGACGCAACATTCCTCGTGCCATCAGGCTCACTTTCTGGCGTATCTGCGTATTCTACATCACCAGTGTCATCCTCCTCGGCATGTGTATTCCTTACAACAGCGAGGAACTCCTGGGTGCTACTGCGGCCACAACGTCAGCTGCCGCTTCCCCTTTCGTGGCTGCGATTAAGGTCGCTGGTATCGATGCTCTGCCCGGTATCGTGAACGGCTGCATTCTCCTCTTTGTGTTCAGTGCTGCCAACTCAGATCTGTACATTGCTGTGAGTACCTCCGCAACGTCAAAGAATTCAAGCGACGAAATGCTGATATATGAAATAGTCACGGACATTACACGGCCTTGCGATCAAGAGACATGCTCCAGCGATCTTTGCAAAGACCAACAAGGTGAGCTCACGTTTCTCGTAGCCATTATATCTACCTACTGACATACCTCCAGTGGGGAGTGCCTTACTATGCACTTGGCCTTTCAGCAACCATTTGCTGCCTGGCATACATGAACGTCTCGACCGCATCCAAGACCGTCTTCGGATACTTTGTTAACTTGGTCTCAATCTTTGGCCTGCTTACATGGATCTCCATCTTGGTGTCGCATATCTACTTCGTCAAGGCCCGGAGAGCGCAGGGCGTTCCTGACGATAGCCCTCTGCTGCGCTACAGATCACCTTTTGGACTTTGGGGCACCTACGTTGCCCTCGCGTTCTGCGTATTGATCTCGTTGACAAAGAATTTCAATGTCTTMAAGGATGGTGGATTTGACTACAAGGTGAGTCTACCAACGATCTCAGCTCTCCTTCAAGATCAGCCAACTAACAATCTATCCAGAACTTCGTCACCGGGTACCTTGGAATCCCTCTGTATCTTATCATGATCATCGGCTACAAGTTCATCATGAAGACCGACGCTCGCAAGCCCGAGAACGCTGATCTGTGGACTGGGAAAGCCGCCATTGATGCTGACGAGCAGGAGTGGCTCGCGAAGGAGGCTGCAGATCGCGCGAACGGACGAGATGGAAGCTGGCTGTATCGCCACACGCTCGGCTACCTTTTCTAAATCGATGTCTATGCGCAGTCACGGCGTCACGAAACAATACATCACGAATTAGGATCGGTCACCGCATATATCGAGCACATCGTTTTCAGAATCTGATGCTTGTGCAATGAGTGCGACCTTGCTATTGCAATTATTCTAACATTTGCTCCAGGCCCCGTTCGAGAGCGATGTGATTCCAGTCATCCAGCTCATCACCACTCGTTGTTCATCACAGTGAATCGACACCTTCCATCATTTATCAGTCATCAGTCATCCATCAGTCATTCATCATCCAACGCCGGTCATCACCATGAGACACTTAGACATCATTTCACCACCAATTCRGCACCACAAAGCAAGTGCGCCACAAAGAAACAGTCAGCCTTTGCACCCTCAGTCTTCGGACATGAAGCTGTCGCCCTCTTCGTCACGGTCATCGAGCGGAACATGTTCGCCATGCTCGGGATTGATGCGGCTGAGGACTTTGGTGTGGGGGAGAGAGGCATCTTCCAACATAGGTCCCRACCAAACGCGCGCATGATACAGCACTTCACGACCCGCCTTATGCGCGTGGTATCTACCGCACAACTTGCAGAGACCAGTTTTTGGCTTACAAGAATGTGTGCCGACCTTGAAAGGCCCGTATGACGGCTGGAATGGCGAGCTTGTCTGATGTTGATGGTATCTCGTATCGGTGACGGAGGCTGGGAGAAGATATGATGTGCAGATCCACAAGCCATACTCGGTCAAATAGCGAGGGTTCAGCTCACGCCAATCAATATCGTCTGGGTTGCACTCTCGACCCAGCTGCTTGTGATGCTGAGTCGCCGTCGGGCCGGACCTCAGTACATACTGGGTGTACGGAGAGACGTCCTCAATGCCCAGAGGGAAGACCGTGTTGATAGCTTGGAGCTGTTGATCTGTGGTCAGCATCTGACGGAACCAGCGATCCTCTCTCTCGTTGCGCGCCTCCTCGGACATGCAGAACGGCTCATCATCTTCCACGAGATCTTTCGCGCCGCAGAGATGATACTCGTGCGGAGGGATGAGAGCGTAAATTTGGCGGCAGTGAACACTGGAGCAGATTCCGGGACCAAACGACTCTGACACGAACAAGCGCGCACCGTTGCGGCCATCGTCGACATGCGCGACTGGGTCATCATGGCAGAAACCGAGTCCTTGGACATTGATGGCGAAGGCAGTGCATGGCGCGACAATCTTGAGCTTTCGGGCTCCACACACGAAGTTGAAGATCGAGTAGACACACATGTTTGGATGTGTAGACGGCGCCGATAGCGCTGATCAGTGGAAGCAGATTGTGGAATGCTCGACGGCGATGGAGATGAGGTCGCGCAGAATACCAATCACTGGTCAAGGATGACTGGTGGAGTGTGTGATCAGGTGGAAGGTTGAAGTTAGGGAGCGACAAGTGGAGTCAAGTTTGTCACCGGGAGACAGACGCTAGTCTACTCTTGGAAGCAACTTCAATCCCGAGTCTCGACACAATGCGACTCGTAAACAAAGCCGTTGTTTGAAATTGAGAATGACCAACAAAGAAGCAATACATCAGAGTCGCCGCACATTGTGGCCTAGGATATGTAGCTGGAAAAGTAGCCTCGCGCACCCAAATTCAATGTCTACTTCCTGTTTAGGAAAGCACTACGTCACGAGAGATGAGTGAATGAATTGGTCGGGAAACATCCTGCGTAGAATATCAAACATAATTCATTCACCACCACAAGATACGAGAATTTAGATGGCATGGTTTTGATGCTAGCATGCAGATCTAAAACTTTGAGGTATATGAGCGACCACCAACTTGCTTTCTTTCCAAGCTATGGCGCAGTATCCCAGTGATGCGCGCATAGTCGTGTCCTTCTGCTAACTTGAGCGGGGTGTTGAGACCGTCTTCGCAGACCTTCTTATGAGGGTCAGCGCCAAAACGAAGCAAAAGCGTTACAGTATCTTCATGTTGCTTGTAAACAGCTTCGTACTACACAGTCATCAGTCTCCACTCGAAGCAAGGCGTGAGTCGAACAACTCACCAATGCAGTCAACTCGCACTCTCCTTCATCATGATGAGCGCGACATRACATGTCATCGACATCAACGCCTGCGTCTAGCAAGAGCTTGACAAGATCGTTGCAGCCTCGTTTCGCCGCGCTTTGGAGTAATCTTGTTCCCTTGAACAAGTCGACGCCGAAGCGCTGTAACAAAACTTCAATGCATGCCACCTTTACGGGCGGGCCGTATACGGCACGACGAATGAGATCCTTGTCAACTTTGGCGCCATGGTTCAAGAACCAGATAAGCTCTTGAGGCCCTGTATGTAGTGACCACTCGAGCATACGATTGAACGATTGTGCAGATTCCTTCATATATCGCCAATTTTTCTCATAGAGGAGATCGAGTAGAGTCGGGCCTCTGGCTGCGTATTCCAATGCCATTGAGGTATTTCGATCTTCGAGGGAAGCACCCATCTGTGTGCAAAGACGAAGGACCTTGACATCGTTATGTAGTGCAGCATAGGCCGCGACGGCTTGTATAGGCTGTGGGTGACCAGCGGCAGCGGAAAGTTGAGACACGATGATCTGTACTGCGGCGGCGTCGTCGATGAGTGCGCTCGCGAAAAGCTTCTCCAACTGATTCATGTCTAGAGCATTGTGAGACCGAATTGGACCGTGAGGTGACGATGAAGCTCACTTTCAGGATTTGTTTTAGGCGTGTTCAAGGCGGCTTCCCGAATGGCGTTCCCGACGGGATCACTGATCATCAGTTCCCAGGGGCGTGTGAGCTTCTCATCGGCTGGATGTCTGACACCAACAAAGTGTGCAAGAACCTCATGGAGGTACTCCTGCTCAGAGATGCGGTTTGCCTTGAGCGCCTGAAATGCTTCGTCGAAACAAAGAGTCATTCTGATCTTAAGCAGACAATGTGTGACGAATTAGGCAAGAAACTGAACGGTGTTGGAGGAAACGGAAGCAGTCGGCCGAACTGCCCCAAAGCACAACGTGCGTCCCTTATACTACGTGTTCGCAAAGCCCACGATCGAGAGTGCCTTTGGATAATCCTCTTGGCAGAAGGGCTCCTTTCGCTGAGACCAGGTACCGCTGGCTGAGGGATTTTTCGAAAGTCGCTCATCCGCTGCGTCTTTTACTGCTTTCAGCTGGAACGCTGACTTAGCCATTGCGGCAACTACCACGGTATCACTGGTACGCATGTGCTCCTGAAGGCCACAACAGATAATGATACACGCAAGCAGCGGTACCCAGCAGAACGTCGGGCGCAGAGTTCATTGAGATAGGACTCACTTAGGAACCCTTTCTTTGAATATTGCAGATACCAACCCCGAACTGGCGGCTTTGATGGCATCCATTCTCGCTGTTCTTTTATCCAGCCGCGGTCGTCGCATGCGGTGTCAAGGATGGTGGGAGGGGAGGAAAGAGATGGAGGATGGATGGTGGAGGACGCAGGTGCGAGAGCTGTAGAAAGGGACTGCTGTATGTGGTTAGCTCCAAGAATGGGCGCTTAGTCACCCGCGCCAACAATCTAGACCTCGTCTTCCACTTTCACGAACCCATTGGAACTTCTCGTGCTCAGCTAAATGGTGTCTTTCCGTGCTCAAGCTCACGAGTCACGCCTCACAGTCATCAAAACACCAAGATGTTTTCCGGAGACATCCTTCAGCGAGTCAACGAGTCCAACACGTGTCCCTGGATTCTACACCCCGCCAGCCACAAGGTCTTCTGAGAGCCTCCCTCAGGGCAGGTCGGAGCTATCAACCACGCCTCATTGAGAGACTGGCCCAAGAATCTCCCGGAGTGAGCTCTGGCTGACACCTAGCGCATAGTCACCACTGGGCCAAGGAAGAAGCCCGCGTGGATCGTCGTGAGGCACTTTTTGAATTGGTCTGCTACATCGCGTGGACGTGAGGCAGACCCGAACCGTCGAGGTAGACTCCACTGTTCGCTTTGTCCGAGCCGTGTTCTCGCGAGGACTGCTTCGGTAAAGGTCGCCAAGTCTTGCACTAGATTGAGGACGGAGGTCATGAATGGAGACAGCCAGTCACATTCGGTGCTGTGCCTCACGTAGCGGCCTTTGTAGTCGCACGACCGAAGGGATAAGGGTGGGGCTTTAATTGTCTCCACGAAGTAACGAACTTGGCGAACATGGCTCGAATCCTTCAGGATCACGGCTGCGGCCTGTGTTATCCTATGAACAGGGCGCTAGTAAATGGCCCGAAGCCAGTATATAGAGATGTAGGTTCCATCGCCATTTCTTAACAAAGCTCTCACACAGACTTCGAACTCGTGAGATAAATTCGCCATCCCTACACCGTTTGTCGCAAAGTCTCAACGTTCGCAATCAGCCGCTACAATAAGCCAAAATGGCAGGTCAAGCAGATACTGCATGGATTGGGAAGCATTGCTAACAGATTGTAGCTCTTCGCCGCTGCCACTGTTGCGCTCTTTACGATCACCAGCTCTGTAGGAGCCAGCCCAGTTGCTTGACCTGGCGTCAGCCCTATCGACGCTCGCAACACTCTTGAAGCTCGTCTACTACCGTGGGACTGCAACTTTGGCGTCCCGAACGGTCTTACCTTCGCAAATCTGCAGCAAGAAAAAGCCACCTTTGATCGCCTGTTCGGCACCGACCGCCTCAAGGCAGCTTCAGGACAATGCTATGTCTCATTCTGCCGTGGAAATGCTAGTAAGTAAACCAACCTTTCCGATGCCCGAACTTCAATCGGAGCCACTTTGAAATTAGCTAACTGACTGTTAACTCACTAGTGGCTTTTTGCAACATGAACGGCAACACTAGGACTGAAAGGCGGGAGAGAGAAATGACATGGCATCTCGCTACACCACGGGTGGCAGTGAGTGTATGAGGGAGTCAGACAATACCGGTCTCTTCTACCTGTTTGGCAAACAGGATGAGTGGACATGGAGTCAATATAGCGCTATCAGACGCTGTTGAGTGTCCTGGCCTGAGTTCGCGAACGCAGTGAGTGTAGTCTTGCAGAGTCTATGACTGTAGAAAGTTGTAGCGAGTGGAGTTTCGAGCAAATCAAGCTCAGTTCTTTCGGTATTCRCAGAGAGGTTGGTGTAATCCACCGTATCTTCATTCGCGTTAGAGACTACCTCAAAGGAGGCCCATTTAGAGGAGAAATATACTTTCTGCCATGATCGGCTTGGGAGGAGTTATGTATGTGGAGAAGATTGTAGCGGCATCTCCGCCTGCTCCCTTTGAGAAGAGGTGGGGAAGAGTAGATGTGCAACCAGCAATTGCCATCCTGTGGTTGTACGCATTTTCCATTTTGCGCATCAAGTTCAGACGTGGGCACCTGGAATGAAGCATGGAAGATGAGCAGGTGCATCAGATATTTCGGAGGGTGGGAGATATATGGAGGCTTCGAGACATGCTCTATGCCTTCCATACTTCAGTAGGACAAGGCGAGCCAAACGGTATGAGCACGGCCGGAGAATGACTCGGAAGCACACCACCATTATTGGAACACTTCGATGCCGGCAGCTTGGCAATAATCGTCCTGAAGTAATCGTTGTTGACACCTCCCATGAATCTGTGGTATTGTCTCTCCGGGTGAATTGCCATGCCAGGTGTGTAGACTTGGCCGCCTCCAGGGTCATCGCTGGATTTCACGTCACGGCAATGAAGAGGATTCTCGTGCTCGAGGGCATGCMACTATGGCTGTACCGAGATGGGGATCTCGTGTCATCCATCACATCGCAAGCTCTGCCAAGCGGAATGCCACCTCACCGCCACAGTAGTCAGACTGCGTTTCGAGATGGTCCACATGCGTCAAGTAGGGTGGCAATACGGCCGACGGTAGTAGTCAAAGTTCAAACCTTCGATGGACATGCTAGCATGTGAAGTGTGAAGTGGAGAACAGCTTAGTCATCTTTGCGGCTCAATCTCGATCTCGGACCTCACTCTACCGTTCTGTATTTCCTACCGGCATCGACGTCTTCGTTTCCACAGGACCGATTTGGACACATCACATCGCATTGTGTCATCACTGGGATACAATGCCAGGCCTTCTCCGCTGCTTTCGACGGATGACCGCAGCATCAAGTCTCGCCAGGAAGACGGCCCCGGATGGCGTGCCAACTATATCAAGCTTCATATGAGACCCAAGTCGCTAGTCCCGAAGCCCACGAGGCGCAATTTACTGGCAGATCTACAGGACCTCATCGCGTCGGAGTTATTGCAGCCCACAATAGGACGACCTGCAGACCCCCATGCTTTCTGAGGCTTTGGAGGACCACACTGGCTTTACAGCCACTTGAATCCCCATCTGGACCGCGACGACATGATTCTGACATGTGAGAACGCTGTCCCAGACGATGCCCGGTCATTTTGGTCGTGGAGTACAACGCCCTCCGGGAGTCCAGGGTGCGGAGGCAATTCCGACGTCTTCATGACCGACTTGCCGACCTATAGGATTGTCCGCTTGCCGGGACTCCCCGAAAAATAGGGCTGAAGGTGTTGCCTGTTGTCTTTTCGCGGGTTCGTGGACGCTACGGCTCGGCCGATCTCAAATTACCGATTCGTATGGACCGGGATGTGAGCAGGGCTGCGATCCAAAACACGCGATAGAAAGTCGAGAGCACCGCGGCTTGCGTCGGGCTGGAGTCGCCGCTATTTGCACTGCTCTCTACCCTCCGCTTCCTGACGGGCCCTGGACAAGTCTAGACAAGCATTGACCAACACTTCTCTGGGAAATCCTCCGTTGTCCGCAATGTCCGTAGTGGAAGCCCGACGGTACCGTAATTGGAGCTCACGTCGACAGGACACGCAACGTGGATGCACAATATGCCAGTTATTGCCATGTGAAATGACTCTGACACGCCGGGAACGAACTGTCGCATCGTCTCACTCTTCGGTGTCTACAATAATGCCGTCCGCTTGCGCAATCGTACTGGAGCGCCAGTTCTCTGGACCGTGCTTCGCCAGGGTCTCCGTACTAAACAACGCTCTCTCCTTCCAAGGTCATTCGGAAAGCAATCGCTATCGCTCYCAAGTGTCCTTCGTGTGTTTGCGCTCTGCATTTCCACCGCGGCTCGGAACTWTCCACAAGGCCTCCAATGAACGGTGATTCATTCATGAGGTCCGAGCTTTTGCCACGAGAGCTGCCTGTAGGTGTAAAGCCCTGATAGAACTATTTGAAGGTGCTTTCATATGCAGTTCCATGTGATCTGACAGTAGGTCTAATTTGAGACATCTCCGGGATCTGACCGAGGAAATCTACGATTTGCAAAGGTTAATGACCTCGTGCTTCTATCCATGTTTGAGCTGACGGCAACTTGCTAACTGATTACTGACAACAATTGTKCTACATTCTGCATTGCTGATCTTGAAGCAYGCACTCAATACAATTGTCATCGACATCGGCATCAATGTTGACAAGGCGCCAATCGTGCGATCGTTGCTATGGCCAGAAACTACGTTGCACGAGACAGGAAGGAGATGTTTGCAACAGGTGCATAAAGCACGTCGCTCAATGTAAGAATTATCCCAATAAAATTATCTAGGTTGCCACGTGGAGGTCATGGTCGGGCATATTGGGATTGGATTTCAAACGCTAATATTATGGAATAGGCATATACAGTAAGTCGAAGAACATGAGTTCGTTATCATTCGCTGACATGTAGACAGGCTTCAGTCTACCGAAAGGAAGACCACCAAATGGGAAGATGTCTGCTTCAGCTTTGGCGCGCCTGGGAACTCCGCCTCGAACTCCGAAGTCACATCGCCGGCACCTTGAAGGATCGTGCGCATCGGAATTGAGCGAAGCTACAGTGATGGGCTCCAGGTTGCGCACAAATACAACTTGCAATCAAGCAGTCGGCATAGCGGCGAACAACTCTACACCAACCGCTGCAACGGCTCTTGAACCGCCGTCGACGTCGCATTTCAACCATCTTGAATGGAACAACATGGTCATCGATCCGCGACAACTGAATTCACATACCCAATGGAATCAAACGTCGACGACCAAGATCGAGACTCAATTGCCGTCCACAGGAATTGAATACCAAAACGTCCCGCAGTGGAATGCCATGGCAAACGATGGAAGTTCCGACACCAGCCATGATGGCGTTAGCTTCGGCAGTAACAGCAGTAGCAACAGTAATGCGAGCGGAAACAGCCTCTCCGTAAGTGGGAGCGATCATGTGATTCGAATTCGAAGCTGATACATCATGTCCGAACAGGAGAAGACTCGGTCGGAAATGATCTCCCAGCTCACCCACCTCAGTTCAAGGCTTGATACGCTATACTCCTCCAAGGGTGTCGAGCTTTCATATACAGCATTCCACTCTCCACATCTCACGCTCTTCGACGATGCGTGTTATAGGATCGTAGCCGGCTGGTTCGTCTACCTCTTTGCCAGGATGCAATTACAGGTCCCGTCAGAAGACGCAAACTTCATGTCAGGCATGAGACCTACTGGCGATATCCTACATTCAGTCTTTTCAGCATCTCACTGCCTGCTGGATGTTCTACGCGCCCTGCAACGAGAGTCAATAGACGCTGATGCTGCTACTAACGTGGATCTATGGACTGAAATCAAGCAGGAGCCTGTACATTCCGCCCAGGTGAACAACGAGCACATCACGTCATACTTCCAGAATGACCAATCGACAAATATGTATCAAACCGCACAGAGCCGCTGTCCCAGCACAGTTCTTCGCCAGCTGGTAGTCAATTGCCACACACAAACTCTCAACATCTACGTCATTGTGTTAATCGCACTACAACACGACGCAGCCATAAACAACTCCCAAATGTCTACAGATCGACAAGTCGAGGACGATACACGTCTCGCGCTAGTAGTGCAACTGTGCGCGGATCTTCTGGAAAGAGAACGCCAAGCCGTGGATCTGTTTCTGACTCGGCTGCCTCCGTCTTCAGAGGCGCAGACATTTGAATCTCAGTGTCAGACGATGTTGCCGATGGGGAACGGAACTATGATGGGTCATCTTGAGATTGATGTACAGCAGCGTCTGGCGCGTATTCAACAGATGCTGAGGCTCTGATGAATGGTAATGATGGCTAAGGGATTACCTGCAGGATTTTTATGGCAGAGGACACGAGCACGCTTAATGTCATGATACCATATTTTGGCTTTCAACAAACGATGTACACGAGAGGAAGCTGCCCAGCGATACCTCTGAACATTGAGTTCATGTCAGCTCATGGCTATAATGGTCCATGCACCACTCAATGCCACAATTACTTGAAGTTTCGATTTCGACATGTCGTAGGAATCCAAAGTTTGTGTATCGACGGGACGTAGAGATTCGTACAGAGTGACTGCGAGCATCGCAGACACCAACTTCATGCCATACAGCGTCTCTTGTCATCGGAGGTTGTCCAGAGCCACAGAGGCACCTCGAGCATCCTAGCGCTGGTGCGTTGGTAGGCAATCAATTCTCGCGAAATGACAGTGAAGGCGACTGTTTGGCAGTTCATAACAACTTCCGATGGAGAGAGACGCTGAAGGAACGGATTCATGGCGAACCAACTATTCGATTAACAAGCTTCAAAATGAAGCGTGCAGTGAATTATCTCAAATCACTTCTATGGCTTCTTCCATTGCCCAACGTCTTCCAAACCCTTCCCGGCCGTTTGGCCAGCTCCCTCAACACCACCAGTCACATACTGTAGGCTATCGCCAACAGCTTTAGTACCTAATAGAAAAGAATGAGCGATGTCCGAGTTCTTCTCAAGTGGACCAAGGCCTAGAGTATTTCGAGAAGACTCTCCGTATTACATCGAATGCCTTTTGCACTTGAAAACTCACCGGTGGTGTTGTTGACAGTCTCTCCTGCTACAGCGTCAGTATATCCAATTCCCCGCAAAGTCCCCAGGCTCTTGGCTAAAGCAACCATCTACTAAAGGGATACAGGTGGCAGGCCAAGAGTCTGAGATTTAGGTATGTAACTCACCCACTGCACGGCCCGCTGCGCCAGTAACAGATCCGACGCCTGGTCATGGTCAGCACGGGAGGGTCAAGAAGATGTCCAGATATTCACCTTTCAAGACGCCACCTGTGAGGTTTCCTAACTATAGAATGTGAGCTTACGTCGAGATGTTGTATGCATGACCGGATACATACGGTGCTCGTTACCTAAAAGCGGAGGACAGAACGATTAGAAATGTCTTCGACTATATCGAGGTAGGACGAGGCCGATGGTAGCTCGAAACATTTTCGAATTGCCCTCTTTGCCCTTTTACTTACACCTTTGGCGACTCCTTCGGCACCATTGTTTTGTCCAGACATGGTGATGGAGACTTTGCTGAGCTGATTGACAGATGGTGTTGTTACCCCTTGAGCTGTCCCAGTGATTACCAGTCGCTTGCGGAAAGGGGAATGTGCTTGATGTCCAAATGTTGCTCCGATTCAGCTGCAGTATCTTGCTTGAGACGTATTGAGAAATGCTGAAAGTATACGTCCGTGTCTGCATATATGTATTGGTATCGCGACCCACCTTACGTTATATGACGTTCGAAAGGGACACATGTGCTCACATGTTGCCTGCAACATCAATATGCGTGCCTCGCGTTTCAAAACAAGTTTGTCGGGCTTTATGAAGCTGCACCTTCTGTCATCGCCCGCGACTGATGGAAGCACGCTTCCCTGCAGGGTTCCATCATTTCAGCTCGGTTCGTACTCCTAGAGAAGAGTGAAAAATCCGAATTGAGATCGTCGCGCAGAACTCAAGCGAGCTGGAGCGAAGGCTATTACTGAGCGACGATCTCTCGATTTCCGCAACAGCACTGCGATGAATGAGACTGGGCAGTTCAGATGCAAGCTGTCTGTGTGCGGCTTCTCAGTCAACAGCTTGATTTCCATCCAGCATCGGGTACTCGTGAGGAACGAATCGTGAACAGTCTCTCTCGGCCACATAGACTGGGGTTACAAGTTGCGTTGCCTTGACATGCTCCTGACGATAGACGTCCTGGCAATCACCTGAGAGCGCTTACCACGACGAGGATGACGAGATTCGCATTCGACTAACATCCAGGCACTGAGGGATAGTGGTCACGGTAGCGAGTGGTGCTGAGCCTTCGGTTGTACAGTACAGCAAAGTCGCGTGGGATGGTGCAGACTGCAGGGTCTTGCGTTGCTGTCAACCAGGGCCGAACCTTGGAACTCATTCACCATTGTCTTTTCGTTATCGCAATACGGAGACTGGTGTCTGGTTGTTTGGAGCTCGTCCGACGTGCAGTCTGTTCATCAGCATGTTGTTGTCCAATGTCCACGTTGCGACTGTTTTGGGTTTTGTCTCAATCCCCGCTAAGCCCCATTCTGCTTAAAGTGGACCCGGAAACAGGAGTGTCCCTATAAGTGCCGAAGCGCTCCCTCGAATGGAACGGAACACAACCCCACCTTCAATCCATCATCATCGTCTAGGATCCTCAAAAAAAAAAACAGTTGCCCGCCGTTGCTATTTGCATTGAGAAAGACACGCGCAAAACACAGCAGCAGCTTCCCTACGTATTCCTTACCAGAGCGCCGGGTCGGTCCCAAGCTCTCTCGTACAATGGAATCCACATACCGACCTGCGAGCCCAGATCTGTCCGGCTCCGTTCCCTCTGCCGGCGTTCAACCGTTGAGCCACCTCCAAAATCATCAGCTTCCCATTCCGGGCAACGCATTTGGCTTCCCACCCACCTCGGATCCGCAACATCACCTTCACCAATATCAACCTCCTCCGCAGCTTCAGCCAGGCATGATGCCGCACGTCAAGTCTGAGGACGAGGACGAGTACATGCCCGATGCACAGGCCTCGGCCTCGAAGCGGCAGCGCAGAGTGAAGCAGGAGCCAGATGCCATGAATGGCCACCACGATGCGCCAATGCTTGCTTACCAGCCCGAGAGTACCGGAGACCCCACGCTCGGCTGTCAGCTCAAGACCTCATTCCCCGTCGCGAGGATCAAGCGCATCATGCAGGCCGACGAGGATATCGGCAAGGTTGCTCAGGTGACTCCAACCGTTGTTAGTAGAGCGTTGGAGCTCTTCATGATCAAGCTCATATCGGCTGCTGCACACGAGGCTCGAGGTCCCTCGGCTGGTGGAGCGTCTGGAGGGAAAGGTCCAAAGCGTGTCCTAGCACAGCATCTCAAAAGAGCGGTGTATGCGGATGACAAGCTCGACTTTTTGCAAGAGATCGTGGGAAAGGTACCGGATGCTCCGAGCAAAGCGAAGAAGGAGGCGGCTGGCAGTGACTCGGAAGAAGCACCAGCGAAGCCCAAGCGGAAAGCAAAGAAGAGGAAGGATAGCGGAGACGAAATCTGAAAGGCACACAGCACGCTTATGCGAACATGAAATATGATACGATGAAGCAACCCGAGGGTCTAGACCGCGTTGCCAACATTCGCGCGCAGCTTATCAAGTCGCCATGAGAGTGGAGGCAGATAGCATGGTCTCAGAGCAGTGATATCAGCTGTGATGGGCGCGCACACATCTTGCAGCCGCGATATCCATAGTGCAACTTTGCTCAGGTGCAGCTTCCGAGGGAGGTGCTGGGCATGGACAAACAGCTATCTAGACGGCAAGCTTCAAGCGATGAAGTCTCTGCAGTGGCAAAGTGGGAGCCAGGCATCGCCGAGTTCAATCACTACACATCGAGCGCGGACATTGCATCACCTGCAGTCGCGGCAGATCAGGCGTGGTCTATAGCTTCACAATGAATGATGAGCGATGCACATCCAGTTTCGAGGCTAGACTGATTGCCTCCCGATACCCGCATCTGCAGTTGAAACTTCCTCAAATCGAGTAGATCAACGGTCTATGTGGATCACTACAATCACGAGGTCGGAAAAGAAACTGGTTCGATATCAAGCACACCGAAGCCTTGCATTCTCGTTGCAATATGGAGTGTTGGCGGGCACCATCTGCGTGCAGAGCTCATACCAACAGGCTGGCTCGTCCTTGCCCAGATCCACCCCTACTTTCTCCAGTTCGGCTACAAAGTATCCATTGAGCCACCGCCTTGAGCGCTCCCTTCATACAAGACCTCCATGTTGCATGTCCCTCTGTCTCTGGCACCTCGTGGTCTCCGCTGTCCTCACTCTCAGTGGTACATTGCTGTCCCTCAGGTCCTGCTCTCATGCTGTCTGGTACTTGCGGCGGCACGGCGAACGAAGTGCTCGCCGCTTCGACCCGTCATCGATCAGGCTGTCCCCAGAGAACATGCTCCCCCAGCAACTTGTACTCCTCCGATCCCTCACACTCATCGTTCTTCTCGTGGACGTGCCACTCGCACGACAGCAGCCGCGTCTTGGTCTTCTGGCTGATGCGAACCGTGTGCTCGCTTCTGTTGAGCTCGTCCATCGCCCACAGCAAGTCATCGGGCTTCGCACTGCATCCACCCACCAAATCGTTCCAAATGCCGAAGCGGTGGCCGTCGGGGACCCACATCTCACGGACGAGGTCGACAGTCATCCTTTTCAGAGCGCAGCCTGGTGGCAACAGCCAGAGGTGCTCGATCATGTCCTTGTCTGGTAGCTGTGCGGTGATTTTGATGCGTCTGGCGTAGACGTCGCACACCACATTCTGGATCAATGGCATTTCCCAGCGAAGGCCAATGTCGTAGACGTCGACGAGCTGGTGGAAGTTGAGCATGAGGATTGGTTCGTCGATGAATAATCTGACTGGTCAGTTTGGCACTCGAAATCGCTTTTCCTTACCAAATTCCGCGACAAAACTCGCGTTAGATTCACAGTTCCCGCCATAACCACTCTCACGAGCCAATACTACCTGCCTCCTCATCTCCTCACATCCCTGCTGTCCTGTCCGTCTGCCTCCCCTGCCGTCGCCGTCGTGCTGTGCTGGGTGATTCGAGAGAGGGGAAAACTTACTTTCTGTCGTGCAAGTATGCCAACATGGCGAAAAACGGTTCGGGCTTCTCATCGGGAAGCCGAGCCTCGCGCTCTCGCTCGTTCTGATGGAGCTTGTAGTACGCCGAATAGTGGGCGAGAAGGCTCTGACGCACCACGTAGAGGCGCTGGAAGGCGCCGTGGCCGACGTACATTGCGAGCTCTGCGCCTTCGTGGCTTCTGCGGGTGAAGTCGGTTAGTGGTGGAGAGTAAGATGCGGATACAGAAACACTTACACTCGGTGCATGTTGCCCGGGGTTGATGCGACTTCCGGCTCCATCGCGGCGGAGATGTTGATGTTTCGAAGGAGAAGCAGCGTCGAGGAACGAGGATTTTAATCTCTTAATGGGCTGCGTCATTTTGTGTGCGTGTGGGTTGTGTGAATGAAGAGAGCGGGAAACGGGCTGGTGGCTGCTGCTGCCTATACTAGCCGGTGAGTGAATGAAAAAACTGGGTCTATCTTGGATCCGGGATTTCTCCAGATTATGCAACGTGGGGACCTCGCCATGGAGTGGAGTTGAAGAGGCTGTGTGGACATTCTCGAGTGTGGCCTCTCAAAGACGTACGCGGCCTTGAGACTGGTAGAATACTCCTCGCTAGCACAGTCGTTCGCAACATCGTCAGAGAGGCAGGCCTATCGAAGAAACCACCTCAGGGGCGACTAGAGGCGGACGAATCTGTGTGTGTGTCTTGTATCTCAAAGATGTACTCGTTTTTGAGACTTGTAGCACGCTTCTTGCTAGTACAGTCGTTTGTAGCGTAGTCAAAGACGCAGTAGGAGAGGATTATGCTACTGTTGAAAAAGCTTACTCCTGAAAGATAGCACATAGACACATCGATTTCTCGGCCTCAGTTTAACCCGAGAGATCTTGACCGCGAAAAATCTATCACTCTCGTCAGCTACCGAATTGGCTGTGCTAGTAATGGGCTTGGGCCATTTTCCGGAACACGTCTGTACAAGAGAGCGCTTTTTGGGAAATGGAGGCCGACTTCTATTACCTAGTATAGCCAACGCGTGAGATCATTCTCACGACACGTCTATCCCTTTGGCCATTCGAGTCCTGCCGCGTTCGGAAACGCCTTTAATATTTGGGACGGCGCTTCCACGATGACAAACGCAGGATTCTCGCACTCGGACCACTCTGGGCAATCGTCTTTGGCATATGATATCTTGAGCCAAATCTGGAGCTGTGGCCAGCAATTGTGAATTGTAGCATGGTCGAGGGGTGCCACACCTAAAGCCAGACATATGTGTAGCAAACCTGGGAGCTCAGTCTGAAGTCAGCGGTCTTCGGAGTTAGTGTGTGCAGGCACTCGACGATCTATCAGCAGACATTGGATCGAAATTGTTCACTGTGTGATTCTCCCCACACTCATTGAATGTCGTTGAGAAACGACTGGGTATCTTCAGCCAGGTGGTCTCTGCCACCACTCTTGGAGTAGAGAACTATTCCAAGCTTCCAGCCCAAAGGGCTCTTTACATCTTCGATGCCGCCTGGCTCTGCTTGTCGGCTTCCTGCTTCAACTGCTTGGCCGCTTCTTCGTCGCCAGCTTCGGCTTCCTCCTCTGCAAGCCATCCTTTGCACATGGCAACAGCCTAGAGAGTTTGAGTCAGTATAGAATGCATAAGTGCGCAGAGAGAACTCGTAAACTTACCTTCTCCCACTTCTTCAACATCTTCTTGGAATCCTTCTCCGCCATCTTTGGTTCAAAAGTGGTCTCGCCGGCAGTGTTGATCTCCTTGAGCTCGTCAAAGTCTTTCSAGACGTCTGCCGCAAACCCAGCTGCGATAGCAGCACCAAGAGCGGTAGTTTCTCTCATCTTCGGCCGTACGATAGGGATGCGTACGAGGTCGGCCTGTGTCTGCATGCATAGCTCCGAGTTGCTCATACCACCGTCAACTTTGAGCTCACTAAGCTTGTGTCCGCTGTCCTTCTCCATCGCATCAAGAATAGCCTTTGTTTGGAAGCAGACAGCTTCGAGAGTTGCGCGTGCGATGTGGCCTCTCTCCGTGTGGTGAGTAATGCCGACTGTGCCATAATTAGTATTGCATGACTGCAAACCGGCTTTCTAGACTTACACATCGTGCCATGGGCATCGTCAATCCAGTACGGTGCGAATAGACCACTGAAGGCCGTTACAAAGACCAGACCACCGTTGTCTTTCACTGTCTCCGCCAGCTCTGTGATCTTGTGGGAAGCGTGGCTGAAGCCGAGGTTGTGCATCAGAAACTTGACACCGGATCCTGCGACAGCGATGCTTCCCTCCAATGCGTAGACGGGTTTGCCAAAGTTGTAAGCGACTGTGGCGAGAAGTCCATGTGTAGAGATGACTGGCTTTTCACCGACGTTGTACAATAAGAAGCATCCAGTGCCATATGTGTTCTTTGCCGCGCCTGGCTCAAAGCCCTTTTGACCGACAAGTGCCGCGGATTGGTCTCCAAGACAGCCCATGATTGGCCATCCTTTGAGAGGACCCGAAGATAGCTTGCCGTATGCCTTTTTGTCTGCTGACTGCACAATCTCCGGCAAGTGTACCTTACGCATGTCGAACTCATACGAGAAAAAGTCCAGCACCTCCTCGCTGTACTTCAAGTTGTGGATGTCCATGAACATCGTTCTGCTGGCATTTGTTGGGTCTGAGACGAATACGTTGCCTTCAGGACCGCCGTTCAGCTTGTAAGCCAGCCAGCTGTCGATTGTACCGAATGCAAGGTTTCCGGCTTCGTACACCTTGTGCACTTTCTCGTCGTTCTTGAGCAGCCATAGAAGCTTTGTGACGGATGGGTAAGTGGATATTGGCAGCCCGCAGATGTTTTGTAGTTTGTCACTCCCTGGCCTTGCTTTGAGTTCTCGTGCGAGTGCCGCCGTTCTGGTGTCAGTCCAAACGATTGCCTATGAGTGGATAGCACGTCAGTGATTGTTGAAGCCCAGGGATTAGAGCCAAGAAGTATTCAGCCACTTTGTAAGTTTACCCACATTGTGAAGTGGCTCTCCGGTCTTTTGGTCCCAAACAACAGTGGTTTCTCGCTGGTTTGTGATGCCAATGGCCTTGATGCTCTCCTTCGAATGGCCGTCTTTCTCAAAGATCTTCAACGCTCCCTCTATACAGTTCTCCACGGACTTTACGATCTCTTCCGGGTCATGCTCGTGCCATCTGATTGAGTATTAGCCCAATCACAATGGCTTGAGAGCAAGGCTTAGAATTACCCGGGGTTGGGATAAATCTGAGTGAACTCCTCCTGGTGGACAGCGACTGGCTCGCCCGCCTTGTCGAAGATGAGGAATCGGGTGCTGGTGGTTCCCTGATCAATGCTGCCAACGAAAACTTCCTCTGAGGGCGCCATTTTCGCGAGGTGATGGCTGTTGACGGAACTGGAAGTCTGCGTAACGAAACAAGAGATGGATGAGGGAGGGAGAGGGTGAATGGCCACGGTTCGCGTGTGCGTTGCAGGGGGTCTATGTACAGACGGAGTGAAGGCACATGATGGTCGTAGCCCGCAGTGAGCTCTCTGACGGAGCTGTTGCGTCGGCTTCGGTACAGTCACATGCATGTGACGACCCCAGTCGCGGAGGGGCAGCGTGGAGCAGGTAGATTTGACTTTGCGCCATGCGAACATGTCCCGCGACCCAAGAGCTCGCATCGGAGTCAGCAGCGACACGTGCTCGCGGCGGCATGAAGACGGGACGCTTTCAAGAAGAGCACGCGAGCACGGGCGGCATACGAAGAAGGACAGTCGGCGTCTCCTTCCCGCAGACTGCTGCAACAAGGGACGAGCGGCGTCTTCGTGGTCGCGATTCTTGCTACGCGACCACTTTTAGGGCACGTCCCGGACGTTGAACTTTGAGAGGAGGTCGGTTCCGCGTCTCCACATTAAATAATAGGGCCGATGATTGTGGATTGAACGGTATGGGGAAATGGAGAACGGTCTGGGGAACATTGAACTATGTGGGTTCGGACACGCTTTCTCGGTCGAGCAAAGACAACGTCAGGTCATCGCACTGTACTGCAGGAAATTCTTCCGTTGTCAATTGAATGCCTTGTGAACTCCAAACTCTGCTGGAGCAGCGGACCAAAGCATAACTTTTGCTCTGGCTTCTCTCGGCAAGGTGGGTTTTGACGGCCCAAGACTGCCGAGGGGCTTGTCGCGTGTAGCCGCAGATGGCACAGAGATACTTCAGTACCTCAGGAAACAAGGGTGAATGCCTTTCCTTCATTGGAGGCCGRGCGGAGAGAGGCGTTGCGAAGAAGTCTACGGACGTAAGCCGCGTGCGGAATAGCAGACGCACGCCATGGTCCATGTGCTGGACCTGAGAACCGATGAAGCCAACAAGATGCAGCAAGCGAATGGAGCGAATCTTTGCAAACGAGGGACTTGAAGCAAGTGTACCTAGTGAGCACTACTAGCCGCTGCGTCCGGTACGCCCTCTCTCTCCATCTCTCTCTGGGTTGTGCGAGATACGTACAGAAAAATGTCATGTCAGGATGACGAGAGCATTATTGTGAACCCCTCATCCCTCCTCCGCCATCCCTCATTATCCCGTTCTGCCGACAATTTGCAGCATCTCTTCGCGACATCCATGGCTGGCGCCTCCGATGCATGTACATTGATGTACTGCAGCTGCATGGCTGCTGACCTGCGAACAGCTTTGACAGGACGTCTGAACAGTCTCCAGACAGACTTGCGCCATACCTGAACTAGCTCTCTCAACCGTAAAACGCGGCAGGGCCGGGAAGGCTGGAACAAAGAAGGTAGTGCAGCCGCGTGCAGTTGCATCCGCAATATGCTACCCTGCTGTCGCCACGATCTCTCGCAAGGCCTAGTTCCCTTCACTCTGGCATGACCCTAGGTACTCACGGCACGAATGGCACTCATGTCTTCGTCCCGTCTATTTCCCAGCGGCATCTCAAGCGGCCGTGTTGCCGACCCCGACTCCGACTCCAGCCTCCGCAGCGGCTTACCATTCGTAGAACGGAAGGAGCTTCTCCATTGGAGCTCATCGAAACAGTGCTCCAGGTATGGCTTGCAGTCCCACTTGCTGCACGCGAGGTTTGCACACTCAGCAACTTGTGATTAGTGGGCCGCACCCGCATACACGCTACGCCGCGTGGTTCCCTAGATCTGTTTCTTGGTCGGCCAAGTCATTATCAATCGAGTGGTGGCGGGAAGGGTGGTACTTCTCCAAGCACCAAACCTTCGGCTTAGGATCAAGTGAGGGTCATGTTCGCTTGCATGTACAAAATCTGGCCTGTCACCCCGTCAGTGTGAGATTCTCCGTCTCGCTTCACTCCGTTCAATCTTCCAAATCATCCTCACTCAAAGACTGTTGCGTTGCTTCACTGTAGCCAGGTCCAACAGAACTTCGTTGTGACGTACGTGCCTGCACTTCTGAATCCTGGAACGCCTCAACCATGGCCATGGAGGTAGAGAAGTTTGAGATCCAAGGTCCCAAGATGGCCGATTTCTCAAGACGGACGCCGGACATGATCATAACCCACCGGGAGCACCGGGCAAGTGAATCCGAACTGTCTACCCAACCACCGTCCTCAGCCCCTTATGCCGAAACWGGAGCTCCCATCAATCGCAGCCAGACCGCCGAGGGGAGGAAAGCACAGAACCCCGGACTCGCGTGGCCACGGATACGAAGGACTCTTAGAGAGGCTCTTTCAGAGTTCATGGGTGTCTTTGTACTAATCATGTTCGGTGATGGAGTTGTGGCCCAGGTTGTCCTCAGTAAAGGTGAGAAGGGTGACTACCAGAGCATTAGCTGGGGCTGGGTGAGTTCTTTGTCAAGTCATACAACCTGTCATTCCATTACTGACCTTTTCAGGGTATTGGTGTGATGTTGGGCGTATATGCCAGCGGCATTTCGGGGGCCCACATAAACCCGGCAGTCACCTGGGCGAATTGTGTGTTCCGAGGTACGTTCTGACTAGGACCAGTAGGACGACAACTTCGAATCCATACTGACTACCAAGCAGGCTTCCCATGGTAAGACACCAGGGACAACAGTCCGAAGAATGGCTCGAAGATGTCTCTACAGACAAGCTGTCCTTTGGTCCCCTTCGATATGGTGCAGACATGCTTACTCTTCCACCCTGCAGGCGAAAGTTTCCGATCTATCTCGTTGCTCAAACCCTTGGAGCCATGGTTGCGTCAGGGGTAGTTTATGCCAACTACTATGTTAGTACTCCTGTATTCCTGGGCACTAGCGTCTCGAGGCTCACTTATATCCACAGAGCGCGATCGATGCTTTCGAAGGTGGCTCGATGAGGACAGTGAGCGGTCCGACGGCGACAGCGGGCATATTCTGCACATACCCAGCAGAATTCATGGTGAGCGATGCATATTCGACATTCAAGACATTGCTGACATTCTGAATCAGACCAGGACGGGCATGTTCTTCTCCGAGTTGTGAGTACATACCCGGCTAAGAGGATCTCAGGAGTGTCACAGAGACATGGGAAGCCTCCGCGACGACTCTGTCATAAACGTCCCAACAGAGATGACCTGTAAAGTTCGGAGCCTGTACTGACCTGACGGCATTTAGCATCGCCTCTGCGCTTTTGATGTTTCTCATCTACGCGATCAAAGATGATCACAACATCGGTGCCAAGAATCTCACGCCTCTAGCATTGTTCTTCATCATCTTCGGCATCGGCGCTTGCTTCGGATGGGAAACTGGATACGCCATTAACTTGGCTCGAGATTTCGTTCGTAGCAACGCTGTCCTCTCTAAAAGGTACATCCTGCTGACTCTCTTCCAGGGACCGCGACTGATGAGCTACTTCCTCGGGTATGGAAATGAAGTCTGGAGTGCGGGCGGATATTACTTCTGGATTCCGATGGTGTCTCCCTTCCTTGGATGCACATTCGGCGGCTTCCTGTACGATGTACTGCTCTTCACCGGAGAGAGCCCAATCAACACGCCATACTGGGGACTTTACCGTATCGTGCCGAGTTTGAGAAAGCGATACGCGGGTATTAAATGGGAGTCACCGGATGATAGCCCAGTATGAGAAGTGAGGTTGATGCAAGATCTTGCTCCAGATTTGGTCGTGCGAGGATGACCCCTGTAGCATTCTATAAAAGCCCGAGGAAGGGCCATTCCACCGTTCCTGCCCAATCCAAATCCTGAATGTCAAGACATCGCAGAGACAGAACCGACGAAGTGGAATTGAATAACAGCGGTCTTGCATACCACATTATCCTAATCAGAAACTTCTAGGGATTGTCACCAGCAAGTGGCTGTCGATCAGTCAGTCTTTCGATGATCGACGCCTTACTAAGCCGGTATCTCTCAGGTCCTTCGCAGTCAACCCTCAACTTTCACTCAGTCGTGTACATTCATTGGATGACATGAACTGGATATCACACTATGCTCTTCCGTGATATCGCGTCCGCCTGGACAAACGGCAGATGATTATCAGCGTGATAGCAGATCTGAAGTCCGATGAAATCACCTCATCGCGTTTGCCGTGTCAGCTTGGGCTTGGGCACGTCACAACTATCGCGGGGTCGTCTTGTCAGCGTGTAGCTTTGACAGCTGTTTGCGGAGTTCTAGCCCCGGCGCTTTGCAGTCCAATTGCAAGAATCTGTGGCTGTTGACCATGAGCGGCCGTACCACATTGTGGTACGCAGCTGCGGTGCAGTCCTACACAGCCTCGCAAGCCTGGCCTGGCCTGGCCCGACATCGAGATGCGTCCTCAGGAACGTGAGATTACCTGTTTACGGGCAAGCACTGGTGACGATCTATTGTGATGAGGTACAGCCGCTTGGGATCGCCCCTACCCTACAACGAACACGTGTGACCGAACGCGCGCTTCGACGCCCTGCATTATCTAAAGCTACCTAGTGTGACGGCATCGCTACCCCGTTGTGGTGTGATCTGGAACGAAGCAGGCATTAATACGTKCCCCAACAGACCTCCTCGTTTAACAATCGCTTGGTTGCGTATGCAGCATATAAAGCCCTCTTCCCAGTTTCCAGGTTTGTTCGTCAGCACATTTCTCTCAGGTCCCTTCACCGAGCACGTTCAAGAACACTATCCTTCCAATCCCCACCAGCATCAACATCATGTCCTACGACAACGATTCATCATCTCGCGGATACGGCGACAACAATGACAATTCGTCATTTGGAGGTTCGAATCGCAGGGACGACAACGATCGGAATGAATCATCCTTTGGAGGATCAAACCGCAGGGACGATGACAACGACTCGTCCTCCTATGGAAACACCAGCCGTGGTGATACCAACGATAGCTCATACGGGTAGGAAAACCCATGCTTTTTCAATCATCTAGGTTCTTGCTGACGCCTCTACTTGAAAAGATCTTCCGACCGAAAGAGTGGCCTAGACTCGTCTGACAGCTACTCTGGAGGTAACTCTGGCCGCAGCGGACTCGACTCCAGCGACACATACGGATCGAGCGGCAACTCTGGCCGCAGCGGACTCGACTCTAGTGACACATACGGATCAGGGGGCAACTCTGGCCGCAGTGGACTCGACTCCAGCGATACATACGGATCGAGTGGCAACTCCGGCCGTAGCGGGCTTGATTCCAGCGACACATACGGATCCGGGGGGACCTCTGGTCGCAGTGGAAACGACTCCAGCGATACATACGGATCGGGTGGAAAGTCCGGTGGGCTTGACTCCAGCGACAGCTACGGCAGCGGACGTGAACACGATACGACGGGCAGTGTACGTATTTTGCTCGACGTACCACATCAAAGTGCTGACATACAGGCCAGGGAAACACCGACAGCTACTCTTCCCCCGCCCTGGGCGGAAGCAGCCGTAACACGGGCTACGATGTATGACAACCCGGCCTTGCCAGAAATACTAACTAACGACCGCAAACAGGATGACTCCCGCACTCGCAGCTCGAACACCGACTCTTACTCAGGCGGCACCGAATATGGAAGTGGCACGACCTCAGGCGCAGGTCCGTATATTCCGCAATCTAGTTTTTTTGGCTCTCGATGCTGATGATGTTCAGGATACGGAAACAAGACCAGCAGCGACGATTACGATTCCAACGACAGGAACAACACGAGCAACGATAGCACCGCTGGAAAGCTCATGGAGAAGGCGGGAAACCTCTTTAAGAACGATGGATTGGCTGAGAAGGGCCGTAACAAGCGCGAGGAAGCCGGGCGTGATAACGACTACTAGGTTATGCTTCTCTGCTGAGGCACGTCGCCGAATGAATGAAATGAAATCATGTGCGAAACATCTGTACGCTGGCCTTTTCTTGACTCTCAAATCCGCTTATTCAAGGTACTCCTCACACATTCGCTATCTGCTTTTCGCCCTCTAAACACGTAGAGAACCTCAGGAAGTGGCGACAAGAGGGCCAACGCTAGGAGTGTGAAGATCACTCTCGTACGAAGCGAATCAATGCCCAGATTGTAAGAGACAGCTCGTGAGCATAAGACGGCTGCACGGCCAGTTCTGAAGATTGGACGTACCTTGGGCATGAGGACATACACAACACACTTGAAGGCGCGGCAACATTTGACACGAGCGATTGCAAAGCGTAGACGGCTTGACATAATTCTCATCTCATTCTGCATTGACATACATGTCCCGTTCATCATAATCGCCATCAAGTAAAGTAAAGAGTTCCAAGACCACATCCGGTCTGTCATCAGGCTCGTGATATATACGGCCGCATCCTGCAAACACCAATCCCAAAATCAAAAGATATAATTTCGCCTGCACGGTTGTATGTCTGTGCGTTGATGGCGGATGGAAGAAGGGGTAGGTCTGTCCCAGTCCAGGAACAAACATCGCTCTGTGGTATCATCCAGGTCAGATCCATCGATATCGTAAACTCCTTTTGGATGCAAAAGGAAAACGGAAAAAGTAAAGGCTCAATTCATCTTGATGAAGAGCGAGCGAAGAAGTAACGTAGTTGCTGATATGTGGTGGCGTGAAAAGCATGGACGCGGTCTTGCGTTCGTCATCCATGAGCTCGGCCGTTAAAAATAATTGCGTTCAGTTTTGGTGCGCGTGAAGTCTCGTGTCTCGTCGCGAGCGGCAAGATCAAATTCATAAAAGTTCATCGTCATCAGCATCATGAAGGAAAAGGTTCGATGTGTGGTGGCAGTGTGTAATCGATTAGTTCGCGCGAATGACGAGCTTGCTCAGAAACTTGTTGCTGAGGCAGTCAAAATCTTCGCGGTCGAACTTTGCGTTTTGCTGCTCCTTGAGATATTTCTCTGTCATGAGTGTTAGAAGTGTGTTCGTCTCGATCGAATTATTAACACTCACCATGTTTGTTAATGTGACCCTTGACTTCGGTCAAGGCGTCACATACAGCAGCGTTTGAACCGAGTAGGTGGTGGTGCTTCTTGGTATCCCACTCTTGCAGCGCAGGAAGCTTAGTGGAGATGGCCTGGAACAGACCAACAATGACACCAACAGGCGTAGTCTCCATGTCATCGCAGAACTTGTTGACGGCCCGTTCGTCAGGGACCCGGTAGTGGCAGTCGAACTGCATCTCTTCCCAGATCGCCAAGAGGATCGCGGCCAGCATGAAGATGGTGGGCCAGTTCTTGAGCTTCTCGCCGGAATAGACAGAGGAGTACAGTGCCGAAAGTTCCTCCAAAATGTCCTTTTGAAGATCACGCCAGATGTCCGCCAAGGCACACTTGACCTGGAAGTTGATCATGACTGGCGCCACGGTCTTGCCACTGAACTTCGACTTGTCGTCGACGATGCGACCTTGATATTGCTCTTCCTCGGTCAAGCCTTCCACCATGGTGACGTGCAGTGTGAGGTTATACGCGAGGACCAGCTTGAGYGCTTTGCGGATGGACGGAGTCTTCTCCTTTTGATAGTAGCGATATGCAGTCTTAAGAATCTCGGTGAGGAACTTCGTGCCCTCAAAGTACTCATCCACGAAGAGCTCGAAGCCGGAGTCGAGGTGGCGATCAAGATACTCGGAAAGGAGCGCAGTGCTGACACCTTCCATACCAGCCGAGAGCTTGGCTGTGCTGATTTCGAACTCCTCAGGATTTACACTGTTTTTTGTCTCCATCCAGTCCATACCAAAGCACTTGTCATCTCTCACAAAGACCTCGCGGGCGTTGATGGGAAGATAATGACCATAGCCGTGGGTGACGTATAGGGTGCGCTCGCGAGTGCTGAATCCCTTGATGTTGCCCACACTGAATCCAAGACTCACGTGACGCTCAAAGTCAGCCTTCCAGTCTTTCATGAAGTAGCCGATGTCCTTGATGTCCATGCGAGTACAAGGAACCTGCCACAGTCGTGCATGACTAGGTCTGCAACCGCCACATGGCTCGCCTTTGTCGCAAGTCTTCTTCAGGAACTTGCATCGCAGGCACGCACGAAGTTTGCGAATCTCGTGTGCTTGCTGGCGCTGGTCAGGTCTCAGCGGACCCCGTCTGCGACCAACCTTCTTCTCTGAAGTCGCGTCTTTGCGGGTGCCGACAGATGTCTTCTTGATGACAGCTTTGGTCGTCTTGCCCTCGAGTGGCGACTTGCGACGACGCAGGGGAGGCGACTGTGGACCAGATGATGACGGTGATGGATTCGAGGAACCGGATGACCTGTACGATACGATCCCAGTAGATGGACTGACGGCAGAGGAGGCCGGGGAGATGTGCCGATTGTCGTGGTGATGACCGTGATGATCGTGGTGGTGATCATGTGAGTGGTCGTGCTGGTGGCTGTGCGTGGCGAATGAACTTGCATGTTGAAGATACTGCGCGTCAAGGTAGTCCTGTCCGTGCAAGTCGTGTGGCGAAGTCATCGGCCAAGAGATCTCTTCGTAGCTGCCAGACAAACCGGCGGAGTGCGGACCATCTGAGGACGTTTCAGAGCTGGTGCGGATGTGGAGATTCTGACTTGGGTTTGATACAGTATCGACAGAAGCGTATGAAGCGCGATGGGGGTTGAAGCTGACCATCGACCAACCTTCGTTGTCGGATGATGATTGAACTTCGACGATCGAGCCAGTGGGCGAGCCTGCAGGCATACTGGATTGCACAGATACCGAGTGACGGTGGAGAGCAGTGTTCATGTCCATTGGGAATGCCGCCATCTCGGTCTGATAGTCGCTGAGAGGGTTGAACATGACATTCATCGAATCCATAGGCCCTGCCATGGTCATAAAATTGGTCCCATCCATCGCAGCCGACACGGTGTAGTTATTGTTGTTCGTCGCAGGCATGAATTCGATCGGCGAGTTCTGTAGCTGCGCACCAAACGAGGCAGCGTTGTACGCATGCATGTCCATCCCATTCCCCTCCTGCATACTGAATTGCGGCTGCTGTTGGTGAACCGCCTGCTGGATTTGATACTGCCAGTTGGTTGGAAACATGCTAGAATAGTCGAGGTCGAGGCCAGTCGTCTGCAGGTTGATCGAGCCATCGCTGTGGTTACTACTCGGCCGGTCCAAAGGTTGCTGCTGCTGCTGTATTTGATGGTGTTGTTGCGGGATGGGCTGCTGCTGCTGGTGATGGTTCGAGGGTCCAGCCATGTATGGCTTGTAGTCTTGCTGCTGCTGGTGCATTTGATTGTGCATCTGCTGCTGCTGCTGCTGCTGCTGCTGCTGCTGTTGTTGTTGTTGTTGTTGCTGCTGCTGCTGATGTTGTTGCGCCATGGTTTCTTGATCCATTGCCTGGAGACTTAGTGACGACCAAGCGTTGTGAGGATTCTGGATAGGCTGGCTGTACGGTGGATATGAGTGGGATCGAGGATCGTGAGTTGGTGCTAGTGCTGGTCCGAAGTCGAACAGGGCATCTTGCGAGTAGTCTGCGTAGTGGTCCATGATGGCCCACAAAGCTCACAAGCTACGGTGAGGAATCTGGTGTTGTGCGTTTGGTTCAGCTCAGCGCCTGAGAGAGTCCGCGCTCGAGCGATGTCGAGGCTTCGGCGAAGTTCTTCACACCGCCGTGGTTGGAGATAGTTGATGAGAACGGAGATGCGATGGTGTCGCAGCCGGGGAGGTCAGCCGCTGCGCTATCCTGTCGCTATTCTACGAGCCGTCGTGGGACTCGCGCAGACTGGGCGAAGCGCTCACCTGGCGGTGAGCAAGCGTCGTTTTGATGCTGCATGGCCCTGCAGAAAGGTGGGTGGGGTGGGTTGTCTTTCGCAATTGGATTGGTTCGGGTCCTAATATCCTTGCAAAACACTAGCTACAGCGAAGAAGAGGCGGCACGGGACCGTCCACCTAGCGTCAAATTCACCTCCGATCTGGTCCTGCGATGCGCTCGCGCGCCATTCGACACCACTGTCGGAAAATTTCGCACAGAGAGGCACCAGTAACGTTGTCTCATGGCGTGTATTCTCTGGATGGGACTTCACTTGCCTGAGGTGTTGCTGGTGAGACATTTGGCCCTCGCCTTTAGAGCCCGGAACGTTCCGAGCAGCAGTGTGGGGACGGRGGCGACAAGACGGGCGGGGTGCTTCTAAAGTTTAAAAGTTCCTTCGCGAGTCATGGCGATCGCTGCATCGCATGAAGTGGACCCTCCGAGTCCTCGACCTATTGAGTATCTAGCTCTAGAGCTACTCCCAACCACTGCGTCCAGCAGGCGGTGAAGGCCCTCTACGCGGAGGTTTTTGGCCACACATTCACGACTGGAGCGATCCACATCTTGCAGACGGTCAGTGCTCCGTAATATAGGTACAGCATGCAGGTCTCCTCATCTCGCTGACGCTCGCGACTGGAGTACCGTCTCTGGAGAGGCGAAACAATCGATAAACACGTGCAACCTACGCGCGCCAACTATTCTGCGCGCTTCTGGGTACCCGCTTGGTGCCACGCGGGTAGTAAGAATTCTTTCCCTCCTGGACGATACGGATCGTGCCCGCGCAAGCATGGTAGGCTTACCTTCATCGGAWCCGCTTCCCACTTTGTATACGAAAGGGAACACAGGTTATCATTCGACCAGGCTTCGCTTTGAAGAAATCCCACGCGGAGAGAAGTCGGACCTGCTCTATCGTCTGGTCCCTTTTCGATGCAACTCGCCGCGCMTAAAGTCTTGAGCTCTGGATGTCAAAGCACCTTGTGCACCACGAAATACCTCAAAGCTGACGCGGACTGGATGAGTCGGCATGCCGCGTCTTCGGGCGGAGGTACTTCTGCCCTCCAGAGTCTTCATCAGTCTTACATGTACCCGCGTAGAGTTCACAAAGCCAGAGCAGAAAGATGTCATCATCGCACAGCCTCAGCCACGATGTATAGGCGAGGAATGCAGCATGATGACGAGTCCAGTCAGCTCCGAGGTGATGGTGGAACTTGTGTGAGTTGGCCATAATGGCCTCGAGGCCCCAGGTCGCGCAGCCTTGTCCAATCCTGCAGTGGCTGATTATGCCGACTCGGACAGAAGTGTTATGTGCGAGCTTCGATGCCGCCACAAGCGGTGGGTGTCAATGTCATCTGCTTGCTTGCCAATGCTGCGTATATCTCCGATTCTATAGGTCGCTTGGGCGGTCCAGAGTCCTCAGATCGGATGGCGTCTTGCTTCCTATGCCGACGATGCGCTGGCAGCTCTTGAGTCAGGTCCATTCGGTGATGCCTTTGAGCGCGCGTGCCTTGGCATTGACGAATGCGTTGGCTTGTAGACAATCAATCGACAGGGGAGGTGGCCAGCCAGCCGCTCAATTCATGTCGCTGATTGTCGAATTCGATGCCCTGCATTGKGAATGTGATCAACAGGCAACCCATGTCATATCCCACCTACCCACCAGCCTCTTCGACCCATTGTCGTCCATTGAACAAACCATGGAGAGTAGCAGTGTCTAGCAACTCTGTTCTACCTTGCAAAACGTTGTGCTCGGCCCATATGCAACGACACGGATGCTCAACGCACTGATGCTGAACGCACTGATGTTGGGCGACGTGTCAGCACAGTGAATTATCGTAAAGCGAACCTCCACGTGGAACGCGAGTCGCGTAATATCCATCTCAAAGTGAAGTGCACAGCGTCGACATGCGTTGCATACAACCTTGGAGGGGACGCCCGCAAATAAGACTGCATGCTGTTTGACGATTGCTTTCCTATCGTGCACCTGAGACTTTCCGCACACACAAATATTAAGGAAAATATTACGCCTCAACATGTTCGAACGCTCCGCGCACATCTTCCTTCAAATGACATCTACGAAAATGCGATTTTTTGGTTCGCTTCGGTCGACTCCTTCATGATGCAAAATTCATGATGACAACGGTTGCAATCTCTCGCAGCGACCACGGGGATCTTTGGCATGATCCATCTCCGACGGGTCGACACGTAATCGCGTTCAGTCTGTGTAGCGACCGTGACCGCTTCGTTTTGTCCGTCCACGGCGTTGAAACGTACTCGGACGGAGATCACTGAGTCCTGTCCCCATAGGAAGTAGAAGTATTATTCTAGGCGACATACGTACAGAGCTTGGAGCTTCCCAGTCATGGAAAGATCGACGTACTACACGTACATGGAAAGAAGATAGGGGGTCTAACGGAGGACACCCCGTGACGAACTGTCTTTGTTCAGTGTGAATTGGCATCTTAAGCTTGTCTGCTCTGATGCAGAAATCGTCGAAGCGTAGTAATGTGATCCTGGTATTATCAAAGTCAAAGAGAGGAAATGAAGTCGCCTTCGCTGTATTTAGTTGGGAGGTCTGAAAAGGCCGGGGTCCAAAAGTAATTAGGAAGTGCACCAGATGCAAATGTTTCGCGTTCGCTCACCAACACGAACCGAATCCATGTCCAGGAGCACTTTAGCCCACGCTCTCCGACCACAGTAAATGGAAACAGGAAACGCCACGGAGGCTCCAAGGATCAAAGCAGAATAGGTGAGAGAAGGGTATCCTCGCTCTAAGCCTAAAGGATCATGATCTCCCGCGGTCCATATGTCCTTCTGAAGCTTCATAATTCGAACTCTATCCTCAACATCATAGGTCGATCAAGCTTCCACCTTGCCCTGGCTGTTGCCCTCCATACCCTTGCTGCTGTTGCTGTTGCGGTTGCGCACCAAACGGATTGCCTCCAAACCCGCCTGCAGGGCCAGTTTGCGCGGGCATTTGTGGTTGGGGCTGCGAGTGCTGATTGAAAAATGGATTGTTGCCTGTTCGACTCGCCTCCAATCTTCCCATACTACCCAGGCCGGCACTGTTCACATATGTACCCGGTGCAGTATGTTGGGCCGGAATCCGCATGTCGCCAATGTTTCCGAATGTGTCTTGGCCTTCGCCGGTGGAGAGCAGGTGGTTTAGCTTGGCTTGGTATGGATCGACAGGAGCTTGTTGTTTTGCGGTCTGTTGAGGCTGGAGTGGAGGTTGCGGCTGTGGGGCTGTGAAGTTCTGAATTGGGTTCGGACGAGCATTGAACTGGTTCGATGCTTGTTGTTCGGCAAGACTGGAGAGGGTAGGCTGACTACGGAATGGAGATGCCGTGGCTTGGCGTTGAGGTTGGGAGGCGAAGGGATTGTTGGAGCCCGTAGGCTGGATGCCAATAGGGCTGGCTGCGGGCTGCGTCGACGCCCAGGGGTTGTTAGAGCCTGCTGCAGTGGGCTGCTCCTGAATGGGCTGCTGCTGCTGCTGTGACTGCTGGCTGAAACCATTGTTCATCTGCTGTGCCCAAGGATTATAGGTGTTTTGCGGCTGAAGAAACTGCGCTTGCGGTTGTTGCATTTGCTCGTAGCCCGTTGGCTGGGGCTGTTGATATCCAAAGTTGTTGCCATAGCCGTTCTGGAAAGCGGTCTGCTGGGGTTGCAGGCCAGTTGGCTGGCTATATGCATTTTCGACGTATCCAGTCTGCTGCTGCTGGACGGGGTTGCCAAACCAGTCTACCGCAGCCTGTTGCTGATAGCCCTGGTTGAAGCCAGTCGGCTGCGGTGCTTGAACGGGCGTGTCATCGAACAACAGGTCACTCTGAGTCTGATCTTCGAGCTGGCGCTTCCGCGCTTCCTCCTCCTCCTTGCTGAGCTTGATAGCCTTGGCCAAATCGTCATCGGTCTCCTCTGCATGGCCACCCTTTCTACGCTGGGCTTCCATCTCGGCCTCGTTCTTCGACGCCTCCAACGCGAGCCGGTATTCGAGATCGTCTTCATCATCCCTCTGCGGTCTCTGTTGTCGGTGACGCCGTGGCGTATTCAAGCTCGAGCTTGGATCCTCTCCGCCCAGACCAAACTCCTCCAAACCTGTCACACGCGACTTCCATGAACCCCGGTTGGCTCGCTCGGCACGCAGTCTCTCTTCGTCCAGCACCAGGGATGTTAATTCCTTGGCCGACGCGCGGACTATGCTCAATCAGTATACTGTCCAGCACCTCACTCCGCCGGGGGGGAATCTTACTGCTCGCGCCAACATCCCGGCCGTCGTCATCCGTGTGCATAAACTCGCGCAGAGTTTTGATGATGTATATGTTCTTCCGCGCCCAGGTCACGACGAGCTCAGAGCCCTCGTGCAGACAGTAGTCGAGCACCTTGAGACTCTTCAGCACGTGGCGCCAATTCTTTCCCTTGTCGTTGAGTCGCTTGTCGAGCATGTCCATAACCTCGTAGAAGTCGGTCGAGCTGTTGAATGTGATTTTGGCAATATCGGCCATATCCGTACCGGTCGGGCCTGCAAATGTGCCATGGTCAGTACGTGGTCGTCGTGTAGATCTGTATGCATGTGAAGCATACCCCAAGGCGCATTGCTGGTGGCATTGCGCACTTTGACCTGCACCGCCGAGTAGCCCTTTGTGACATTCTTGACGCTACGCAGTACTCCAGACATGTTGGCGGTAGTTTATTGGAGTAGGAGTAACAGAGCATGCACAGAAATAGTATTGCCTTTGCGCAGTTCACGGATGGCCGGTAGCATGACGACGCCGCCGCGCCTTCCAGATCGGCCTTTCCCGCAAACGCACGGGCCACCACGCGCCAAGGCCACGCACCACATTCGACTTCAACTCCACCGAAGGAAAGTTCTTCCTCCTCGTGCTCAGCGACAATTCCTCACCCATCGCCCAACTAACCCCCAGCAACTCTCAAAAATGGTAAGCAGAACCATCACACCCCTCCAGTCGGTCTAGCCCACTGGTGGCTGCTCGCTGATCAATTGTGCGCGACACCGTCTCGTGCAGTCCGCTCCMACATGCGATACAGCGAGCAAGCATGGCCCGTGGGCATGACTTGACTCCTCCACCATCCTCTGAGGAGTGATGCGTGTGATTTGGCTTGAGCTGCCGTTGTTGCGACCTTAATCGGCGCACACGGTAGTCTCTTAGAGAGGACAGCAGTGCTGACTCTCAATGACCACAGCCTCCAAAAGCCGGCGGCAAGAAGGCCGCTCCAGCTCCATTCCCAGCCACCAAGGCCGGTGTGAGCAAGAAGCAGGCAAAGGTATGTTACATCACTCCCAGCTCCAAAGGCCGAGTCTAAAACCTATCAAGAACCCTCTCATCGAGCGCCGCCCACGCAACTATGGCATTGGCCAGGACATCCAGCCCAAGCGCAACTTGTCGCGCATGGTGCGCTGGCCCGAGTACGTGCGCCTGCAGCGCCAGCGCAAGATCCTCAACATGCGCCTGAAGGTCCCACCGGCGATTGCCCAGTTCTCGCAGACCCTCGACCGCAACACCGCTGCCCAGACCTTCAAGTTCCTCAACAAGTACCGCCCAGAGACCAAGGTCGAGAAGAAGGAGCGTTTGCACAAGGAGGCCACCGCCGTCGCTGATGGCAAGAAGAAGGAGGACGTCTCGAAGAAGCCATACACCGTCAAGTACGGTCTAAACCACGTCGTCGCTCTCATTGAGGCCAAGAAGACCCAGCTTGTTCTCATCCCCAACGATGTTGACCCAATCGAGCTTGTCATCTTCCTGCCCGCACTCTGCCGTAAGATGGGTGTCCCATACGCCATTGTGAAGGGCAAGGCCCGTCTCGGAACTGTTGTCCACAAGAAGGTTCGTTCAAATCCATCGCATTGTACTCATGACCTCCGCTGATTTGTTTACTTAGACTGCCGCCGCTCTCGCCATCACCGAGGTTCGTGCTGAGGACAAGACCGAGCTTTCCAAGCTCGTCCAGGCCGTCAAGGAGGGTTACCTCGACAAGAACGAAGAGGCCAAGCGTCACTGGGGAGGTGGTATCATGGGTGCCAAGGCTCAGGCCCACGAGCGCAAGAAGCGTGAGCGCATTGAGCGTGAGATCAAGATCTAGATGTGTTGAAATAAACATGTCTTTTCTTGCTTCTTCGCCTTTGATCGTCTTTCGGGCATGGYGTGTGGCGTACTAAAAGCGCAGAAGCAGTCCGGTCTGTCTGTCTGTCTGCTGGGGATGAACATGTGGGCCTTTGTTAGCCATTTTGGGGAATGAATGAGACTAAGAATTTCAACCCGTGGCTGTCCGCTCTCCTCTTGCGGCAGGATTGATCATCAACAATGCTCCCGTGTCATGGATGTGTCGTGCTTCCGTACCTAGATGTCGTAACAATGTCTTCGGCCCATGTTTGACGCCGACTCAAGAGGGAGAAGCCCTTTCCAGACAGGACGAGCTCCATCATCCGGGTCACGACATGATGCCTTTAGCGGGAAGTTCATCGAGTTGCCTCTCGACCGCGACAGTGTTGGACACAGCGATGCACGTCAATATCTGGATGTATCGCCAGGGGCATGATCGTTGCAGATAAAGATCTTAAGTGCCTAGCAGATCTTTAGAGAGCCACCCTTGATCAATATTCTTGCAATCGTCGGTTCAAGATCCAAGATACGCGCATCTCTTCAGTACGTTTCTATCAACTGCTCCATGGTCGCTGCAAGATGTCTTGCCCTTAGTCCCTTATCCCTGCTGCATTCAAGTTACCATCGACATTCAAGTTACCATCGACATTCAAGTTACCATCGACATTCAAGTTACCATCGACATTCAAGTTACCATCGACATTCNCATTCAAGTTACCATCGACATTCAAGTTACCATCGACATTCAAGTTACCATCGACATTCAAGTTACCATCGACATTCAAGTTACCATCGACATTCTACAACTGGCCTGTCATAAGCAGTTGAACAGCTGCCGACGACTCGAGCAAGCGATTCTCATACTTCTGGTACAATCCCGTCCAAATAGCAGAGCTAGCTCTGCGCCATGGCGAAACTCACCTGGGCTGAGAAGAATAAACGTAGGCAGGCCCGAGCCCAAGTTAAGACTGTGGAAGAGAGGGAGAAGATGGACAGTGAACCTGTTGTGGCAGAACAGGGAAGTAGTGAGATTTGGAGAGGCACCGTTCGCCGAGAGAATAATTATAATCGTACGCACCGTGGTGGGGGAATGGATAAAAGGGGCGCAACGGGATTACGGGGAGGTGGAGGAGAAGGAGTGGAAGGCGGCGGGCTGCGACAACGGGTACTGAGGAAGTTGAGGGCAGCCTTCTCTTGGTGAGCCGATTCGAGTGGTACCTGGACGGAAAGTAGGGATTGAGATACTTCAGTCTGAGCTGTAGATAAGATGTTCATGTGTAGCTCCGTAGTGGGTTGTCCGTCCTTCGATCGCCTTTGTCCAAGCACTGGGGTCCGGCAATAATGAGTCGAGTGGAAAACATTCCGTTCTGTACGATGCCAGACCAGATTATGATTATGTGCCACGAACGCAACATCAGCCGTCGAGAAGGCGAAGCTGTTGAGTGCCGTGTCTAAGACGTCAGGGTGGTAAGAGGGCACAAGTGAAGCAGGTGTCATCGATGCGTCTCGCATCAGTATCAAAGTGCTATCATGCTCCTTCTCGCTACACAAACTCGAAGATTCTTGTCTATGTCTATGGCCGATGTTGTTGCAAGGAACGGGGGATGTTGGTGGGGCTAGCGGGAAGGTGGGAGTGGCCCGCGATGACGCTCCACGCTTTTCCACTTCGATGCTTGCCTTTCTTCTCATCGAATTTCATGCGTGTGAACAGAAACAACCTCTCAGCTTGAAACAAATTTGCGAGAACAACAGTGCATCATCATACCTCTACATAGCTTCGAGTTCTGTGTCGTCAATTCGATCAGACACATCGAAGCGCGTGTAGACGGGATCCCGCACCTCGACCGAAGACCTCGATGAGCGCCCAAGCCAAAACGGGTGAGACCCGCGAGAAGATTCCCACCAAGGTCGTCAAACCATCACAGCCCAGCGACAGCAGCGAATCGTCCTCGGAATCAGAGYCTGACGACAACTACGACTCCGATCTCGTATCAGACGATGATGACTCTGGAGATCATGATGCCAAGATTTTGTCTCAATATCGCCATCTGCTCTCACGAAGAGTAGACTTGGTGGGCGACTATGCCGGAGACGAACTCTTCTTGATCGAAGGAGACTCACTTCTTCTGAGATGCTTTGCAGACGACAAGCTAGATTTCGACAATGGATTCCAACTTCTGCACGCCACATACAACGTCGAGCACTTTCTGCAAAACCTGGTTCAGAGGAAGTGTCATTTCAACATCACATTCTTCAACAGCAACCGAGAGCTCTGCCTCCCGCCTTCAGCGTCTGCACAAAATGCAAACAAGTTCTTCCTTGCCCGCGCGGCCATTATTCGCCACCTCCAGCAGAACCTCGCAAAATCGCATCCCAGCATCCATGTTGATGTTTTCGAGGCATGGGACTCATCTGAGTTCTCCAAGCATCTCCAGACTACCTCACCTTACTTCATCATGGCACACGATGGAGCTTTGGCAAACAACCACAACTCGAACCTCATTCAGGAGGATCGACACGCAAATGGGGATTCCAAGGCCCCTGCTCCCAGCCCGAACCGAGTGCCGTTCAGGGAGATGATACTCTCGTTCATTGATCGTGGTTTCAATGTCAGCTTGCTTAATGGGCTTGAATGGCTAGACGCCAAGGTCATGACCATGGTCCTTGAAGCTCGCAACAGAGCCCCGGGTGTGACATCAGAGACCACATTCACATCAAGAGCCGGCTCTGTGCCCGCTCAGGATGTATCTGCGCAGCTTCAGAAGCTTGACCCGTCAAGCCTCACCGAGAGGCAGATCCTGGCGGTCGTCACTGTTGTCAAGCTCCTGAGTGCATCCGCTTCAGACGTGCAGCAAAAGGCGCGCTTGTGCGCAGCTTTCCTGCTACACCAAGCGTTGCTCACCACGCTGCCTCTGACCGCGCGACGCGTTGAGGCGTCCGCCGGTGTCCAGGGTGCCCAGGCCCTGATGAACGCAGTTTCATCCACAGCTGAATCGATCCTCAACAGTCCATCCTGGGCTTCTTCCCTATCCGGAAGCACTGCTGGATGCGATATCATGGACTTTGTCGATGGTCGTTTGCTATTGCAGACCATTGAGTCTCACCCCAAAGTAAGCAACGAGACTAAAGCAGTCTTCGATGAGCTTGTGAAGGCGGTGGAGGTTCTGGCGACTACAGACGGTATCAGCTTCGAAGATGCATCGGGGGGCACGGTATCATCTGCATCCGACTCAAGCACCACCAACGAAAAGGGTCCCCAAGATGATCTCGCGGTCCTACCATTTTCCAACAAGGTGTTCGACAAGCACCTTCAGTCCATCCATATCGAGGTCGATGAGGCCGCTGGTGGTGAGCGCAGCTTGACATCGCGCAAAATCTTCCAAGRGGTGACACATTGGCACAACGCCAAGAAGCCATTGATTGTGAAGGCTCCTCTGACTCCCAAGGAGATCAGAGAAGCCTCCAAGGCTGCCAAGCGCAATCAGCTTTTCATGGCCGAAATGCGAACATATGCAGCGTCATTGACCAACGCAGTTGGTAAGAGCTTGGAACCAGAGAGCATCATCGTTGGCATACCGCGTCAGTCAACTCAGGCAAAGGCGAATGTACCATCATCGCCAGCCGACTCGGATGCATCCGACAGCGGGGCATCTACTCAGAGTAAAGGCAAACCTGGTGCCAAAAAGGGTGGCGGTGGCAAGACTGCTGCTAAGAGTGCGCATCTATCTTCTTTCAACTGTTGAGGACGTCGCTAACCATCTCGCAGATGCCGGAAAGCAGGCCATGCTGAATCAAATCGCAGCCAACAAAGCTAAGAAGGATGAGAGTGCAGGTGACAAGATTGCCGGCGCATGGCAGGTTGCATGCAAAGGCTTCGAGGCAGATGTGGATCCCCGAACCCGATACCGCAAGGCCAAAGATTACCTCACCAACCTCAAGCCTGAGTATAAGGAGGTGGTTGGTCCTGAATGCGAATTGTACCTGCTCAGCTGTCTTTTGCAATACTGGATCGCCGCTTGTCGCCAGAAAGAACAGGCGAACCGCATTCAAGTCGCAGCCCTCATCTGGTCTCACACCCGAAGCATTGCCCAGCGTGGACCACTTACGAAGACGATTATCAAATCTCTCGACCAAACCGTCAAGGCGCTGAACCTACCGCCGATGCCYCCCACTACAGAGGCCGCGGCAGACCGAAAGCTGGCATTTACATTTGCCCTGCCAACCAAGGTGGAATCTCTGTCGATCGGGCTGTCGTCCAAGGACTTCCAGCTCCTTCAGTGCGGTCCTTATCTTGAGAGATCGTTTGACTCGCAGCCAGACCCTCGAGTGGACTTCCAGCCTGATGGATGGCAGCGAAAAGTTCTCGACACCATCGACGCAGATCAGAGTGTTTTCGTCGTTGCACCTACATCCTCGGGTAAGACATTCATCTCCTTTTATGCGATGCGAAAGGTTCTTGAAGCCGACGATGACGGCGTTCTGGTCTATGTGGCGCCTACGAAGGCACTGGTCAACCAGATTGCCGCAGAAATTCAAGCTCGCTACAGCAAAAAGTYCAAGTACGGCGGAAAGTCAGTCTGGGCAATCCACACTCGCGACTACCGTATCAACAGCCCGAACGGATGTCAGGTGTTGGTCACTGTGCCACACGTGCTCCAGATCATGCTTCTCGCACCATCCAACGCGAATTCGTGGTCAAGCAGAGTTCGAAGAATCATCTTCGATGAAATTCATTCCATTGGAAATGCTGAAGATGGTGTGGTCTGGGAGCAGCTGTTACTGATGGCCCCTTGCCCCATCATCGCCTTGTCTGCCACTGTTGGTAACCCTGGCGAATTCAGTGGATGGCTGGCGACCACGCAAGAAGCAATTGGCAAGAAGCTCATCACCGTCCAACACCCATACCGTTATTCGGATCTGCGGAAATACTTCTATCTGGAACCGAAGCGCTTCGACTTCCAGGGCGTCCCAGGCAAGTCTGCGTTTGGGTCTCTTGGCCTTGAAGGTCTCAAAGGCTTCAACTACGTACATCCAGTCGCTGGACTTGTTGATAAGAGTCGAGGCATTCCTGAAGATCTTGCACTCGAGGCTAGAGACTGCTTGTATCTCTACAATGCTATGAAGAAGGTCCAGACTGAGGACTTCCCTGTGTCGGCCGCATTAGGACCAGACAAGATGCTTCCAGATGTTTCTCGGAAGGTCGACATCCTGAAGTGGGAGAAGGAACTGAAGGTGCTTCTCCAACAGTGGCTCGATGACATCAAGTCGCCATTCGATTCGTTGCTGGCTGAACTCGAGGGCAGCTTCAGGAACGACGATCATGAAGAATTGTACACGACGGCCGTTGGCAATACCAACAAACCTGGTAAGGAAGTCACGGGAGACCTCCTCAAGTCAACCCTCCCAATGCTGTGTCGACTCCAGGAACAGGACGCGCTACCAGCAATCTGCTTCAACTACGATCGACACATGTGTGAGAAGATCTACAAGGCCGTGGTTGATCAACTTCAGGAGGCTGAAACCAAGCAGAAAAAGAGCGGGACCAAGTGGGAAAAGACTCTTGAGAAGTTTGAGGAGTGGAAAGAGCTGAAGGCCAAAGCCACTTCCCGAGCCTCAAAAGCGGCACAAAAGAAGCCATCCAAGAAGTCCAAGGGCGATGACGATGATGGCGAAGACGACAAGGCTTCGAAACTCGATCTCCAGCGCGAATCTGCTGGAGGCGAAGATACGAAGTGGGAATCCTTCGATCCAGAGGCGCCAGTCGAGGGCTATCACTTCGCGGACTATGCAAAGGTGCAGAAGTCTGAGCTGGAAATCTACATCCGACAGCTGTGGCGCCGACAGGTTCCCCAATTCCTCATTGATGCTCTCGGCCGTGGTATCGGAGTCCATCACGCCGGTATGAACCGAAAGTACCGCCAGGTTGTCGAGATCCTGTTCCGCATGGGCTTCCTGCGTGTCATCTTTGCCACCGGTACTCTCGCGCTCGGTATCAACATGCCATGTAAGACTGTGGTCTTTTCTGGAGACTCGGTCTTCTTAACGGCGCTTAACTACAGGCAGTGTGCTGGTCGTGCCGGCCGTCGTGGATTTGATTTGCTCGGAAATGTTGTTTTCCAGGGTGTTTCGAGGCAGAAGGTCTGCAGGCTCATCAGCTCTAGACTTCCTGACTTGAACGGACATTTCCCGCTGACCACGACATTGGTACTCCGTCTGTTCACGCTGCTTAACGACTCGAACAGTTCGAAGTATTCAGTTAGCGCCATCAATGCGCTGCTCTCCCAGCCACGTCTGTACATGGGCGGACCGAGCTTCAAGGACCAGACGATGCACCACCTGCGGTTCTCCATCGAGTATCTACGACGACAGCACTTACTTGGTGCCGATGGAGCCCCATTGAACTTCGCTGGGCTGGTCAGCCACCTCTACTACACAGAGAACTCGTCATTCGCCTTCCACGCGCTGCTCAAGGAGGGTTTCTTCCACGAGACATGCGCTCGCATCAACACCAACGAGAAGGATACACTCGAGACGCTGATGCTGGTAATGTCACACTTGTTCAATCGCGCTTTGTGCAGACAGGCCGATGCCGAGTACCGTGAAACTGTTGTCAAGCCATCTTCGTCACTGGTATTCCTCCCGCCGATGCCCAAGGCAGCGTCAAAGATTTTGCGCGACCACAATAAGCAGACTCTGGATGTTTACAAGGCCTACGTCGAGACTTTCGTGAACCAACATATCACTGGAGACGATCGGAAGCTTCCTCTTTCCGGGATACAGGCCGGCGCAGATGGTTCGAACGTTGCCGGTGATGTCAATTCTCTGCCGGCGACTCGCATTCGTTCATCTTTTGTCGGCCTCTCTGGCCATGGCGATGACTTCAGTAACATCCATGACTTGTGTTCAAGTGTTCGGGATGGTGTCTTCCTCGAAGAGGCAGTGGTTCCATCATTGCCGACCTCTGAAGAGATGGATGTGCCGTTGAACGCCTACCTACTTGGTGAGTAACAATCCAACCATTCTCAGAGCTGCACAACTAATAGACTCGTAGACTTCTTCAAGCACGGTGATGTGTTCACAATCGAGCGTGCCAACGGCATTCGTCGTGCTGACATCTGGTTTCTGCTGAACGACTTCTCCATGGTCCTCGCCACGATCATCACCAGTAAGTCAAAAATGATTCGACATGTATCTCGACTTCTACTAACACTAGCGATCAGGTTTGCTCAACTTCATGAAATTGGCCGATGGCACCGACATGGACATGCTCGAAGTCATGGGTGGCATGGATGCGCACGAGGAAGCCGAGGACGACAAGGTGGCCGCTGTTGAGGCCGAGACACAATCCGACATCTCAGGCCCAAGCGCGGCGGACTCTGGCGTTGTACTGGCGGAGCGTAACGCCAAGACACCAGCCGCGCCTACCAAGAAGCAGGCGAAGAATGCCGACAGCTGGGAGGATCTTGCGGGCGAGGAGGAAGATGCTGCGGCAGCCGAAACGAGGAAGAAGCTCGATGAGGAGGCTGAGATCCAGGCACAGGAGATGGCTGCTTGGGATGGGGACGGTAACGAGGGCCTGAAGACGGTGCTAAAGGCGTTCCAGAAGCTGCAGGCTGAGTTCAACTTCAAGTTCAGGGCCATGTGGGCTTAAGAGCGGAAGATGTAGAGGAGATGAAAATCATGGATGGATGATTGGGTCTAAAATGCTACTAGATGATAAAGCGATGAATGATGTGTGTCTCTCGTGTACTCCATGTGACGTTCTTCAGCCCTACGTTGCCTGCACTCGGCTCGTCTGTTCTTTCCCCCGCAAGCTCCAAACGGAAGCCAAAGCTTATCACTTTCATCATTATTCTATGACTCTTCTGCTTCGTAGCTCGATGTCACATTTGCGCTTCTACTGAAGCATCAACAATCATGGCTCCCACGGCGCTCAGCGATCTGCCACCCGAGCTTCTACTCCATGTCACCGATCACTTGAGGGAAGCCGCCTCGATAGCTTGTCTTGGACGTACAAGCAAGAAGCTGCGAGATTTCGTGAACGAAGAGGCCTGGAAGAGCTTCGCTAGACGCCGGTTCCCTACGATCTGCCCTCCGGAGTCACCTTCATTCAAGGAGACAACACGCACCCTAACAAGTTTATCCCGAGCATTGGACAAGCGAGCATTCGTGGCAAAATGCATCGAACCGGCCGGCGAAATCACCGCGTTCCCGGGCAGAAGAAACATTGAAAGATGGAAGCGGCCTCATGGTCAAACGATTGGATTTACTCCCCATATCGACGTGTACGATGAAGTCGGGCAGACGTGGCGTGACAGAGAAGAGGTGCTCGCCTTCAGCGCGGGCGCACAGATCTGCCTGAGACAAACGACGAGGACAGCGGCTGGTGGAATTTCCTCGAGATGGACCACATATAGACCACTTTCTGCATATGAGGGCAGAGACGATGTCACTTGCCTGCATCTTGTGCGTCCGAAAAACTTGGCAGCGAGTACTCTCGATGTGATCACCGGCACCGCAAATGGAGATTTGCAGATGACTTGTTTGCCACGGGCCACTTCTTCAGTTGACGATGCGAAGATTACATACTTCACCACCCAAGGTATGCCTGTCCGTTCAAGTAGTCTGCTACAAGATGAGACTGAGCCYACGCTGCTCGCCGCTAGCCTGGGGGAGTCCAGTCTCGCTTTGTATCGGGTGGACGACCAGAAGGCCAAAACATCTCCCTCTAGCCAAGTGGACTTGAAGCCCGTCTTACGAGCAGATGGTCATCCTACCTCGCAACGTATTTGGTCCACGAAGTTTTTCTCACCCTCGACACTTGCAGTCGGGGTAGGACCATCGGCTCAACCGATTCAGATATTCTCCATTACACCGTCGGGCATCATGAGGGATCCACTGCGAAAGTTTGCGCTTGAAAATGACACTCGCGAGCTTGACAGTGTGGAAACATTCAAGCCACCAACATCCTCTGTCTACACAATTGAGCCTCTGTCTCCTTCAATCTCTGGTAGCGTGTTCCTTTCTGGGGCTTACGATGGCATTGTTCGCTTACATGACCTGCGCTCAAGTCGCGAGAGTCAGGCTCGCTTTGTCGACCCAAGCGATGACAGTCCTATCTATAGTATTCTTCCGCGAGGTCATGAAAAGATGGTCGTTGGAACGGGAAGGCACAATCTGCTCAAGATCTTTGACCTCCGCATGGGCGCAAAGTGCTACGATGTTCCCAATCTTTCCTACAAAGATTCCAAACCCTCCCCAGACAACGACTTCAACCTCTATTTGCGAACAAAGGGAGGAGGCCAGGGCACAAATTGGGGTCGTGGTCGCAGTCGTGCTGCCGAATCCTYTGTGTACTCGCTTGCTTCGCCATCGTCTTGTTCCCCGTATATTTATGCTGGGCTGGAGAACGCGATCATGTCGCTCAGTTTGACCGAAACCTTGGACCACCATGCCGACCCAGCGTATTTCCTTCCACGCAAGCCAGCTACAGGTAAGAACGGTGCCAGTGTATCGAGCATTTTCGACGAAAAGGATATTCTTGACCTGGCTATGCATGAACAAGGGTCTATGGTCCTGTTCCAACAGAGGAGCTTGCACACAACCTTGAAGGCTCAGAGTGCTGGGCGCATGCCGACCCAAACGCTTGACGTGCGATGGAAGAGCTCAGCTGAGGTCGATTCGGATGTTTAGATTGTAGATGAGCCATCCAGGAAGCTCATCACGCTGGCTCGCGACCAGTAAGGGTTAGATTTCATACACTCTTTCCATCTCTCCGCTATCTCATCGATTTCGGTATGCGCTTGGATGTGTACAAGACCTGGACATTGCAGCCTCCAAGGCTACGTAGGGTATGATTTCGTTTGATGTGGGCGTCCCTATCCCAAGACAAGGTTGGTTTCGCAAATTTCCACGAACCCGCTCAGTCCGCCTTCGAGACACCACAAGCAGCACACTCCTATCCGTTTCATGAAGGTTTGTGCCCAGCGAGAATGGCATGCTAGCTAGTTTGGCTTTCGACAACCAAACACTCTTCGTAGAGACACTTATTGACTTGTCACCCAATGTACCGAGACATGGATTGGCCATGTGCCCTAACGAAGTGGTTTCAGCGCCAGTTGATTGCGCCTCTAGGGCTGGCGAGCAAAATACTATAGGAATCGAGCTCAAGAGTCAGCGCTYATACATAGTTGTGCACTCGCGATTGAGGGAGTTCCCGGAGAGAGGTTTCCGCTGTGTACGGTCTCTCCGTATGCCTCAGAGCCGAAATATTTCTGTTCTCCTAGCAGCGGACAGGCCAATGCGAGCAGTGCCGGTAGACGCACCGCTTTCGCCTCGGGCCTGTCATATATGTTCGAGATGCAAAGAGCGGCATCCTGGGACGTTCAAAGTCGGGTTCAGTCTTGGGATCGGGATTGAATATACCGTAACAACAATTTCAGGTGGTCGGCAGTTCTCAAGGAAGCCCGGCATGTCTCACTGGCTTTCTTGATTGATGTGCGATCCATGATATCCGGGGATCTGGCTATGAAACGTCGGCGAGGTCTGGATTTCAGGTCGGCGACTCTAAGGTTTCACCTTTCCGTCTGCGATGTACCACACGCCCGTCTGTGTTGGAATAAACTCCTGTAACGTCGCAGGTCTTCCCTGTGATGGCATGAAATGTCAGGGTTTCTTCGCACACGCAAGACGATACATTCGCGGCTTGCTCATCACGGCATTCTGCCGCAGACACTGATGCCTGTCAAATACGCCTGGAAACCTGTCTCACCGTCACTTTTGCGGTACTACACCCCCGTGCGGGCGAGCCCAAGGTCGGCGATTACAGGATGACGAGAAATATCGACCTAGTTATCTCTGAGGCAATGCCCGGACGATGTTGTGAGGGAACATCAAACATCAAGTCATTCACTGCAAGAAACTACAACGACGGCTMTGCGGGCCTATATCACCAGTTCTAATACATTCCACGTCAGACCCAACCAGATGGAAATCGCCGTCGATAACAATGTCCAACAGCCAAAAGTCCACTGCATCTTCTCGCCCGCGAATTCCACATGGTGCTACATCATAGCAGACCGGGCGTCCGGCCACGCCATCATCATTGATCCTCTCTTGTCCAGAGATCACACCGGGGCCATTGCATCTACAGTTCCAGATTTGATACTTGAGATCGTCCACTCCAACAACTATACCGTCGACCACGTCCTGGAGACCAACGCACACGAAGAATACCCATCGGCAGCATGGTACCTTCGCAATCAACTCCTAGAAAAACGCGGCCGCGCTCCTCGAGTAGCCGTCCAGAAGAGTCTACGAATCGTCCAACGCATTCATGCTCGAAAATATGGGATCAAGAATAAATTCTGGACTGGAGAATTCGATGGACGTTTCGTAGACGGCGAGGTCTTGGGCGCAGGAAGTCTACGAATCCAAGTCATTCATTTACCAGGTCGTTCACAGGATCATGTGGGATATGTAATCGGGGATAATCTTTTCGCTGGGGATTGCTGTTTTCATACAAGAAATCATTTTCACTTGCATCCGGTTGTACAAGATTGTTTGATGATTTCGATCAAGAGACTGCAGAGTATGTCGCCCAAACTGAGGATTTGGACTACGAGAGGTTGTAGTTCTCGGCCAGAGGGGTGTGTCGGGGAGTTTATAGGAGTGCATGGGAAAAACGCCAATGTCCCTGTCGCGGGCGGTATAGAGCAAGGGCTTGTGGCATAAACAGGGCGGATGTACATATACTGCAGGCTTGTTCGACCTAGTCGTTTGTAGCAATACCTAGTAATGGTAATCATTGGCCGCGTAGCCGAGACGAACGGTGCCAGTACCAGCCTATCCGTGGGCAACACTGTTCATCAGCTGTGAGTTACACGTAACTACATGACCGGTCCCTGGAGTAGAATGACGGTGCAARAGTTCTCAGAACATAAGGTATCGTTGGACCTTGTTTCAATCGAACAATCTACTTCAAGAACGCCAATAGCGCCTTGCTATCAGAGGTAATCGATTACATAGCGGCCATCTTCAATTTCTCCAACCTTTCGCTTACAGCATCAACCAAAGCCGTCTCCCTCTCCAAAAGCATCCAAACATTATCAAGCTTTCGCTGCCGGAAATCAGGCTGCGAATTCGAAGATGTCGATCGGCGTTCAGAGCCAGCTGTGGCGTCCAATTTTCTCTGCACCGCGGCCGCCTGCGCTGCGAGCTGCTTATAGACCTGCTGTACAGCCGTGAATCGCGCCACGATCGACTCCTGATCTCCCTCTAGCACCAGGGAATCCGTAGGCTCGCTGTCGCCCATATGTAGTGACCCCTCCGGCGTCGTCGATTTTGCGGGGGGGAGAACGCTTCTCTGCAATCTCTCCACTTCCTGCAGGAACGCCTCTTCTTTCGCTGAAAGCTCTTTCCCTGACAGTCCTCGCATCTTGCTTCGCAACCTCCCCACTCGTTCCTTGAGTTCCTCCGTCTTCGCCTGTCTTTGTTCGATTCGCGCTTGCATTCTATACCTCCCGCCGCGAATCAGCTCGGGCTGGCCGGCTCTCTGCTCAGGAAATTCATCCTCGCCAGTGACGCTGTTGACACGATTGGAAAGCTCCCGGACCTTCTCGATTTGAGCTCTCATTTCGTTCACCATTCTTTCGCAGCGTCTGAAGAGATCTCCAACAACAATACCGAGTGCGTATGTTTCACTGCTGAGGATGCGGTGAGCTTCCGTAACCTTTTGGAGAGTGTACGGGGAGAACCTTATCTGCCCCTTGACGTCTCCAGCGGACCCAGTCGCGCTCTCCCGGCGCCAGGCTTCAAGTTGTGCGGGAARACCGGACGGTCGGAAGAAGATGTCGTCCGGCTGGTAGGGTGCTCGCGATTCTAGGTTCGTGACGGGACGAGTTGATGTGACGGCCTCCGGTGCAAAAGGTTGGGCCCCTCCAGTCGGAACATCCAGTATAGCTACCAATGGTTTGCTTGAAGCGGTAGTCAACACAACGAAACCGGGATCAGAGTACTGGGACAGGATGGCAAGAGCGGCATTGAAATCCTGCTGCGGCTCGGCAAATTGCAGAATAGTCTCGACAATCGAGCTGGCGGACTCGAGAAAGACGCCTAGTCTGAACGCAATACCTTTGGTGGAATCTACTTGTGGCGCCGAAAGTTCGTTCTCGAGGTCCCCTATCCACGACCTTAAGGAGATGGCGTATACCCCAGAAGGTTGTGCGGTGAATAGCTCGTAGCGATCCGCAGGCGATGCCGTGAAGGTCGGCCACGATTGTCCAGCTGAGGCTTGATCGCCGTGTGCAAGATCAATCGTCTCGAAAAGCAGGAGTTCCTTGACGTCGTCTTCGTCCTGCGGCAGGTGTGTTCGTGATCGTCTGGAAGGAAGCCACTCCGCCTCAACGCCCTCGGTATTCAAGCAGACATGCACTTTGCTCGTCTCCGTTGCCAAGCAGATGATTCCCACGCTTAGACCCTCATCAAGCCCTAGCTCCGCGTAATCATCTTCATCGTCGAAAAGATCCTCATCGTTGAGCTTTGGCGCGATGACATGAATGTCTGTTATCTCTCCGAAATCCGCATCGGGTGTCAGCTGGAATGGACCTTGCAATCTCGGCACCGCGCCTGGTCGTTCGGGGCGGGAGAAAACGTCCATGTTGTTTGTGTCTCCGGGGATGGTGGTGGGGTCTTGTTCATCGAGGTCCGCGAGCCAATTACTTTGCTGGTGCGCAATGCGTCGCTCCAGCTCCGAGACCTGTCGATCTTGATCCAAGACTTTCGTCTTTGCAACGATGCTGGTGCTCAGAGTGGGCAGAAGAGACGCAGGAGCCCAGAATTTCGCGGGCAAGAATGGACACAGCGCGTAGACATCGCCTTCGGTCATGGCGATCCAGAGCGTCATGCTTGACCAACCATCTTCATCTTCTGCGCCGGTTCCTCCAAAACAGCTGCCTGCCACCTGCATCTCCACATCGTCTGCAGAATAACCCTTGTTGACTCCATACTTGCTGGCGCTGAAGTCCTCGCGGACAGTCGAGGCATTGCTTAGTTTCTTGAGATCCACAGCTAACGCGGGCTCGTTGAAGGAGCTTCGATTGTTAATGTCCAGCTCCCACAAGCGGACTCCCGCATCCTTGGTTACGGTGACCAGACCATTGCCAGAAGGCGAGAGCGGGTGCCAGATGGCGCTCACTAATGGCGCCTGATCAACGACATGAGCGGTCGGACCAAGCTGGAAGGAGCGYAACTTCAGCGGCTGCTGGTCCTGGAAGCTGAGATGCTCATGCGAAGGAATAACACAGACATGGCACGTGTGGGAGGTCAGAACTGCGAGGAGATCTCCCGAGGGCGATATGGTCACTTGTTGAATGGCATTGTATGCCGGTGTTTTCAAGACCTAGAGGTACATCTTAGCATGTTTCCCATTCCAAGCTGTTCTCAATAAAGTAGGACTGCCGTGCCATACCTTGTACGCTGGTTGTTGGTCTCTCCCGCCGCTGCTACTGCTACCGGCATCTTTCAACAAACTCAAGTCACTCCACCTGAGTTCRTTCCCTACGACAGCGAATATCTCCGTTCCCCTGTGTGCAATCTTCCTCGACGGTGCATATCTGTCTCGATCGCCAGCGTTTTGTCCTGTCTGGCCGGTTTGGAAGAAGTCGAAGGCAGGTGTATTGCGATCCAGCCATGCAGGCTGCCGTGCGATGATAGTGGGCATTGTTTCAATCGATCAATGGTCAACACGTGCGGCTAAGCGGAGCTCATGGTGGTGATGTGATGCAGACGAGGCGGGTTGGTGAATCGCGTTTAGATTTGCCAGCGCGTGAAAGAAGCTTTGGCCCTTCAAACTAAGGTCTCCAGCTATAGAACTACCTTCCGTCAAAGCACCTTCWTCCAAACAAYCACATTCACATTCACATTGCTGCATCCGCGCAGTACCCAACTAACATGCCGTCCGTGCAGCTGAGAAATACGGTCGACAGACTGGACAAGCCGTCATCGTACGCCATGAGCAAGGTACGTCCTCCTCGATTGCAATGCCCATCAATGCCCTCACTCACACACACCTCGCAGTACAAGAAGCGCAAGCGTCACGACGATCCACCAGCCGGTACCACCCGCGCGCCCTCCCCAGATCTCGAAGAAAAGCTATCCGMAGCGACGACGCTCTACGTCGGCAACCTATCTTTTTACACCACCGAAGAGCAGATTCACTCGCTCTTCAGCACCTGCGGCGAGATCAAGCGGTTGGTCATGGGTCTGGATCGCTTCTCCAAGACACCCTGCGGGTTCTGCTTTGTGGAGTACTACACACACCAGGATGCGCTGGACTGTCTGAAATACGTGGGTGGCACGAAGCTGGATGAGCGCATCATTCGCACGGATCTGGATGAGGGCTTCAGTGAGGGACGGCAGTACGGCAGAGGGAAGAGCGGTGGGCAAGTGAGAGACGAGTATCGGGATGAATTCGATCCCGGTCGCGGAGGGTATGGCAGGGCGGCCGAGCAAGACAGATACGCGGATGAATACGGACGGGCTTAAAGGGAGTGGTGTTGACTTCAGCGTGTTACGGCGTTTTGTGGGAAATGGACACAGGTGATGATACCCTGCGGTAGCTTTGGTCTACTCTACGCCATATGCAAGTGGCCTCGCGGCCGAACGACGACGTGCCGTCCTGTCTAGGTCGATTTTGCTGTGAGTGCAAACAGAAGGCCTTTCTTTGACCTTACAYCGTCTCCGTCTTCAGTCTCGCGACCTCCAGCAACCACCAAGCGTGGATACGCGGGTCACCAGTCAGCTCTGGATGGAAGGCAGTTCCAAAGACATTGCCCTGCTTGACAGCAATGATGTCGCCATCCTCGCCGAGCTCTTCTGCCGTCGTGGCCTTATCACGAATAGCTTTGGCTCGACCAGGTAGACGGCCCAGAATCTCTACCGGCGCCGTGGTCTCTCTCCGTGGTGGAGCCGATACTGTGCCTTCGGCCTCCACCAGTCTCGTGGATAACGGCAGCACCTTTTCGACCACTGGGGCTCTGATGAAAACTGAATGGAAAGGCTTCCCACTTCCTAGAAACGGCAAGTCCAACTCTGCTTCGAAACTCTCCACCTGTCGACCAAAGTAGTTCCTCTGCACTCTTACATCCAACCCGCCGATGAGTTCCTGTCCAGTCAACTTCGACTTGTTTGCGCTCTCCGCAAGAAGAATCAAGCCGGCACAAGTTCCCCAGACAGGCTTTCTGAGCACCTTGACAAATTCTCGCAGTGGTTCCAGAATTCCAGTTCGCTCAGCAATGAGAGAGATAGCAGTGCTCTCGCCTCCTGGTAGAACCAAAGCATCGCACGTTTCCAGCTGGGCTGTGGTCCTGACTTCAATGCATTTGATTTGAAAGCTCTGATCCTTTCGTTCCGGGTCGGCTTGTAGAAGTGCCGCGGCTTGCTGCAGCAGTTTGATGTGTTCGATAAACGCTCCTTGGAGGGCAAGGACGCCCACGGTGAGTTTGATCATCGCTGTCGGCGCATTCCTGGAGGATTTGCAGCTGATGCCGAAGTGTCGGAATTCCAATGATGGGTATGACTACACTAGCCCGATGTGAGTGAGTCAGAGCAAAGCCAATAAAGTGCTGTCGGCTATGCAAATGCAGCTGAATCTTCCTTCCTTCGGATTCTTCACTTCAGTTGTCCATGAAGGGATCGCAAATCGAGAATCGTAAAATGTGGCTGACTTCCCAAACGCCTTCATCAATGACATGATGCAAAGTCCCAGAAGCAGATTTGCACGTGGCAATGCCGTTTGCCGAGAGCACGGACATGGATCGCTGCGATAACGCTTTCTAATCGCGGAGGGAAACAAATGGCTGTGCAATACATCAACACACACATACACACCTGGTAAGGCAGATATGGAGGCTGACTGCATGAGGAGCGGATCGAGTCCCCTCCCTCTGATCCTACACGAGTTCAGAAATGACAGCCTGATCAACGAGGCTGACTTCTCATCAAACCCTCTTCGGTGTTGATCGGACATTTATAGATAGCTCACCAGCCCGTTGGATTGTGTGGGGAATCGTCCGTCTCTCGCCCTGCCCGCCTCTCCTCCGATCCTCTGATGCTACCTACTTACCTTATCCACTCGTTATCAGCCACCGGAACGAGGAGGTAACGCTTGCTATTCTGCTCTTCTCTCTCCTACCTTGCTTGCTCCATTCCCGTTTCCTGTTCCGTTGAAACACCCCGAGTAATGGGTAGCAGCTAGCTAGCCACCGCAAGAAGCATCCCGGGAACCTCACGCCAGCCAAAGTATGWCTTCGGGAATCGCTACCGAGCGGAAGAGGGCCTTGTCGAAGGACCTCCCTCAGCCACTGTCAGTCAACACCGGCTACGAGAGTATCACGAACCTCATGCACGGCATCGCAAATGCCTTCACCTCAAACTCCGCAACCGCCGATTCCACTATGCCGGAAGCGAGCAATGGCGAGATTAGCTGTTGGCTGGTAGACACGCGCACTCTATGGCCTGGCAAGGACATTTGGTCGGCTCCAGGAGCAACAGAGGCAATGTCTCTCATATCCATGCAGGAACAAAAGGCCATATCCACCAAGATGTTCATCCAAGATGCTCGGATGAGCCTGGCAAGTGCACTGATCAAGCGTCTTTACATCTCCAAGACTTTGGATATCCCCTGGAAGGACGTGGTGTTGGCGAGAAAGGGAGACCAGAAGCAYGGGAAGCCTTGTGCTGTCGACGGGCAGGGACGACCAATCGAGGGCATTGACTTCAACGTATCACACCAGGCAGGCTTGGTTGCCCTCGTAGGATGGAACGGCAATACACGGCGAAAGTATGACGCGGGCGGTGGAATTGAGGGCAGTCTGGGCAGTCCGGATAAAGAGACTTTTGAGTCAGATGTCATGGTTGGCGTGGACATAGTCTGTGTGAATGAGCGGGACGACTACCGGACGATCGACGCCGAGGGCATAAATGGCTGGGTGGACATTTACGACTTTGTCTTCAGCGATGAGGAGAGGTTCAGTATGAAGTATGATGTCGACTATGTTCCGCTCGATGATGGATCAATCCTGAGCAAAGAGGACATTGGCCGACACGACAGGTGCACGCATCGTAACAAGAACATAGCCCTGAGGACCATCGCCGGAAAGAACGTGTCGTTCGACTCGAGAGCGATTATCGATTCGAAGCTCCGCCGTTTCTATACCTATTTTTGCTACAAGGAAGCCTACATCAAGCTTGCCGGAGAAGCACTCCTCGCACCTTGGTTGAAGCATCTGGAATTCAACAACGTACGGAGTCCGAAACCAACACTCGACAATGCTTCTGGAAAGTGGGGAGAAGAAGTCAACGACGTGGAAGTCCACCTCAATAAGAAAGATGTAGAAGATGTGCGGATGAACATCGTGGCATTTGAGAAAGATTTTATGCTTTCAACCGCGATTCAAGGGGATGTCAAGAGTATGCAGATACCAGCATTCACGATGATCGACTTGCGCCGCGACATTCTGTCGTACGCCCACAGGTACCTGAATGTTACCACACCGGTGGAACAAAGGTGAGCTGCCTCCCGCCCCTGATGGCAAAGGCAAGCTGGGCGATGATGAGTAAGACTTATCAGTGCTTCGTCAGCCTACCACGGCTTTGACTATGATGAGTCGGCTGTGAGAAGCCAGAGATCTGGAATCCGGAGAGCTCGAAAATGGATGGAGGAATTACCCGCTCCGAGGTCGATTCTAATTGCGTTTTCCTTGGATCAGATCGTGGTCTAGGTCAGCAGTGCGTGTGCAGGCGTATCTTACCTTCTCTTGGAGTTTGCCATCTGTGTCAGAAGGACTGTAATGCTACAGGAATGACTTTTGGGAAAGGACTGGTTTCTAGAGCTGTGTCTTGCTACATCTTACAGCACACGATCCGAGCACAGTGGAACTTGGCGAATGGGGTGTTCTCGATCTTATATTAGACCACTCGTCCGTGAGAGACATGTGAGCCGGGTATGGTCTACTGTGTCCATAAACTGGGAAAGAGAAGTCTTCCGGCGTAGCTAATAGCGCGATAGCAATTTGTGACATAAATTCATCATCGCCCTCGTTCAGCACCCATTGCTATCATGGCCTTTCTTCTCCTTTCTCACCCCGACAAGAGCTTTCACATCCTTCGAAAGCCCAACACTAATCTCCCCTAAAGCTCCCGTGCTTTCCACCACCGGATACACGACACAAATCATCGTGCTCAGCCAGATCCAGATGAATGAAACCACAACCCAGCCTGTAAAGAAGGATTTGCTGTACACATATCCTGTCCCGAAAAGCGTGAATGGGACAAGAATCACAGCCATCGAAATGAAGATGATATTTGCTGTCCAGGCCAGCTTCTCGCCTTTCTTCACTTCTTGTGAATCCATTGGCTGCGTATTTTCTGCCGTGTCAAGAGAACCGACAATGTCATCGTCTGTGGGTGAGGGTGGCTCTCCGGGCTGCAATTTCTCCTCCCCTACTGGTTTCTTTTCGACAGAACTCATACCACTTTCATGAACCACTCCAGGACTTTCCACTTTCGGTTGATTAGCTTGCAGAGGCGCAATCCCTTGGATCTTGTTACTGCGCTCAATATGCCGAGCGTCAGTACTGACATATTTTGCCGGAAATGTATAGCTGAGAACCACAGCCATCAAAAGTCCAACGGCCAGACTAGCAACATTACCAGCGACTGCGTTTGTAGTATCGCCAGTCGTAGCCACCGAAATCCTTCCAGAGCGCTTCCAGGTCGTTACGAACCAAGCAATCAGACCCGAAGCGAGACCGATCCAGGGAGAGGCGATTGCGGCCACTGTCGACATGGGTTGCCAAAGTAAAGCGAGGCCTACGGGCATAGCGGCTCCCCCTACTATAATTGCTAGGACGGTCAGGAGCCATGTGAGACTGAGACCGACTGCGTTGAGGATGCAGCAGAATGCGGCTAGGACGATGGCGTAGATGACAATGCTGTAGTGAGAGACTCGAACGAGTTTCGAAGGCGGGGTGTCTGGGGCGATGTATGTCTTGTAGACGTCAAAGGTCAAAAGAGCTGGGGGAGTCAGCGATGTCGATGAAAGGGGTGTGTTCTTGCTTACAGCTCACAGCGATCAGTTCAGCGGATGTGCTTGAAGTCACCGCCATCTATCCAAGCATTAGTAACACTAGCGGCAGGTGGCTGTTACGACAATCCAGGCTTACGAAGAGAAGAATGAGCATCAACACCGCACCACCCGTCCCAAGAAGGGCAATCGCAGTCGCTGGAGACGAGAGTCCTTGTGACACCTGCGCTGCTGAGAGTGCATCAGGATAGGTGGGAAACCTCTCATGGCCTGTCAGGGCTGCGCAGCCCAAACCCATCGCTGTCGCGAATCCAAAGGGTATGCCATACCAAGCAACGCCCCCGAGAATGTAGGCTCGAACACTGGTCTCAGGTTTGGAAGCAATCGCACGCTGCCAGTAAGCCTGATCGAGCCAAACCGTGCTGAAGCCCGCCGCCAGCAAATCGATCGCAAAGACCAGTCCATCTACCGATCGAAATGCCAAATAGGAGCCATTACCAGAGTTGTGAGCTATCGGCATTCTCTCTGATGCTTCAACAAGGAGATCGTAAAGTTTTCCGGGGGAACCGACGAGATCGCTCGTCGCATACATCAGGAAACCAAAGACAAAGATCGCAATGAACAATATCGTGGTATGGATGTAGTCGGCGATGAACGTCGATCGGAGACCGCCTGCGATTACGTAGACTGCCACAACAAGCGGGATGAGAAAGCATGCGGCATAGACATTCATGCCTGTGAGTGCTGCCACGACTTGTGAGCCGCCTAGGACCAGACATGCTCCTACCAGCATGTTGGTTGCTAGACCATTGAACAGGTACCTTGATAAACAAGTCAACACATTACTACACAACGTCTTGTCGATTGATGACTTACGTTATGTGTGCGAGTTTCCCGTGCTTCGCGAGAAGAATCTCGGGGAATGTATGTGCTCCGGGAGCGTTTGCTTTGATCTTGATGGCGATGAGAGCAAACATGAGGATCTGAAGGGTGCCCATTGCACCATACCACATTGGCCCACAGACTCCGTAGGAATAAGCGAATGTCGAACTTGTCAAGAGAGTCGCACTCCATGTCCAGGCTGCAGTCGTCAATCAGCCGGAGGATGACATCTCGTCTTTTTAATGTCACATACAAGATACGATGCCCGAAGCGATGAGTCCGGGCTTTACTGATCGAGAAGCCGTGTTGAACTCCTCCGATTTAGTTGTGGAGTAGCGGGTCTGAGGATTCGTTGAGTACACTGACACTTCTCTCAACCTGCAAGTTGGTGACTTACATATCGGTTTTGCATCCACGTTATACCAAGCATGATTAACGCTGCGAATAGAAGGATGTAATCAGTACTTGTRTCTAACGCAGGTGGTTTCTTCCTTCATCAAACGTACCCTGCAACATACGTTAGCAATGCGGCAAACATCAAGGGGTTATGGTCATACAAAGATTCCCCCGATTCCAACGACGATTCCATATCCCGCCCCAGGGGGCAAGACTTGTAGGCCGCTATGCTGTGCCATATGTTCGACTTCAGCTCAAAGTACAATGAGTCGGTATTGGCAGAAGGCAACACCAAGAGAGTTGGACTTAGCTAGAGGGAAATCATCACGACAAGCTGTTGCTTCGCCTGTAAGCTTTGCGGGATCCATGTCGAAGCACCACCGATGATATCCGCTGTGGGAGCTGTATGGGAGGTGATAAGCTCATTCGTGTCATTAGATTGGTTAGACCTTGCAGTCGCAGATAGGGAGACATGATCGGAGTCTGGGGTCAGATAGGCGAGGCATCGAAAGCCAGATTGGTCTCTATTCTTTCCATAGCAAAAGCAGGTCAACTTCTTCCCACATTCGTCATGTCGGTGGCTCAAGGTGGTGAATTGTGTAGGATACCGACCAAATTGAGACAGACCACGATGTGCGTGCAGCCTCCACGAGAAGTTCGCAGATGCATGCAGTGGCTGCACACTTCCTTCTCACCTCTCGAGGTCTACTCCTGTTCTTCGACCTAGCATAATCCGGAGATGCCGATGTCATAGAGCGTGAATAGAGTGTACATCGGCCGCGGCCGTGTAGTCGCACAAAACCGTAGCTCACCGGTTCGCAGCCTAGACGATCAGCTCCAGACGACGTAGTCTCTGCACAGGCTCACTCCAGCCAAGTGGCCACGTCAGTTTCAGCAATATGCCTCGGGTCTTGCGTGCCGTTGGAATCATCACGAGTCTGCGCGTTATGTCGCCAAGTCGATATCCACGCAATCCTGGCGAATCCCACGGAGTCTATCGTGCCGAACGGATGTACGGCATCCCTGGACGATCCTTCGCGCTCTGCTGTCGAATCAACGTCAACGCCTTGCCGTAGGGCTGACCAATTGTACCATCTCAATGCAAACTAATGTGGAATGATGTTCCCCCGGGGAGGAGCTGCTTCGCTAGGCATCCATTTGGAGGCCAAATAGAGTCAGAATGACTCTCACGTGCCTAATGAGTGAACCGTGCCAATGGATGTCACCTGTAAAAGGACCCTTGGCTGACGCTAGCAACTCTCACATGAGCACGGGTGCATATGAGAGAATTAAGATGAGCACAGAGGAATGATACAAAAGTAACGGCGCTCTCCTTTCCCATCTTTGTCTTGCGTGACAGCAACTTTCCATCTCATCAGTCCGACGAACCAGCAATCCAAAAGAGATCAACACACAGAGTCTCATAAACAAACCCTCGATCAAGAGAAAGCGACACACAATGAAAACACAACACCTCGCCAGCATGTCCGAGAAGGAGTTCTCGATCAAGAGGTCCGGCACCGACAGTTCCACCCAAAGCGAGGCCAAGACGCTCAGTTCGGTGAGAAGCCTATCGTGGGGAAGAAGGTCAACTTCAGACAGGAAGCCGGAGCAATCACGCCCGCAGCGGCAGACCTTCACCGATTGCGGTCGTCACAGCAATAGATGGCTCTTCAACAACGTCAGCATCTCCCAGGCTATCAAGACACTATTTGAGAAGTGAGACCAGGAGGGAAATGAGGGAAATGAGGGAACGAAACGATTGAAGGATGGATATGATAAGCATGCAGAGCCTACCAGCTGCTCCCTGCTTGGTGCGTTGTCGATGGTGGTGCAAAGTGCCTGATGAGTGAGGTGTTTGAGCACTCAAAAGCTTGTGAACGCCGGCATAATCACACCATGAGACCGATCTGAAGGCTCGCTCGGGGCCGCACCAGGAGTTCGCGAGGAGGTCAGAGTTGGATCGCGACAGTGGAGCGTTCGGAGTGCAATTTGATGCGGTAGCTCAGGGAGCATGGCGTTGCGGCTTGGGAGGATGTTGGATGAAGGGGGAAACACGGCAGCAATGGAGGATGACTAGGATGATGACTGAAGGAACCAATCCCACAAATTTTAGCGCGGGCATCAGGCTCTTCGCAGCCTAGGTAAATTCGAAGCATTCAAGTCGTCGTTCTGTCTTCACAGTACCAGAAGCACAAATAATACCTCAAACGCCTGCCCAAGATGTCTGTCGACAATAATACCTACCAGAAGTGAGTGATGTTCGTCGCGTGTCCCGTCCAGCAAAGAGTTCCCAACACCATACTGTTTTCATGCACACTCAGGAAAAATTTCACCCCGCACCAAAAAAATGTTGTTCAATGAGAGCGGATCACAGGCCGGTATATGTGCTTCCCAGCGGGACCACAAGGACTCTACTGCGCTGGAGGCTCTCAGACCGATGCGGCGAGACTATGGCATCGAGAGGCTAACATTTTCAAAGCCCTCTCAATTCGAGATATTGCTCGACGGAGATGAAGTATATCTTTTCTCCTCGCAATCGGTTCAGCACATGGAGACAGCTATGGGTCCATCTCGCGGAATCTGAAAAAGAACTCGGTCTTGACATTTCCGACGACGCTATTAAGCAGCTGAAAGACCATGTTCGTATCGAGGATGAGGAGTTCGCAACCGCAGCCGTGGAAGAAAAGCGTCGCCGTCACGATGTAATGGCTCACGTCCACACGTACGGTTTGGCTGCACCAGCGGCCGCCGGAATTATTCACTGGGGAGCCACTTCATGGTAAGCTGTTTGCGATCGTGCTTGCCTACTCGGATCAATGCTAATCCAGGCAGCTACGTTACCGACAACGCGGATCTTGTAAGTCTAGATATCAATGGGATCTTCTGCATTTGGTTGAGTCTTCCCTCCGCAAATAACTGATCGATTCTTCAGATCTTCCTTCGCGATGCTCTCGATCTCGTGCTCCCGAAGCTGGCGGCTGTTATTCAACGACTAGCTGCCTTCGCAGTCGAATATCGCGACCTGCCATGCTTGGGATACACTCATGGTCAAGCTGCCCAGCTGGTCACCGTTGGAAAGCGGGCTAGTCTGTGGATCACCGACTTGCTCCGAAACTTGCGCAACCTCGAGGCTCAACGTGACGAGATCGTCCACTCCTTCCGTGGTGTCAAGGGAACTACAGGGACTCAGGCCAGTTTCTTGGCAATCTTCAAGGGTGATCACGCTGCTGTCGAGAAACTGGACGAGCTCGTTACCGAGAAGTCTGGATTCAAGGAGGCAGACATCTCCACCAGTCAGACCTACTCTCGTCTCATTGATGTTGATATCCTTCACGCTTTGAGCTCATTCGGATGTGCCTGCGAGAGAATTGGCGGTGACATCAGACATCTGGCCATGTTCAAGGAGCTTGAAGAACCATTCGAGGCCGACCAGATTGGATCCAGCGCAATGGCCTACAAGCGAAACCCCATGCGCTCTGAGAGATTGTGCTCATTGGGCCGAAAGCTGCGCAACTACAGCGCGGACGCGGAGCAAACCTACGCCTCGCAATGGCTGGAACGCAGTTTGGATGACTCTGCCATTCGCCGTATCTCCCTTCCCGAGTCCTTTCTGTGTGCGGATGCGTGTCTCATCCTGGTAACAAATTCCATCTAGCTTTAAGAGAGGGCGTGCGCTAACCCTATCAAATAGCTGAACAACATTTCCAACGGAATCGTTGTCAACAAGGCTGTCATTCAGCAGCGTATCGACCAGGAACTTCCTTTCATGGCTACGGAAAACGTCATCATGGCCATGGTCGAGAAGGGTGCATCCAGACAAGACGTTCACGAAGAGATCCGGTATGTGACTCCAGAGCGAGTGCCTGGGTAATTTTGATACACATGCTAACGTGCATTTCAGTGTGCTCTCACACCAGGCAGGTGCGGTCGTCAAGCAGGAAGGCAAGCCCAACGACCTCATCGAGCGCATTAAGAAGACCGCCTTTTTCGAGTCTGTGCTGCCCGAGTTGGAAGCACTTCTTGATCCAACCACGTTCATCGGACGCTCCCCTGAGATYGTCGATAAGCTCGTCAACACAAAGGTGAAGCCAGCACTTGAAAAGTACGCCAAGGAACTGGCCACTGCTCAAGTCGCGGAGTTGAAGGTCTAGACAACCCTCCATCCGGTGGATCATATGAGCCGTCGAGAGGCCTTCATCGTTGTTATAATCGAAAACGATCAGTGGAGGGAAAAGAGGGGTTTCACGAATGGAAACGCTAGACGATAGAAATGAGCAAACGACGTAACAAGGTGTACGTAGAGCACGAAATCATTTTCATTCCTCGGAACGCCGTCTCCGCAGGGCACATTTCAACTGGTGTGATTGCAGGAGATGTTCCCCGTATAATTTGCGCCTCCACAACAGAGAGAGGCTCAGTCGTCGCTATTCATCTGAACCCTTTCTCGACTCGACAAGGTGCTGTACATTATTTCCCATCTAACATAACCATCCCTCTCATCTTCACCAAAGCTTATCATCCCGTCGCCAACACAACAAAGCCCCACCAACCACCAGCGAATTCAAAAACCCAATAACATGCGCGCCAGCAAGATGATTAATCCCATAGCTCTTCACAATAAAACTATCCGCAAGAGTCGAGATGACTCCATAAGCCACCGCAAACCCCAAAGCAGTTCTTTCCCTCGTGTAAAGTCCCAGAGTGAGGATCAAAACTCCATTCTGTACGTGTCGAGCGGCCAGCGCTGTTACGAGTGCCTTTTGCGTCTTTTGGTTGTCCGTCAATTCTTGGCCTTCTTCTGTGGGAGCATCGATTGGTAGGCCGTAGCCGCGAGCATAGTCGGCTGGGCTTGAGAGGCCGCCGAGGCCGAAGACAATGCACTCTGCGCAGCCGAGCAGGATTGCTAGACACTCTGCTGGAGGGGGAAGGTGGTTGATGATTGTGTATCTAGAGGCCATGATGTTTAGAGGTTTCTTCGGACGCGGTACTGTGATGTGCTGTGCTCCGGCGTAGAGCTATGAGAGGTGGTGTTGCAAGTTGATGCAAAAGGTATCAGCTGTTGGTGTTCAACTTTCAAGGCATGCGACTATTATGTCATATGCCGTGTGATGAACTCTAATGCGGACTATTAGAGGTTGGCTGGTGCTTTAATGCTGCTGCTTCACGCCAAAATTTTGAACCTCTCACTCACAGTGGAGCATGCGCGACGCTGGGGCTGTTGTGCGTCACAAAACGACAAATGGGTCGTGCAGGTCGAAGGTGGCGAAATCAATCAATCCGAGATAAATATCTATAGGCTCGTCATTATTAGACTCCCATTTGATGCCAACGTTATTCATTCCGATCATCGTTACGTCCCAGACGTGCGCTTTAAGATCTTGCATACGGCATAGCAACGCCCTTTTATGCTCAATAGCCAATAAATTAACTCCACATCGCTCAATGCATTGCACATAGGGCAGAGACGCAGCATGCAGAAGAGCACACGCGCTGAAAAAGAGCCTCAGTTCCTGGCCCAGACTGATGACATGTTACCGGTCCAAGTCCGAGACGGTCTGGGCTATCATGCTGTGGCATCTCGTAACACATAGAGGCAGCAAACAAGTCAGATTTTGCAAGAGCACAGAGCATGGCTGTCCAGTCCTGCAGATTATTGCCCAAAAACCTAATTGTCAAGGACGGGCGTCTTTGCACGACGAGAGGACATTCTCTCAAGGCCGGCTGACCGCTTTCGTACTTGCATGCTGATTAAGGAACCAGGAACTGCTGCTCAGGTTGGCCGCATATCCTCCGGAAAATCCGAAATGGCATATCGGACTACATTCCAGGTGGGCTTTGGAAACAATCATCTCCGAGAACGACGTTCATTGGCCTGCGAGGATCCTGTTGGACGGCCTCCGAGAAGTCCAAATCCACTGCTCCGGTTGGGATTGGATGATGCAGGGGGATTGCTTGGGGCTGCTACGAGGTTGATATTAGCTCAGAGTGACATGGACACCTCGACTGATTGTACTTACGCCGGGCATATTGATCGTATTGCTGGGGTGGCATCGAGCCATACGGACTGTGACACGTTAGAAAAGCCGTAGATGAGGCTGCCAGCAGATGCTAACCTTGGTTGTTGCGGCGCCGGAATTGGCTCTCGATCACGAGCAGACACAGACGACACAGTCGCAGCCGGACTAGGGTATGCATACCTTGGGTCCGCGTATTCCGGCTGTTGATATCTGGGGTCTCGTGGCTCATTCCTCTGCTGTGGCTGACCGCCAAACGCGCCGGGTCCATATTGTTCCGATCTACTTGGGATAGAGGGAGCAGGCTCATAGGACGAGATGGGCACATAGTAGTTGCCTTGTCGGACATATCCTGGCGGGGCACCATCATTGGATTGCGGGTAGCTTGGAGCATACCGTGGTTCTTGGCCAAATGGTACAGACACAGGGACCCGTCCTCCAAACCCAGCGGGCTCTGGTTGATACGATGACCTACTGTCCGGCGCATATCCTCTATTTTCAACGGGGAATGCTCTGCCGTCCGGTGGGTACGGCACGCGACTCTCCGGCTGGTAGCCTCTACTGGGCGGCGGCGGATCAATCTGCATACGGTTGTCCACAGGTATCCTATCCCGCGACGATGATGGCAATCCATATGGCCCCTCCAAGGATGGCGAGTTTCCTCCTTCCCGGCGGCCGCCTTGCGTTGTCCGACTCGCACTAGACGCATGGTACGTCGATGATCCTACATAAGGTTCTGGGGGATGGTCAGGTACTGTAATCCCTGACATGCTACATGTATTGGGGCTGTGACTACCTCGAGTGCCAGTCTGGCGCTGCTCTTGACGCCAGCGAGCAGAGTCTGCGCGAAGGTCTGCGATCATGGCCTGTGAGGAGTTTGTTAGTCGCGCCCAGCCGGCATACTATGAGTTGCCATACAGATGTGAGATTTCGGTAGGCCTTGATCCAGTAGCCGTTGATTCCCTGTGTGAAAGTAAGTGTCACGCGCGCGAGCCTCAGTCTGCACCGGATGGGCTGACCTGGTTATCTCCCGTTCCAAGTCCTGGGCGAACAGTCGCATCGTTGCCCAGATATCTCTGAATGTCCGCGGAAATCACATGGCGGTCAATCCCCTCGCCAGGTATGAACCACTGACGCGCGATCTCTTGCGGCATGCTGGGCAGTCACTCCGTCTGGCAGGCGCGCAGACACAAGTTGCCACTGAGCGACTCCGTGCAAGGGCTTGCGGTGGCTGGACTAAATAGGACACGCTGGTGGAGCAGGAAATCCGACGGCGGTTTCGCTCGCAATACGGTAGACTCTGCAACCAATTGGCCCGGGGCGCAAATCCTGATTTACGGTCCTGCAAATCTCCAGCACGGCAGTGCAGTCCGGAAGTAAKGGGGCGGCAGACAGATCAGAGGGGAGTGGCGGCGGCGGAACACGGTAGAGGGCGGGACACGGTGGTGGCAGTGGGTTGAGAGCAAAGAGAAAGAGTCGCAGTGCAGTGCGGCGGAAGGTGGTCTGAGCGGACGAGGGGCGCGCCTGCGGCTACGGCTGCCCAAAGAGAACCTGGTCTTGGTTTTCAGGCTCCACAAACAGCGTAGTCTGTAGCTCGCACGGTCGTCGGCCTTGTTGTTTTGTCGGGGTGGGGGCACTAAAAGGTAAATATCGAGATGCCTTTTGGTGCGTCGTGTGTTGCAACGATGGCGGCCTCTATCTCACCGACTGCTCGCAGCACAGCAGGCTGTCAAGATTTGTAGCCCCAGCAGATTCTGGTACTTGGCGCAGCATGACGAAGAAGCGCCGCTTTCTTTGGGCTGCCGCAGACGACTGGCCGACGTGGCAATTCGCGTTGGGCATCAACGCGTGCAGGCCCTCCACCGTCACGACGTCAGCCTTTTCACTGGACGGAACTCCGGATTTGCATATGCTCGACCACCTCGTGGAACCGCGGTGTATGACTTGTGTTATTGCCCGCTAAAGATGGTTGCTCTATGAATATCAAGTCATAGGGATGACCCGGTCTGTCATTGTTTCGCTTCCCGACCCAGCATTGGAGCGGTGAAACGTCCCACGAACGAATTCTAGGATTGCCTTGCGAGGGACATCCTGCCAACAAGACCCCAAATTATAAGCCTGGCTATTCAGGAAGTTTGACCGCCGGAGGTTCCTCCATCTTGTACAGCACGACAGCGTGTGGGTTTTCCATTCGCTCTGCTAATTTAGTCGAGACGTATCTAGGGCTCACATGCACCTATAAGGCTTAAGCTACGAAGGCGCCGGGAAGCCTTGTCGTCACACCTTCGCCGTACTATCCTCATCACACGGGACCTTAGCACCGCTTGCGGCCCATCGCCAATCGCTTGTCGCTCAGTGGCCATTTGGTGCCCATTCAATCTCCCGAGTGCCCAAGACAGCATCACTGTTTCACAGCCGAGCACTTTCGGCAGCCTTGACCCGGAACTGCCAGYGTGGAGCGTGGACGTGGATCTCACTGCCCTCCTTGCTCTTCACAGCAATGGCGACTTCGTCTTTGTTCAACTTGATCAGACGACCACGGYCTTGGTGACTGTGCCCGCCGCCATCGAGTGGGAAAACTTCCACCATTGTACCCTCCTTCAGCCTGAGCGGATCTTTGGCATCAACCCTCAGGTCGTGGTCGACGAATTGTGATGATGTGACAATGCTAGTGGCCTGTTCTCCTTTCACCCTGGTAGCCTTCTGCGTTCGCTGTTTTGCAGCATCGAGCGCTGCCCTGAATCGATCCCGCCAGGCGTAGACTTTGGGGTAAATGGTCGCCGAGAAATGGTCTTTGGATGGCTCAAGATCGGTAATCAACCAATCCAGTGGCCAAATACCTTCAAGGTCAGCTAATGTGGGCTGCGACGTCCCTCCTACCCACTCCCTCCCGTCTGCGAACAGAGCTTCCACAACGTCAAAGAGATGCCTCATTTGAGTGATACCCTCGGGTCGTATGAGCTTCGCTTCCATCTTGAACGAGGGCTGGAAGAAGCCGGCTCGATCTTTCTGGAACTTTTCATCGCGTAGCAATGGGAAATGAGAAGGAATATTCTTCACGACTTCTCGAAACATGCTGCCCTCAATGGCCAGTTTCTGCAGCAAACCCGCTATTCCAGCAGTCTCTTTAGTGGAGAGAGCTGGATGCTGTGACGACGGCGGGAATAGCTCCTCCAACTTGGCAATCATGAGCCTTGTATCGAGGTAGACATCCTTTCCAATCGCCATCACTGGCGAGCGGCGGTAGGTCACTCCTAAACTGTCAATGTCTGGCCTTGGGAGGATCGGCGGTTGAATCTGGAATTGACACATCAACACACATGTTCCGCATGCTCCTTCAATCTCGACCTACGCATTCGGCATATTGAATGTTTCTCAAGGCAAGGTACCACGTAACTCTTCGTCCAAATGGAGATGCTGGATACCTGAAAGCAAAGAGAAAAATGGTCAGCAGTATCTCTGACATTCGGGGCGGCCAGAAAACGATCTCAGAGCTCTGATATCCCAGCTGTACACAATTGCGTAGAGGTCTCCTCCATGGCCGTGTCTTCCAACACCTGCGTGGCATGCCTTTGGCCCTTTACTGTACTTACCAATAGAGTACAATGCCATTGGGTGCACTAATTTCTGACATTATCGAAGTGGCGAGGGTCGAATTATTTCAAGGAGTAGTTCTCACACAGCCGTCAACGGCACGATTTGATTGGAAAACCACGGAAAGTAAGTGGTGAATGAGGTTTGTGAAAGGATAGCCGAGTCTTAATGTTACGGACCTCGGCATACCCGTCGATCATACCATGTGCAAACCACGTGCAAAAATGTGAAGCTTTACCTGGTGTGGTAACGGTGCTTGTACGTCGTGATGGCATTCAGCTGTGTAAGCCGTTGCTGTTGGTTATTGTTGCTCGGTTGGTCCGATATGTGAATCGCAAGTCTGTACTTGTACCCTTTTGTATGCCAACAATCTCAACCTGAAGTGGCGCAAGATCGTCGAAAGAATACTTGTATTCCAGAAACAAGCACCTCGAAAGCAAGATCACAGTGGCGTAGTGAGTCGCAGACGAGATGATGAGTAGATGGAGTAATTGAGGGAAGGCGAAAGACCCCGACCTCCCAATTGGCAATGATGTGGGTGAGACCAGGGCAGAGGACGCTGATGCCCTTCTGGATTCGAACAGCCATCTTAGATCTATTGTACAGCACTTGCATCCAATCTCGCTTAAAAGTGTGCAGCACTCCTATGTGATCATGAGTGCCAGATGCGAACAACGGATCTTTGAGATAGGTACCATTGCGTCAACGAATACAACTTCGTCGTGAAACCTGGTTCACGGCGTCTTTGATCGACACAGACTCTTAACTTCAGATACAAGTCGTGGGATTCCTGGTCGCGAGACCCCCTTAATAATTAGTGCCTTACTTCTTCGTATTTAGTGCCTACGGATATAGCCGGAGTTAGTTATCTCGTCTTAACCTTATGCCTTTAATACCTTTAATATAGTAAGTTAAGTCGATTACTACCCTTAGAGCCTATTTATTACGGGCGAGTAACGTATATATAAGAGCTTAAGTAAGGTTTTAATTAAATAAGTTCGATAGGAAAGAGAACTATTCTTTATAGATTCCGACGTAAAGTACGCGGATACTAAGCGTTTTATATAGGCTACGCCTATACTTTAGCCTTAGGGCTTCGCCTATTATATTACTCTCCTTCTCCTTCTTCCTCTTTCCCTTTAGCGTAGAGCGTAGGAAAAAATTCTTAGGCTCCGGCCGCTTACTTTATTACTACCCTCCGCTTTATAATTAGGTAGTTATATACGTATATATACGCTTCCCGTTCTTCTTACGTTCCGCTCTTACTTTACTTTACCTTTCCGTACTAGAACTATTGGACTTAGGCTAAAAAGCGCCGCTAACTTACGATTAGAGTTATTTACTACTACCTTACTCTACCTTACTTCGCTATTTACTATACCGCTCTACTACGTATATATAGCGGATCCCTCCTCTTCCTCTCTTTCTTTTATTAGCTATACCTTTACTAATATACGTATTATTACCCTTTTTCTTCCTTCTTTCCTTCTAGAAGGTACCTCCCTTTCTCCTACTCTTCGATAGTTTTTAACCGGTTTCCTTAGATATTTAAGCTAAACTATATCTACTATATTAGCTACGCTAACTCTAGGGTTAATTATATAACTTAGAAGATAAGTCCCCGAACTCTAATACTTTTCCTACGCCCTCTACTAATATCTTAGTCTTTCCGTACTTAAGCTTATAAGTTATACTTTAACTAGCGTTAACCCTATAAGGCCCTATATATATATCCTAGGTTCCGACCGTTTTACCTCGCTAACTATAGGATTTAGCCTATTTCTCTACTATACCGTATACGTTACCTAGACTAGAGCTAAGGATAAGAAGGAAGCGTAAGATATTACCCGCTTTCCGATCGTTTTCTATCGGCTTACGTACGTTTTAGCGAGATTACCTTTAAGGACCTTAAGACCGCTATTAAGGTTATTAAGCCTTTAGAGATTTTAAAGCTCTAAATACTACTCCCTTTATAAGTTCTCCGCTTTTTAGCTCTTTTTCGTCGCTAACCGAATTTTAGTTATATATATAATACTCTAAATATTACTATCGATACTAAGGCTATATAGGCCTCTCTTATATAAGTTTACCCTATTCTCCGCTACTTTTCTATCGCTAACTATAGTAGTCCTAGTAGTTTAGTTCCTACCCTATAGCTAGGAAAGCGCCGTTCTTAGCTTAAGTAAGTAGTATTCCGGTTAGGCTCTATAGGAATAACTTTAAAGTCCGTAAGTCTCTTTTAGTATATCTAAGAAATAAAATATTACTATTATAAAACATCGGTTCCTATTTCTTTTTCGTCGGTCTTCTATAAGTTCTATAATCTCTAATAAAAAGTTCTAAAAGTAATCCTATAATACCTATATCCGTAACCCGTTTCCTAAAGGCCGTTAAATAATAGCTAGAGTCTTCTAAATCGCTTTAAACTCTAGTAATCCTATACTTTACCTTTTATCCTTATAGTATCCCTTCTTAAGTCCGGCGTTTAGTCCTCGCTTTCCTCTATTTTTCCTTAGGGCCGTTATTCTCTACTACGTCGCCGTATTAAGTCTTAAAAAGGTTTAGAGCTATAATATTTAATAAGTTTTCTAAGGGTTCTTACGTAAGCTCGTAGTATCCGGCCTATTTTACTAGTACTTCCCTCCTCTTTCCTTTATTTCGAGGTTTGTTCCTTATATAGAGAATTTACTCTACCTCCTACTCGTTATAAGTCTTAAATAGTACTAAGTCCGGCTATTTGTCGTCGGACTCCTACTTAAGTAGAGGGTTACTACTCGCTAGCCTTAGCTTATCTAAGTAGAATATAGGATAGATATTCTTAGGGAGCCCCGTTAACCTAAAGGATACTAGCGATAATATTTCGGAGATAGTATATTTTACGTATCTCTTCGCTAGACTCCTCTTTAGCCGGTCGGTATCGTAGTTCCTTAAGTCGAGCTAGACTTTATCGCCGACCTTATAGACTAGTACTAGTTTACGTAACTTATTTACGGCTTCCTCTTATTTCTATACGGAATCCGCTATATTAGCTTAAAATAAGGTAATAATTTCCTTAATCTTTTTTGCGAATTAAGTCGCTCGTTCTATAGCGGCTAGCTTCGAAGAATCGTCGTTTTCCGGCTCTAGCGCTACGAGTAGTAGCGCCTCGTAGCCGTAAGTAGCGAAGAAGGGGCTTATCCCTAGTCCCGCTTAATATCTCCCGTTTAGCGCTAATTATACTACGGGGAGCTATTAATTCTAGTCGGATTGCTCCTTATTAATATAGTTCCGAAGGTAGGCTTATATTTCCTAGTTTATCCTTTCCGGGCCTCCGTCTATTTAAGGATAGTAAGCGGAGCTTAATCGCTAGGTTACGCTAGTAAGGCGGTATAGGGTCCTTTAAAAGGTACTAGTCTAATTCGTTCCTTAATCGCTAGTAATCGTACGTAGTAGGCTATAGTAGCGTACCTAATATTCTATAAAGTTCTATACGTAGTCCTCCGCTTTTATACTAGATATTGCTTATAATATAACGAACTTACTTAAGCGGTCCTTAATTACCTATAGGTAGCGGTTACCCTACGAGTTTAGTAGATCCGTTATAAAATCTATAGWGATCTCCTAGAAGAACCTTTCGGGGACTAGTAAATACTTTAGGAGTTCGTACTTATACTCTTACTATACCTTATTCCTTCCGTAGTAATTATAATTATATAGGAACTACCTTACGTATTTCGACTATAAAGGCTAGTAAAACTGCCTTTTTACTAATAATACCGTAGAGTCCCGCCTAGGGTAGCCGTATACTAGTAAATCGTAAACGGGCTAGATTAGCTTCGTCCGGAGCGTATCTCCTCGTAGAGCGTCGTAGTCCGCTACTTTATATTCGGATTCCGACGAGATTAGTACTTTAGGTACCTATAGTTTATCTCGGTATTAGAGCCTCCCTCCTTTATCGAGGGAATAGTCGCTAGCTTATACTTTTAACTTAATATCGCTAGGTAGCGTTTAGTCTCCGTCTTAGACTACGCGGTATACGGCTTAGTAAATATAGTCGCTCTTTTCTACTTCCTCCTATAGTACGTTTAGTTCGTATTCCTAAAACGATTTATTAGTTTCCGACGGTATCTCTCCGGAGATCGACTATTCTCTAACGGGAACGAGTTCTTATCTAGCTATATCTCGGAGGGAGCTAGTCGTAGCTAGAACTACGTCCGTAGCTTCCTCTACGGGTTTAGGCTAATCTTTTACGGAATCCGGGTTTAAGAATTAGCGGAACCTCGAACGTTTATCGTCTTACTTAAGGGTATCTTATTCTCTCCTCGATAGAACGTCCGGTATAATTACTTCGACTCCTAGCTAGTATACTAGAGTAAACTAGAATTACGCTATAAATTCTACCTATCTAATTTAGCGTTCTAATAACTACCTCTTTACTATAAAGTACTCGAGGTTCTTATAGTCCGTTTAAATCGTAACGAATCTATACGCTTTTAGCTCGGAAGTCTAGAATTTTAAGTAGGAGATAATCGCTAGTATTTCTTTATTATAGATATCGTAGTTAATCTCCGCCTTATTTAGTTTTTATAAGAAGAAGCTTATAAGGTATAGGGCTCCGTCTTAAATTTATAGGAGGGCGCTTCTAATCGAAAACCTACTATAATCGGCTTTAAGAAAGGTCTCTCGCGTTAGATCCTAGTAGAAAAGTACCGAAGCCTAATAGTACGCTACCTTAAGTTTCTCGAACGCCTCCTCCTCTACTTTTCCTTAGAAGAACGGCGTTCTCTTCCTAGTAAGCGCCGTTAATAGAGTAGCTAGCTTTAAATAATAAGCGATAAATATACGGTAGTAGTTTACGAACTTAAGGAATCTACGGGTCTCCTTCTAAGTTTTAGATCTTACTTAGTTTCTTACTACTTCTAGCTTTTCTAGGTTAGGTTCTACTTCTTTTCCGTTAATATAAATAATAAACCTAAGGTACTTTACCTTCTTAGTTACGAACTCGTACTTCCTAAGGTCTAGATATAGGCCTCCGTTCTAAAGTGCCTAAAGTACTTAACG